ACAGCAGCGGGCCGGGGGCCGAGCACAGGCGGGGCGGGGGCAGCACGGGGCCTCATCGGGAGGGACGCTCCCCAGGCACCAGGGCTTGCCTGACAACAGAGGCAGAACCCACGGGCGGGCAGGTGACCCTGGGCGTGGCCAGAGCCCCCACCTGCCCGCAGCCTCTCGCTGCCCAGGTGCCCTGGCCTGCCGGTGCCACCTCCTCAGGACACCCTTCTCCTGCCGGGCCGCAGCCTCGCCCTGCTCTCTCCTCCAGCACAGGCTCCATGGACCACCGTTGGTGGGTCGGGGCCCAGGCCTCAACCTGTGGAGGGGGTGACTCAGCCAGTGCCCCTCTGGGCTGCTCGCTCCTCCTCACGACCCTCCCGGGAACAGGGGCCCCCACCCCTGCTTACAGGCAAGGACGCCGAGGCTCAGGGGCTTGCAGAAGCCACCCCACGCCCTCAGCTGCGTGCGGCCACCACCTGCGCAGCCGGCGGTTCTTGGCCAGGGGCGCCGAGCACTGGGCCCAGGAGCTGCTCCGAGTCCAGGCTGGTGCCTGGCGCCTGCCGCACCCTCTTCCCGAGACCTGTCCCTGCACCCTCCCCCACGCGCCCCTCCCCAGAAGTGACCCGCTTCAAGGGCCCCCGAGGGCGCCCTTGCCCACCTTGGGTCCTCCAGAGACCACCCAGTCGTGGGCACTGGTCTCTCCTCCCCCGCCCGGCGGCCCCACCCCAACCAGCAGTGCCTGGCTCAGCCTCACCCAGCGGGTGACCGCGAACGTCTGCACAGGCAGGCGCTGCGGGGATGGGCGTCGGGGAGACGGAGACCAGCCCCGTGTCCGAGGACGCCCGGGCCCCGCTGGAGGCCGGGGCGGAGGGATGAAGCTTGGGGACGACTGGCCGCCCCGGCTGCGTGGGATGGATTCAGCTGGCGTTTCCCAAGCTCAGTCCCGAGTGGGCTGCTGTGGAGACCCTGGTGTGCCCGCCCCGCCCGGCTGCCGGTGCTCGTGCCCAGAGAGAGCTGCAGGTGACCAGCAGACGCCTGGTGGCCGAGCCCCGCCGGCACCGAGGCGGAGGCCAGGAGGCCCGACGGGCCTTGGGAGCTGTGTCCGAGACCGGAGCCACCCGGAGAGCCGCCACAGCCATCAGTGCCCACCTCGGTGCCCCAGGTGGGTGTGCCTTCCCGGCACGGGGCTGGCTTTCCACTGAGGCACCCCCTCCCCATACAGTGGGTGGGGGCCGACTCCCCCTCGGGCTCCAGGTTGGACACGTCCCCACTCCAGCCCCCCGTCAGTGATGCCTGGGGCCTGTGGCTGAAGCCTGGGCAGAGCCGGGTGTGGTCCCGGGGTGTCAGCAGGGCCTTGGGGACAGGGAGGCTCCTGGGACCTGCCGCAGAGAGGGCGGGCGGGTGAGCGCAGCCACCAGCCAGCTCTGCCCCTGGGGAGCGGACACACACCTGCCGTGGGGTAGGGTGGTGTGAACTGGTTCATCCCGGGTGACTGGAGAGTTCTCGCTTCAGACACCCACAGATCAGGACTCACGGCCGTCTGGAGCGCGGTGTGAGCCAGGGTGTGCCGAGCTGGTGGTGGACGGCCTCACCAGCCCGTCGGGGGCAGGGGCGGGTGAAGGGAGGAGGCGGGGGCCATCAAGGCCTCGTGTCGGAAGTGACCCCCCCCCAATCTGCACCTGCACAGGCTGTCCAGGCCCACCGGGCTCCGTGTGGTCAACGGACCCGGGTCACGGGGGCCATCCTGGAGGCTGGCGGCCACGGGCCCGGAGAAAACGCAATCTGTAGCGGCCTGATGTTTTCATCGACCAAAAGATTTCGCTTTCCAGGGCAGGGCTCGGGGGGAAAGTAACTAATGAGCACAAAGAAAATAAACCAAACCCCAAACACAAGGCCATTAAGGCCAGGAAAGCCCTCCCTGCCCCTGGGATTCTCCTGTCGGGCGGGGAGGGCACGGAGAGAGGGCCCAGCCCCGTCCAGTGACAGCCGTGCCCCGGCCTCCGCCTGATGCCCACGCTGCCCCACGGCCGGCCCCGCAGCCGCCGCCGCCGGCAACCACGTGACGGGACACTGAGCAGTGGCCCCGGGCTCCGGCGGCGAGCTGGGGACCGCGGGCCTCGCTCCATCATTCCCGGACACCTCGCCTGGTCATCGCACCGTTCATTTGGGGGTCGGCGCTGCCGCACGCCTGTCTGTGCTTTTAATTAACGATTTGGTGAAACTCCACACAGGGCCTGGCCAGGGCAGTGCAGCGGGGCGGCTGCTGGGCTGAGCCATCCCTGGCTGGGTGGCCCCCGCCCCAGCAAGTGCAGGCTCCCCCAAGGGTCCCTACAGCACCCCGCTGCCTCCAGCCTGGGGCCGGCCGGGTGGGGGAAGGGTGTGTGCAGCTGGGACAGGGGAGCGTGGGCCAGGCTGCTGGGCACCGCAGCGGACACCTCCCTCCTGCCCCAGGCACCACCGCTTCCCCGAGACACCGGCCCTCCAATCCCAGCGCCGAGGGGAGAGGCGAGGGGCTCACCCCGGCACAGAGCCTGCGCGCCCGGAGGCCTTGGGCTGGAACCCGGGGCTCGGCATCCTCACCCGAGCCCCTCCCACAGGTCAGGGAGCCCTGGAAGCCCCTCTGGGCCCTCGCGGAGGCGGCAGGGAGACAGAGCCCGAAGGTCAGGCTGCGCCCCCGGGAGCCACAGCTCCCACTGGGACCTGAGCGGCTGGGACCCAGGAGCGTGGCTGAAGGGCCCAAGGAGCAGGATCAGGCGGAGGCCCGACGAGCGGAGCAGTGGGGACCTCGGGCCAGCCTGGGCCTCCTCCTTGGGGTCTGGCCCTGGCCACTCCCAATCCCGGTGGTTTCCCGCTCCTGGTTGCCTGGGAAGGAGAGCGAAGGGCGGACTGGCGGGGTCCTGAGGGGGAGCCCCGAGGCTGTGGGCCTGCATCGGCAGCCTCTCTCCACCTGACGGCGGCCCCGGGCAGGCGCAGGGGCCGTGCACAGGGAGTCTCTGCCGACGTGAATTATTGAGCGGCTCCAGCCCTGTTCTCGGCCCTGGGGCGGGCTGTGGCCAACGGAGACGGACGTCATCTTAGCCCTATTTTTAAGGTTCTGTGGGAAGGAGCCGAGAAGCCTGCACACTTAGGGCTCCCGTGCCCTCCTGCGCCTGAGCGAGGGAGTGGGGCAGGGCCCCAGGGGTGGGGGAGCTTAGGCTGCTCCTTCCCACCCGCTCAGCCCCCCCGCCCCACTTTCTGGGTCTCCTTTGAGTGGCCACCGTGCCCACCCAGTCCCCATCTGGCCCTGTCTCCACCCTGGCCCCTGCACCCCCGCCCCCACCGTCTAGAAGCCGTGGGCTGCACCCCGATGCCTGCAGTGTGGACGCTGGGCTCTCCTCGTCACCCCGACCTGGCTGGGCTGGAGGCTCGCACCACCTCCGCCCCCAACCCACCACCCTGAGGCAGGCCCTCAGCCAAGGCCCCGGTGGGCCTGGATCAAGGGGTGGGATGGGATTCGCACCCCTGGGGGCCTGTCTGCTTGGGGAGGGTCAGAAGCACGTCAAGAGGGTGACATGCCCCTTCTGCCATCCCTGGGACTGCGCCCCCAGCTGCTCACCAAGCGGTCACGGCTGGGGCCTCTGGGGAGGCGCGAGGCCGCCTTGGAAGCCACTCAGGACTAGGCTGAGCCGGAAAAACGGAAACCCGGTTGACGAACGTCGGGGTGGGAGTGGGCCCACCGCCCTCCGCTTGGCAGAAAGAGGAAGGATCAGGAGTAACTGTGGCCACCCGGGCGCCGCGGACGAGATGGAGGCTCCCAGCACACAAGGCGGGGGGCGGGGGGTCAGCGCAGACAGAGCTGGGGAAGCCGCCCAGGGGAGGTGCTCCCCACCCCCGCCGGGGCCAGCATCACACGGTCAGAGGTGGGCAGGGGCGAGCTCCGACCCACATCCCCGGGGCCCGGGGAGACCGCAGCGGCGCCAGCAGACGGAGGCCCTGCTCCAGGCGCGCCCAGGGCCCCGGGAGGCCAGCGCAGGCCGCGTCGGGTGCCCTCCGGAAAGGCAAGAGCGGCCCCACCGCGCTAAGCTCCCGTGAGTCAAGGGACCACATCCAGGGGGCGCAAAGACGCGACACGTGGGGGCGTCTGTCAGTTCCGCAGCTGGCAGGGGCTGGCGCCAGGACGCACGCGAGCGCCCCGACAGGGCGGACAACCCGGTGCTGGCCGGGCAGAGGCCTGAGCAGACACTTCTTAGGGGAGGGCGCGAGCAGCCAGCAGGGGTGCGGAGAGGCAGGTGCCGGCGAGGGGCGCAGACCCTGCGCGCTGTGCCCTGTGGGGACACCGGATGGCTCGGCCCCCGTGAAGAGTCTGGCTGCTCCCCTGAAAGTCAAGCCCAGAATCACCAAAGACCCAGCAATTCCACGCCGAGCTGTTTACCCGGGCACCGGGGCAGAAACCCACCCAGAACTCGGGGCCCACGGCAGCGCTATCACGGCGGCCCTGTCAGACGACCCCCCCCAGGGGAGCGGGCGGAGGCGACGGGGCCCCCAGACAACGCGTGTGACTCAGCCGGGAGCCGAACCTCGCCGGGGCTGGACGACCTTGACGCGGGGCGGGAGAAGCCGCGGCGCCCGTGACTCCGCTCCCGCGAGGGCCGGGGGTGCTGTAGACATCCCCGAGTCTCCAGGACCTGGACGCTTGGCACGGCCCGGTCTGCCCAGCCCTTGCCCGGCCTGCATCCTGGGGTTCAGAGTGTGAAGCCCAGCTTGGCAGATGAGGCCCCCCCCACCTTCCGGCAAATTTCCCCAAACCTGACAAAGCAGGGGTGTGGCCCCGGGCAGCGCTGGGGCACCAGGGGCGAGGCGAGCCAGAGCGTGTTGGGGGCAGGGTCGCGCACCCCGCTCCTTCTCGACACCGAGGAGAACGGAAGTGACCGGTGCGGCTGGGCGGGTATAAAATTGACAACAGGCCAAAGCACAGGAGGCGCAGCAGCGCGTGTTCAACCGCGGGGTGGGGGGGGTTGGGGGGGACGGCGCGCACGCGGGGCCCGGCACACGCCCTGGAGTCCGGCTCTGCCTGCTGCCGGCAACCCGGAGCTGCCCCGGGGCGCCCAAGGGCAGTGTGGTGCCTGCTTCACCCGAGGAGGGTGTGGCAGGCTGTGCCCCAGGGCCTGGGCTCCACTAGCTGTGGGGGCCCTGCCCCTCCGGAGGGTGGGTCATTGTCCCAGTGGGGGGTGGCCGAGGGTCTTCAGGGGGTCGGCTCTGCTCCAGACCTGCCGCCCTCGCCCTCCTGCTGCTGGGCGCCTGGGTCTGCGGCTCTCCGGTCCAGCCTGGGGCCTCGACAGCGGGCTGGGGGGGCCTCCCTTCACCTGCTGGCTCTCCTGAGCCTCCCTTGGGGCTCCCTTTTGGTTTCTGTGGCTTCTGGCTCCTGCTGATGACAAGGGGCAGGGTCAGTGGGAAAGGTCAGAGCCAGCCCAGCACCAGCAGCCCCGGCGATTCCCCTGGGGGCCCTGGGAGCCACAGCTGCCCTGGACCCTCAGGCTGCTGGTGGAGCAGGGGTCCCTCTGGCTAGCCAGGTCGCACCGCCCAGGAGTGGTGAGGGTCCCGGCCACAACTCCCCGGGGTCTCAAGCAGCAGGGCCTGGAGGAGCAGCTTGGGCAGGGCTGGGCAGCTCTGGCCTGGGTGCCCTGCTAGGGTGTGGGCAGGTGCGAAGGCTGGGCTGGGATTCCACATGCCACGGCCCAGCCCTGTGCCCCAGCCTCCTCTGCCAAAAGGGCCACGGAAGACCTGTCTGCAGCCGAGGGGCTGTCCCTGGCAGGAGTGTGAGGATCAAGGCCCACCACAGCCTGGCCCTATGCCACTGTGCCGGGCTCCTGCCACGTGACGGCTATGGGACAATCACTGCACCTGCCGCACAGATGGGGAAACTGAGGCACGGAGCACACAACACAGTGAGCGGTGCAAGGCTGGGGGCTGAAGCCCCAGCTGATCTGGATACCCCTCTCCAGAGCCCGTGGCCAGTCTCGTGGCGGGGGGGGTGCCTCATGGGGGCAGCTCTGGGGGGAGGTGGGCCCCGGGTGTCCTGCATCCCCCCCCACCAGCCTGCAGCTTCAGTACGGAGAGACTGAGCCCCAGAAGTGGCCCTGCCAAGCCTCACCTCTCCAGGGCCGGCGCGGGGGCACCCAGGGTCCTGCGGATGTAGTCTCGGGAGCGGATGTCAGCCTGAGGGAGGGCTCAGTGAGATGTGGTGGCCGGACCCCAGCCGGCCTCTGGACAAGCCCCTGTGGGGTGGACTGTCCCTGTCCCCCAGAATGCCCAGGGAGCCGTGTGGGCGGGAGGCAGCCCCTCTGGCTCCAGCTTGAGGGCACGGGCTGGGGGTCCCGCCCCGCCCTTCAGCTGGAGCCGCCAGCACTCCTCAGCCTTAAGGTTTTGCTTGGGTCCAGCGTTTCTCTGCTGAAACCTCCTCCTCCCAGAAGCCTCCCAGCCCAGCCATGTGTTGCCACTTGGGGCTCGTCATCTGTCTCCCGAGTAGCGTCAGCCACCACCCCATCCCCGGTCTGGGAGAGGAAGTGAGCCTGTGGGCCGCGGGTGGGACTGGGCTGACCCAGGACGGTGCTGCCTGGACTCCCCACACCGGTCGCAGCCTCAGGACCACAGCACGGGAAGCTCCTGATGGTCCCCCCTTCAGAAAACAGGTGCGTGCACAGGGTGGGCAGGGGTGCTCTGGGGGGTGGCGCCCTGGGAGGCAATGCCACACCCCCTGCCCCCCGCAGCCGCCCTCCCCTCCCGGCAGGAGCAAGCCCAGGCCTGGCACCAGGGGCAGCCTCCTTGGCCCAAAGGCCTGGGAGAGAGCAGGCGCCACCCGCCTCTCCAAGTTTCCAGCAGAGTCTGGGCGTGAAGTCAGAGGCATGTGGGCAGGAGCGCGGGCCCAGGAAGAAAACAGCCAATGCCGCCGGATGGGCCTGCACCCCACTTCCAGGAACGATGGGGGGCGGGGGCACCGACCGGGGATTCACAGCCCCTTCTCCGGGGCCGGCCAGTCCTGCCCCGGCCAGAGCTCGAGGCCCTCGGAGGCCGCCCCACCGCAAGGAGGGGGCAGACCAGCCTCGCCGGCCCGCACGACAGAGGGAGGCTGGGCGAGGGCCCGGGGCCCGGGCGGGTCACACAGGGTGCCCGCGCACGCGGCAGAGGCCCGAGTGGGGAGCGGGAGGCTGAGGCTGGCGGGAGCAGGACCGGCCCCCAGAGCTCCGCAGCCTCAGGCCGCTGCTGCCACCTGGTGGCCGTCCACGGCACTGCAGCCCGGGAGGCGCGGAGGGGCAGCAGGGCCAGACCACATGGCGGGGATGCCCACCCCCTGCCGGCGGCCCACCCACCTGGCGCAGGGGCTCCGGGATCCGGAACCTGCAGCAGCCGTGGGTCAGCCGCACGGCCGCCTCCAGGCTCATCTTGTGGCCCACCGAGACGTAGAGGGGCTTAGTGCTGTGGTCGTGGCTCCTCAGGGCCTGGGACAAGGAAGGCCGGGTCAGGGCGCTGGGGGGACGTGCCTGAGGGCCCAGCCACCGGGTCAGCGGGGATGGGGGCCAGGATGGGGCAGCAGCTGGAGCCTACAGGGTGTCTTGGGGTGGCCGAAGGGAGTGGGGGCAGTGGGTGAGTTCCACAGGAGCCCCCTGGGGCTGGGGTGGAGAAAATGAAGGGGCAGTCGCCTCTCGGCCGCAGGAGGAGGGGTGGTGGGGGCTGGCGCGGTTCATGCGTGTGGCACATGCGGGGGGCATGGCAGGCCACTCACCATGCCCAGGACGGCCCCAGAGCCACCCGTGAGCGTGAATGTGTCTCCTCCCGCCCGCAAGTGGCGAATCTGCAAAGAGGAAGAGCCTCGGGGATGTCTCCTGGGGATGCCAGGCCGGCGGTCTTTGAAGCTCAATCCCCCGGCAGGACATGGCTGCCCGGCCCGCAGGAGCCTGGCAGCACTCCCACCCTGTCCACCGCTGCAAGCCCCTGAGCGCGCTGCTCCCCCTGCTCATGGATGGTGGGCCTGGGAGGGGTGGCCAGGGCCCAGGGGGCTGTGGGCACAGAGACTAGCTGATGGGAGAGCTGGCTCTGGGGCCTGCTTCAGGGAAGGTGGCTGCCGCGCCCTCAGTGCCCACCCTAAGAGGCAGGTGCCAGGACGTGGGGAGCCCAGCAGGGCCTGGAGGCCGGGGCAGGAGGGCACAGAACCCGAGGGCTGGGAACGCGCAGGCGGCCGGAAGCTGAAGCCAGCAGGAATCCAGGAGGGAGGGGCACACAGAGGAGGGTCGTTCTCAGCGGCCCCCAGGACGGGGTGAACAGGCAGCGCCCAGCCCACTGAGGAGCCCACGGACAGCACCCAGCCAGGCCATCTGCGCCTGGTGCCCTCGAGTCCCAGGCTGCGCAGACGGCCCTACCCGCTCCTTGTGCTGGGCGTTGTTCTCCAGCCCGTCCACCTGCAGGAGCTTCTTGGCCACCCCAATGCAGGGCAGGTCCGTGAGGATGCCCAGGTGGCAGGCGACCCCAAAACCTGCAGGGACAAAGGGTGAGGCGGGGCGCAAGCTGGCAATGTGGAGGGGAGGGGTGGGGCACGCGGGACCTCGCCCTGGGCAGGAGGGCTGGGGACAGGCTTCGGAGGGCCGGCCCTGCTTCGGCCGGCGCCCTGGAGCTCACTGCACCAAGAGGACCCGGCCTTCCCCGGCAACTGAGAAACTCGAGGGAGCTCCGATACCGCTTCTGTTTTCTGGCACCTTCCACTCTCCGTCCCCCGTGGGGCCACTGTCCGGCCTCTGCTTCCAAATGCCCACATGCTGGGGCTCCCGCCAGGCGGCCCACACTGCACCTGCCCTCTTCAGCTTGGGGCCACATGCTCCTCCCAGCTGCCCCCACCCCGGCCTGTCTGAGGGGAACAGCCTGTGCCCCTCAGCCCTCCCACCCAAGGCTGGGGTAGGGGGTACAGTGTCCTTGGCCCGCTGGACTGGGCAGGGCTGCAGGATGTGGACGCGCATGGGGGGGAAGGCCCACTGGGCATGGTGCTGGATGCGGCACTCAGAGATGGGCCAGCGCCTGCTGGGGCCGGGGCAGGCAGGAGAGATGGGCGAGGAGGAGCGGGGGGCTTTACTGAGTGGGGTGCTGGCAAGGAAAGGCCCGGGAGGCGGGGGCTGGGCTGAGGCGGAGGGCCAGGCAGGGCGCGGTGACAGCGGGCAGCGAGCACTCCGGCCCGGCCCACAGGCCATCTCGGGGGCAGAATCACCTCGGTGGTGGAGCACCCCGTTTCCATCCACAAGAAGAACCTGGAAGGACCACAGCGACGTCATGCGCGTGTGCGCCCCGCCCCTGGGCTGGCTCCTGGCTGCTCCAGCCCGTCCGGTACCTGCCTGGGGCATGAGGTGGGGCTCCTTCTCCCGCAGCCTCTGCACGGCATCCACCAGGAAGGGCACCTCTCTGAAGGCCAGGAAGCCCGACACGTAGGGGGCCGTCAGGCTGACCATGCGGCAGTCCTCATACACCACCTGCCACCAGGCGCCAGGTCACGGTGGCGCGGCCCTCGCCCCGCACCCGCCAGCACCCGCCAGCCCTTCCGCGGTCAACGCCCTCGCTGCGGCCCCCTGAGCCCCGGCTCCCCTCCCCGCCTCCGCCCCCGGGGCCAGCAGGAGGGTCTGGCAGGAAGAGCAAGGCCCGCCTGCCCTGGAGCACAGCAGGGCTCCGCCTGGGGCCCGGGGAGGACAAAGCTCCAGCAGAGGCCACCCAGCTGGGCGCTGACAGGGCCGGGAGGGCAAGGCGGGCCCCGCGAGGGCGCCGAGAGAGAAAGGCGGCGCTGGGGCTGGAGACGCGGGCTGCAGCTGCTCAGGGAGGCCCTGTGGGAACTGGAGGAGGCCGGCCTGGGCGGGTCGGGGAGCCCACACGGCCAGGAGCTAGACCCCAGAGCTGCCAAGACAGCTCCCTTTCTGGGGCCTCCCTGGCCGGTTGCTCCCCAAACTGCACAGCCCTGGCAGCGTGGCGGGGTCGGCCCTGCGCGCGCCCGTGAGGCACTGAAGGGGCCGGCTCAGAGCGCAGGCCCAGCGGGTCTTCGCCCGGATGGGGGCTTTCGGGTCTCCAGCGGCCCTGCCTCGGGGGGGCTCCCCTTCCACAAGCCACGGAACCCGGGCCCGTGACCCCAGGGCGGCCGACCGTGACAGACACGGCCCGACCGCCGCTACGCCGGCGGGGGAAGGCCCGGCATGGCCGGGGTCTCCGGGATGGTGGCGGCCACTTCTGTCTGGACGTCCAGCCCCAGGAAGTGGCGATGACAAGGGGCTGGGCCCACGCCGGGGGCCCATCTCTCGCCAGGGGCACCGAGCCCTGTGCGCTGCGCTGGGCCACGGGGTCGGGGAAGACGCTGCTTCTGCAGAGCAGGGGGCCCAGGGGTCGGCGAGGGGACACAGCCGGGGCCCTTCAGAAACAAGAGCACCAGCGCCTCTGCCTCCCGGGGACGCGGCTGCGGGGAAGCGGCCCCACCCTCCGGCGGGCTGAACACAGGCGCGGCAGCGGGAACCCCGCCCCCACCCCCACCCGCGGCCCGCAGTCCCCACTCTGGCCTTGAACTCGAACTCCGGACAGAAACGGCCCAAGAGCTGGAGGCCATGAATGAGCTGACAGAGAAACGGAAGGAAAGAGAAGCTCGCGCGAAACCAAGCCCGCGAGGGCCCACCCCACAGCCCCGGCCCGCCGGGAGGGAGCCGCCCCCGGCCACAAGACCCAGGGCTGACCCAGGGCGCAGGGCCAGGCGGGTACGGCCTTAGCTGTGCTACCGCCATGTGCCCACGGAGGTCGCGCTCGGGAGCGGCCGGGGGCCGAGGGGAGCTGCCCACACACGCCCCCACCGACAGGGGCAGGCGATGAAGTAGCCCCCATGGACCAAGGCTCCCGGCGCGGCGTGGTCACACTCATGGAGTCTCCCGGGAGGGAAGGAAGCCCCTGTGTCTCCTCCGCGAGTAGCACCTCCAGGCTGGCCCCGGCCCGCAGGCCCCTCAAGCGCCTGCAGCTGTGAAGGACGCGCTCCAGCTCCCCAGCCGGGCCGCCTCAGCGGAAACTCCTGCACGGAGTGGCCGGGGGTCGGGTGCGCGCCAGCGGGGGCTCGGCGGGGCCGTGTTCTGCCACCCAAGGCCTCGACGGCCGCAGGCAGCCCCAGGGACTCCCTGGCCACTGGAACAGAACACCCGGCGGTGCCCTGGAGGCTGCGTGGGGGCTGCGGGAGGGGCGCGGGCCAAGGATTCCTGGTCAGAGGGCGGACCCGGATCCAGGGGGCTGTTCATCAGGCCGATGTCCTGGTCGTGCTCTGGGGAACCTTCTCTGGTGAGTGGGGGGCTCTGGAGTCACCTCTTGAAAGATAACTTTATTGAGGGGTCCCTTTCACCGCCGGTCACCTGTCTGAGGTGCAGGGCTCCAGAGCAGCAACCGTCGCCACGACCTGACCCAGAACATAACACCCTAAGATACCCCTCACCTGCGCCCCCCGCACACCTGACTGCGCCTCTGAGCCCTGGGCAGCCAGGACCCCAGGTCCTGCCTCCGGGAAAGGGCCTGCGGAACCCACTTCTAGACATGCTCCAGGAGATTCTGGGGCGCAGACGTGCGGCTGGGCACGTGGGGACCCCGTACCAGACCGTCCAGAGCGTCTGAGCCCAATGCTGACCACACCCCAGGAGCGGACTCCGCGTGGATGGGCGCAGAGGGACGCCTGTGACCCGCCGCAGGGCCTGGCGGAGGCGGCGGGTGAGGAGCGCCAAGGCCTCGGGAGCTGCTGGCTGACTCCGGCTGCCATAGGTCGCCTGTCTATTCCCGAGCCTTCCACGCGCCAGGCACCCGGCAGGGCTGACCTGCGGCAGGAAGACGGGCTCCTGCCCGGCGGGAGGGCACGGCAGCAGGGAGCCGACGGCGCCACCCCGGGCGAGGAGAGAGGCCTGAGAGCAGCTCCCGCTCCCGACCAGGCCGGCCAGCGGAGGACCGACAGGGGCGGGGCGGCCAGACTCTCCAGCCGGGGCGGGCCCATCCCCGCCGGCCGGGCGCAGCTGGGGGGCGCGGAGCCCCCCTGCCCGGCGCAGGAACAGAGCCCGAAGGGTCTTTCGGGCTCCTCCGGGCACCCGCCGACCACGAGGTCAAGCGTCGTGAGCGGACCCGGCGGTGACAAGGTCTCATTCGCTGTCGGGACAAGCAGAAGGGACGGCGCCGGGGCGACCCCGGGCGCGGGGCGCAGCGCGGTCCCCCCAGGGCCGGGAGGCGCAGCCAGCAGGGGCCGGGCAAGCCCGAGGCGGAGCCGCCGCGCCCGCGCTCCGGGCTGGGCGGCGGGGGGCGCCACGGCGCCGGGCAGCCCGAGCCGACGGCGGGGGCCGGGGCCACCCCGGGACGGCAGTCGCGGCCTCGCGCGCCCGCGGTACCTCGAGCGCGGGGAAGCTGAGCACCACGAGCGAGGCGCAGGCGCGGGCGCGGTCGCCGCGCGCGAAGGACACGTCCACGCCCCCGACCCTGCGCAGCCCCGCGAAGGCGGGGGCCCGCTGCCACGCCTCGGTGTCCCGGGCCACCACGCGCGCCCGCAGCCGGGCCTGCTCCCTGCGGCAGACACGCGTCTGAGGGCCCCGCGCGGCCTCCCCCGGGCCGCGGGGCGCCCCCCGGCCCCCCGCCCGCGCCCCCGCGCGGAGCCGGCAGCGGGCGCGCCCCCCCGCGGACTACGACTCCCGAAGGCCCCTTCGCCTCCGCGCCGGAAGCGGACGCGGGCCCGCCGCGCCACAGCCGGAGCGGGGCGAGGTCGGAGGCCCGCGCCGGGCCGCACCGCCCCCGTCTCCGGATCTTGCGCACCCGCCAGCCCCGTTACCGTTTCCAGAGCGACAGTGTCTCCTGGGGCGGCCGTCCCGACGCCTCCTCCGCCATGCCGCGGCGCCGGCGCCTTCCGTGGCGTCACTTCCGGCGGCGCCCCGCGCAGGCGCCGTGCTGCCCCTGGCCCCGACGGCGCTGTCTGACGGGCATCGGAGGGGCCTGCCGCCGGGAGGGGCCTGCCGCCGGGGCGGGGCCTGCCGCCGGGGCGGGGAGGAGCCGGCCGCCGTGGGGGCGGGGCCTGCCGCCGCGGGTAACCCCTGAGGCCCGAGCACCGTTTTAACTGTGCTGTGTGTTCTCCTAGGGGTGCTAATGGGGTAAGGGCTGCAGTCGGAATGTAGAGGAAAGTGCCGAGGTAGCAGTGGACTTGGGGTTCGGGGAAGGCTTCATGGGCCCATTTGGCAAGTGGCAGGGCCTGGGGGGGTGAGTGCTCTAGGTGAGCCCCCAACCACCCCAGGTGGGGGGTGGGCCAGTCCTTGCGCCACCGCGTTGAAGTGCTTCCCCGGAAAGGACGTTGCGGCAGGGGTGAGGGGCTGGCGGGGGTGCTGGAGCTCGCGCGTGGGGCCAGCCGGGAGGAGCGTCAGCCTTGAAATCTCCAATCAGGTGGGGAGGGTGCCCCAGGGCCGGGTGGGGTGTGGGTCGCCGGCTCCTGGTGGGGGCTCCGGTTTCACCAGCCCCAGACTGCGTCCTGAACTCCACCACTGCCTCCGAGGAAGTGGGGTCCTGCTGTCCCGCACCCTTCTATTGAGGGGGTGAGCTGAGTGTCACCTGCATTTGCTGTCTGGGGCAAAGCGCCTTTCTGGAGGCTGCCTGTCCAGGGCGCAGCGCTGGTGGCAGTGGGCAGAAAGAAGGTGGTGAGGGCAGCTCCACGTGCAGCTCCGGGCTCAGGCCCCTCCCCTGCGAAGGCCCCCAAGCCCCCCTCCCACTTGTGGCCCTCCTGGATCCCAGCCGCGCCCTCTAGCCCCGAGGCTCCACCTACGCAACCTGCAGCGAGGCTTGTTTCTAGGTTGGCGCTGTCTGGGCCTGGGCACAGCTGCAGTGGCACCTGACTGGTTCAGCGGGCAGACAAGATGGCAGAGCCATGGCGGGGCGCACGGGCGTCACCACAGAGGGCAGCAGCCGGCTGGGAAGGTTTCAAGGATGGAATGAGGAGGGACTGACTAGATGGAGGGGAAGGATTCAGGATGCGTGGACCTAAAGGTGAAGCCGGGGGAAAGGTGGGGGGCCAGGCGGCAGGTGCAGTTCCCTGGTATAAGGGGCAGGAAGGGCACGGAGCAGGTTTTCTATGATCCCATGCAGACGGGTTAGAGGAAAGAGGCCTGGAGCCCTCGGTGACTTTTCAGGCTTTTATTTGGATTTACCAGGCACACGGCAGGCAAGGGGGCTGGGGGGCCGGGAGGCTGGCAGGCCTCCCAGCCCCCAACAAGTCTTGACTCTGTCCGGGCTCTCTGGTTGTCTCTGCTTCTCTGCCCTCCTGCCTCTCTTCTCTCGGCTTCTGCTGGCGTCCCCGTGACGCCGCCCTTATAGGCCCAGTCTTAGCCCAGGTGAATCCCATCAACATAGGCCCACACCCCACTCCAGGTGCTGCCATCAGGCATTCAGGACTGCAGGGATCTGTCATCCATCCTAATGGCGGGAGAGCAGGAAAACCTGATGCTCTACCTCACCCTACACCCGGGTTTGGGGTCTTAGGTCTCTCACCTGCCTTTAGCTCCTTTTACTGAAGAGCCTGTTCCCGCCATGCACTCGCCGCCAGCCAGGCCTGCTCTTCTCCAGGGAAGGTATTCGGGCAGCAGCTTGGAGGACGGCTGCTGCCCCCGGGCTCGGGCGGGCCTGACACCTCCTGCGCCCTGGCAGCGGTGGCTGTGGCAGGGGAAGCCCCGCCGTCTGCCCGAGCGCCTCGTAGGCCAGGTGCACTTTCTGTCCAGAACCTTCTGCTTTAGGACACGTCTACAGGAGCATTTCTACCCAAACACAACCATTCACAAAGGCCTCCTTCATGTCTCTTTGCCTTAAAGAGAAACTCAGTCCCGACACAGGATTCTTTGGCAGCAAAACTCGTTTATTAAGACAGGCGGACACGTACAACGAGGCGTGCGGTTGCTTGTGCTGTGCTGGGGCATCTGCGGACACGCGGGGCAGAGCAGACGCGCCGGCCGGGCGGCTCCGCTCCAGGGCTGAGGTAGCCAAGGCGTCCGGGAGCAGTGGGAGGGCTGGACCGCCGGGAAGGGGCAGAGGGAGGCAGCCGCTGCCTCGGCAGCCCCACCGCGGGCCCCTGGGGCTCGGCGAGCACTTGCTGTTTCTGGAGCTCCCACCCGCGGCCCGACTTCAACTCGATGGGCTCGTTAACCCATCTAGAATGTGTGTGACAGGCAGGTGGCCTCTGCCTGTAAACAGTTGTCTTCTCAGTGCTAACGGGAGCTGAGCTACCCTGGAGGGGGCGGGAACAGCCCAGAGAGGTGCTCAGTGCCCAAGGGAATTTTGATTTAAAAAAAAAAAAAGATTCAACATGTTTATGAGAAAAGAAGCCCAAAGCCGGGGCCAGGAGCCTCTTTTCTTCAGGACGTCACTGGTTTTCTGTTCTGTTGCATCTGGTTTTGTGCCTTGGCTGAGACCCCAAAAAGGAGGCGCTGGCTTCACGTCGGGGAAACACCGCACGGAGCACGTCCCGGCTCCCTCGGCGGCTGGTCGCTCAGAGCCCTGTCGTGGAGATGCCCACGCCCCTGGCACCTTGGGCCCCCGTCGAAGGCTGTCCGCTGCGGACAGGAACTGCCATCAACCCAGCCGTCTCACTGCATAGATGAGGTAAGTAAGACAGCAGGGGCCGCTCCGCCCGGTGCTCCTGAGAACAACTTTCTGAGCCTCCCCGAGGCTGGCAGTGAGTCGGGAAGGGGCATCGCTTGGGCGAAAGGCACTTGCAGAGTATTAGGGGGAAGGCAAAAAAGAGAGGCACTTTTTCACATCTTACAAACCTAGAAATCTTTGTAAAACATTCAGAATTTAAAGGAGTGAAAGAAAGCAGAAGGCCACATTCTCTTCTCTGAGTGCAGAATAAGACAAAAAGACAAAATCGGTGAACCCGTGTTCCGTCCCCACCACGTCAAGGTGGGAGGACGAGGAGGCGGCGGCTGAGGCCCAGGCACAGGCCCGCGGGGCCGGGCGGTTTCCAGGCAGCCCTGGCTGGCCAGGACGACGGCGGTGCCTGTGGTCATCGCCTCTCGACACACACGGTCGAGGGTGCCGGGAACGTCCTGCAGTCGGCGAGACTCTCGGAGAGTGTCCACGGCCCTGTGGTCAGTGCTGGGCCAAGGGCGTCCCTCCGGGAGCCCGCCACGGCGCCGGTCCGGACGGGCGCCAGGGCGCGCAGAGGCCGCTGGGCACCGCCTATCTCATCTGCCAGTCCCGCTTCAGCTCGGCGGCCGTCTTCCACACGCACACGCAGCTGGAGAGGGGGAGCTCTTCCGGGAACTGCGACTCCACCCCGGGGGGGGCCTCACACTCTTTGGTGTCCAGGTAACTCAGCAGCGTGTCCCGCAGACTGGAACGCAAGGACAAGCGGGCATTAGGTCCTGGCGGAACCAGCCCCGTCGTGAAGACCCCAGATCGCTCAGCTTCACGGCAGCCCCCCGTAGAGTGCCCGACCGGCCCTGGGTTCGAGCGCCTGCCCGCTGCTCCTGCACGCCGAGCCGGGCCCGCCCACATGGCTCTGAATGAACAGATCGCATCGCCCCTCGCGGGAGGGGCTGCTTTTTCATCAGGATGTGCTGAATAGGCTCAAAGACTACAGATACCTAGACGTGGGCCGTGCAGCACGATGGAAGAAAATAGGAGTGGCAGCTGTGCTGGCGAGGACAGCTAGAGTTTATCTATCTAGCAAAAGCCAAGTTAAATCCCTACGCACACCACGCACACAAATAATCTGTTTAACAAGACAACTGCACAAAATAAAAGCGTAAGAACGCAGAAGAAAGCGGGGGGGGGGTGCGGTCTAACCTCATCCGTAAGAGCCTCCTGGGTTATGCCTAGAGAGGCTTTGCAGGAAAATTCTATCCGATTTAGCCCCATAAAATTGAAGACTGAGATCGGACATTTGCAACCCAACAGATTAAAGACGAACCCTCTTTTAAGATGAAGCCAATGATACACAGCCCCCAAGAAAAACGAAGGCCGTCCTGTGGTCCTTCAGAGGCGACAACATAGCTGATGGGCACGAAAAGGTCTCCGCCTCATCAGTGAACGGGAACACGTAAGACGACGTGTCTTGACCTTCGTTGGCCAACACGTGCCGTGCGCAGCCGTCCGCTTGGAGCGCGCGTCTGCCCGGGGCGGCGAGCCCTCTGTCGGAACCGGACACGCGCCGTCGCCGCGCGCCAGACCTGAGAGGGCCCCGGAGCAGCTCCGGCTCCCGCTGCTGGGGCCCCAGGCTGCACGTCTGGCCGCGAGCGCGCGGCTCCCTACCTCCACTTGGGGTTGAAGTCGGCCGGGGCGCGGGGGCCCTTCAGCTTCAGGACCATCAGCTCGTGCAGCTCCAGGAGGAAGGCGTCCAGGTCGGTCTGGTTCAGGAACGCGCGGAGGCGCTTCGTGTCCTCCGGGCTGAGTTCGTCTTTATAGGCGTCGCTGATGTCTGCGAACGGCTCCTGAAGCACAGCGGAGGGAAGACGACCCGTGGCAGCCGCTGGGGGAACCCCCGGGGGGCACCCCCCCTCCCGGGAGGAGCCGGCACTCACCTTCCTCAGGCGCAGCTGCTGCTCAGACTTGTGTGCAGACAGGAACTGCCAGAGGGCCACGGCGTGGCGCAGCTGACACTTGCTCAGGGCCTGGGGACAGGGGGCTCCTGAGGGCCGGCCCGGCTCGCTCGCCCTCCCGGCAGGCCTGTGCCCGCCTGCCCCCGCGGCTCCTCCAAGAAGCCGGGAAAGGCCTGTCCCACCGCCCAGGCGGGCGTCCACCCTCAGCCCGCTGCTCTCTGCCGCTGGGCGGGGGTGCGCTCGCCTGGCATTCCAGGGGCCGCCCAGACCGCGCTCCCTGCGGGGTGCCCCGGCAGCCGCCCCGTCCCCGGAAGACCCACCGTCAGCACCAGCACCGTCTGGTCCTCCATGCGCAGCATGTCCTGCACGTACGTGTTCAGGGCCATGTTCGCATCCCCGCTGCCCGTGCTCAGGAACTTGAGCGCAACCTCCAGCGCAGACAGGGCCTCGCAGGCGTCGCTGTAGGACTGCAGCTGCCCCCCGAGCGCGCTGGCCACCGCCCTGGGCAGGGGCTCCTGGGGAACCGAGAGCAGGACGGCTCGGGCTGTGCTGCGCACGGGCCCTGCTGCCGGCCGGGGACAGGAGTGGGGCCACTGCTGGGGCTGGGACAGGGGCCGCCACAACTGGCCAGCGCGGCCAAAAGCATTTCAGACGCGTCACAGAAACTGTTGTGAGCGCGCCGAGTCCTGAGAACAGCTCTGTGAGGTGACACACAGGGCAACGCGCAGGCCCCCTACCATGTACACCCCCCAACACACACCCCGCACACCCCACAGACAGGGCCCTCTGGTCGGCGCCCGCGGCCAGGGCGTCCGCACCAAGATGTCCACCCACTCCTGCTGGACAGGAGGCTGCTGCCCTGAACGGGGCGTCCCGCTGGCCCTTCGGCAGGAGCGCTGGCTGGGGAGGCGCGGGCGGGATCTCGGGGCTGGCCGGGGACCAGGCGCTGTGACACCGGGGCGGGCAGGGCGAGGGTCCCCGGCTCACCTGCTCCACTTTGCTCCTGATGTCCGCAAAGAGGTGCTCGTAGTTCCAGTCCCGCCGGTACACCAGGGTGGGGATTCCCTGAACAGAGAGGCGGCCTTGGAAATGTGTCAGGGGCTGCACCGGCCCTGGGCGTGCTCTGGGCGGGAGCTTGGCAGGCCCTGCTGTCCCACGCCACTGGCCCGCAGCCCTTGGCCACCTGTCCGCCAGGGGACAGCAGCACGGGGACCTGCACTCGCCTCGGGGGCCAAGCAGAGACCGTGTGGGAGGACACTGAGGGCTGCCGGTGTGTGGATACCCCGCGGGCAGCGGGCCACGCAGCTGGGATGGGGTTGGGCACCGCCCAAGGCCACTCACGCCGGACAGGGGTTGGTGGGGGGCTCCTCTAACGGCCCGAGCCGGAGCAGGACAGGGGCAGCAAGGTGGGCTGGGCGGCAGGACCCGGGCTCTGGGGCAGGAGGAGAGCTGGGGAGAGGGGTGCTGGGCGGGGCGGGCGGCGGGAGGCGGGTGGGGGTGCCTCTGGCAGTGCTCCTGGCACCCAAGTCACTGCGATGTCCGGCCTCCCCTGGACACATGCGAGCTGGACAGCAGGGCCCTAACCTTGAGGGTGAGCCTGGGCTTGCCCTGGAGGAAGCGGCTGGTGACCTGGCGCTGGATCTTCTCCAGGTCAAAGTCCTGCTCGGTCTCCCCGTCCTGTGCCACCTGGTACTGGCAGTTGGAGAAGATGAGGGGGGCCAGGTCCCGCTCCACCTCGTAGCTGATGACGTGCAGGTCGGTGATGTCGGGGGCGTCCACGGAATAGCTGAGGACAGGGGCGTGGGGCTCGGCTACTGGGCGTACACACGGCCGGGACCCCGGGGCCTGAAGCGGGTCCCGGGGCGCTGGCCACGGTCTGAGCAGGTGGCATGCTTTTCCCGGGCCGGCTCTGGGGTGTCCCGCTGGAGACGCCAGCCCCACGGCCCGTGCCTACCTGCCGTTTTCCGGGGAGAACTTCTCCACGGCATAGACCATCTCGTTGTGCAAGCTCATCAGGTAGCTGGCTAAGGCGGTGGAGCAGAGGCCCAGGCCCTGGCGGCGTGGCAGGACGACCTCGAATGCACTGTCCAGGTCCAGGTCGGCGCTGCAGTACTCTTTAGGCAGCTTGATCTCCCCTGGAAAGGGCAGGGTGGCCCTCAGCAGAGAAGGGGGCGCCAGGCCGGGCATGGGAGCCACCTGCAGGTGGGGCGAGGGACACTCGGCCCCTCCTCCCGCCTCTCACGTCTGACCCCTCTCAATGCCGAGAGCCCCTTATGAGCCCGCAGTTAGAGGGGCCAGAGGGCCAAGGACTTGCTTTTCCTGCCGTCCTCCACCCGAGTAAGACCCACGGCTGGACACTGGACACACAGCGCTGCGCAGGACGGCGCGCCAGAGCCCAGAGAGGCCGCGCGGGGCGGGCGGGGGCTCACCGTGGGTCTCCAGCGACCTCCGCAGCCTGTTCCACGTGGCCAGGAAGGTGTTGATCCTGCCAAGGTACTGCTGCCTCAGCCCCTCTGCCGACAAGACGCCCGTTCACACCGCAGCCAGGATGCCCACCTCGCCGAGGCCAAACCCGCGGGGCCCCGCGCTCCTTGGGAGACGCCCCCGCCCGGCACCTCCATGTGCCCACTCCATGCCTCCTTCGGGTGCCGAGGAGGCAAGCGGGAGGCGCGAGGGAGGGTGTGCAAGCTGCCGCAGGCCTCCGCGTCCTCGGACCAACCCGCTGGCCTCCGGCCCAGAGAGGAGGGGCCTGAGCTGCCCGCCCAAGGGGCCCTGATCACCCAGCCGCACGGAGGGGCCTGACCGCCTCGCAGGGTGGCCACACCTGAGTGCTGGCTGTTGATAAAACCTCGGAGGGAGTTGTATTCCACTTCTGGAACGTTCTGGAACCGTTTCACTAGACTCCGCTGCAGGGCCAAAATCTCAGGCAAGAATTTCACCAGCCTCAGTTCTGCTTCCTGGAGACAAGAAGGCCACCCACCCAGGACACACCGTTGAAGAGACCGCGCCCGTGTCTGGGGGGACAGACCCGGGCAGCCAGGGTGTGCACCTGCAGGCAGCCCGGTCACTGCGCCCGTCTGCGCGATGGTGGAGCCCTCCCGCCGTCAGCCCCCAACAGGTCTCCCAGGTCACTTCTGGCTGACCGCGAGCACTGGCTCTCGGGGCAAGGCCGCAGGTCAAATGCAGAAGGTGAAGCCCCGCAGGGATCGGGTGTTTCTGGCTCTGACGGACACCCGCTTTCTGCCCCCCACTCTAAGCCCGCCCCGAGGGTGGGCACTCTTCCACTTGCCAGAGGTGCTGGTGACACGTCTCTCGCTGTCCACACCATGCTGCCCGAGTGCTGCCCCGCACGAGTGGACACGGCCAGGAGGGGCTGCCCCCTCTGACCAGGTTGGGGAACCCCTGCCCTCAGGATCTTTGCAGAGTCCTGCTCATTCCCCCGGGACTGCGCTTCCAGCTTCCCGGCAGCCTGGCGCGTGTCCCCCGCCCGCATTCTAGCCACAAGCAGAGCGCGGACACGGGCTGCTGGGGGCCCCCCACCTTCTGCAGGAACCGCCAGAGCACGGGCACGCTGTCCCGGCCGCGCCTCTGCTCCACCACATGCCGGAGGTGCTCCAGGGTCAGCCTCCTCCGGCAGCCCCACGCCCTGGAGCAGTGCAGCGGGCCGTGCCGCGGCAGGCGGGGCAGGAAGGACGCCGGGTCTCCGAAGATGATCTTGGCCACGGGGTTGGAGCTGATCCGCTCGTCCTGGCTGATCCGGGTGTGCACCGTCAGGAGGGAGTGGTCCAGTTGCTGGGGGAGACCCGAAAGGCTGGAGCAGGGCGCCCTGCCCGGGGTCCGGTCGGGGCCGGGACCAGTTGGGGCCGAGCACTCCGCGCGGCAGGGATGCGCTGTTGGCTTCTGTCGCCGCCTGCCCGCTCCCGCCCCGGGTTTCCTTCTCTCCCAACAGAGTGAGACGCAGACCTGGATTCCTGCCCCTTCCTCCACCAGGCACTCCCGAGTCTGGTGGGCCGGGTGACCCAGCCACACTCCCCCTGCAGGGGGCGAGCCCTGGCGCCCTGAAGGCTGCACGGGGCTGGGAGAAACCCCATGCCGCCCTCCCTGCACTCACAGCAGCTGCTCCGCCCGCCTCGCGAAGGCCTCGGGAGGGGAGGGGCCTCGGGACAGGAGTGGGGTGGCCGGAGGAGAGCCGGGGTCTGGGGGTCTGGGAGCCGGGGGAGGCGCGCAGGCACTGGCTGGGGCTATGCCCAGCGCTCACCAACACCGGACCCATCTCCCCAGGGGCCCGCGCCCTCCCCGCTCACCTTCAGCTCAGGGAGGAGAAGTTTCTCGACCAGCTTTTCCCACTCGTTTCTCACTTCCTTGGTCAGCAGTTGTGGATCGGAATGGAAAGGGCCTGTAAGGACCCATTGGACGTGCGAGGTGAGAAAGCCACCCACTCACGAGGGCCCCCGACGTGTTACCCCGAGATGTGCACCTCGGGTGGGGACACACGTCCATCTCTGACGTCTCGGAGCCCACCCCGGAGCTGGTGACGCCTCTGTGGACCCCGCCTGGACGGGACTTTCAATCAGAAGCCCGAGCCCAAGGGCCCCTGCCTGTCTCCCGCACCACGGTGGGTAGGGAGGTGGCCTGCCCCGGGGGCCCCGCCCGCCCTCCCCACGCCCGCCCCTCACTCTGGTCGGAGAGCAGGCGTCGCAGCACCAGGTGGACCACGCTGGCCGCCTCGTCGGCGCTCTTGGCCAGCATGGTGGTCAGCTGTTCCAGGTTCCTCTGGATGTGCAGCTGCAGGAAGCTTGCAGGGTCGCTCACCCGGGGCTTGATGATGTTCCTCAGAGCCTGCGGTGGAAGGACCAAGCTCTGGTTTGTGCGGGAGACGGGCGTTGCACGGCAGAGGCCACAAGGAGGGAGCGCCTGAGCAGGAGCTGGTCTCCAGGGGCCACGCCGCACAGGCCCAGGAAGGGGGTGGGAGACCCGCAAATGCCCTGAACACCATGGCCTCGACTTACCACCAAGGAGGGGAGCTGCCGAGGCCTGGGCCTCGCCGTCCCAACCTGGGATTTCACGTGCACACGGCCTGGGGCTGCCTCAGCCCCTGCGCATGGGTGAGGCCCGGACACCCTCACACGGGAGCGGGGGATGCCGGAAGAGGCTCACCTGGGGCCACTGGGCCGCCCCCAGAAGCATCGCCAGGTGGGTGAGCAGCTGGAGCAGCACCAGGGCCACCGGGGACAGGCCTCGGTCACACGCCACTGCCTCGCCCCGCGCAGGCGGCCGCCCCAGCACATGGCCCGTCTGAGTCCGGTCGGCTTCATTTCTGGAGGGTCGAGAGGCCGCAGGTGAGGCTGGACACGCTCGCCTCAGCCCCAGGAGCGCAGCAGCTGTGGAGCAGAGGCGCAGCAGCCGCACAGCAGAGGCGGAGCGGCCGGCAAGAAGCAGGCACGCCTCGTCCTCCTGACTCGGTCTCTGGCTGGTCTGGAGCCCGCGGGCTTGTGACAGCGCCTGAGCCAGGCGGCGTCTGCTCTAAGTGCGTCAGGACGGGCGCAGCCGCTGCTGCCTCTAGAGTCGCAGAGAGGGGGAGCAGATGGGCAGCGTGGCCAGGCCTGGGGCGCTTACCTGAGTGGGGTGTGCTCCCTGCTCTCACTGCCTCACACTGAAAACAGGGTCCGCGGGCTGACATAGGATGGACATGCCCTGGCCGAGGGCGCGTGGAAGAGGCAGCTGCTCCCCACTGTGCCGTGCACAAGAGGCCAGTGCAGCCAGGTGTTGGGCGAGAGGCCCCTCCCATCCGAGGGCAGCTGACCCCCTCCCCCACCTTGAGGGCCAGGCTGGCCGAAGCAGGTGCCACGACACCCTCAGGTATCTGGAGGCACGGGGTACGTCTCCCTCGCACTGCTCAGGAGAGGAGGAAGCTGAGTGTTTCCACGTGAGACTGCTTCTCAGACACATGCCCACGTGTGGTTTTGTGGACTTAGATGTCCTCTGAACTTGGCCAGCTGTGTCCACGGCGGCCACAGGGGCAGGCTCTGGGAAGTGCGCCATGGGGTCAGCCAATGCTAGGGCACAGGCTGCAGCTGCAGGCCAACGGGCACCTGGCGTCGACCCCACCATGACACGGGCCCAGAGGCGCCCAGCACCTGACCCCTCTCCTCCCCCCGCCCGGACCAGCTGGGACAGAAGCCCCATCCTAGGCCACGGGCTGGCCGGGCAGGGCCGAGTGCTCACGTACGTGATGACATGGAATCCAGCCACGGGCTTATGCTGCTCCCCGCCGACGGGCGCGCCACAGTCCACGCACACGCTGTGCTCCATGGGCATGCCGCACTGGGGACAGAGAACACGGCTCGTGGGCTCGCCACTCTCGCCCGGCCGGGCTCCCGTGCTCCGTGGCCATCCGGGAGGGCCGCGGCCCGCATGGCTTGTGTGGTGCGTGGGCACACTTGGGCTAGTTTTTCTTTTACACAGGGAAGCAAACAGACACTTCTCAGCAGACAGGCAGGGCGCAGCCCCCCGCCCCCCCGTGCCCCGCACACGCTGAGGACGCGCTGTCGGGGCTCCACGCTCTGGGGCCAGGGCAACCTTGCTTTCTGCAACCCGCTGGCACCTTTAACCTAAAAGGCTGTGCCGTGTGATCTGCTCCCAGCCCGGGCTCGTGTGCGAAGAGCAGAGGTGAGTCCAGGGCTCTGCAGCCACAGCTCGGGCCGCCCACAGCCTCGGAGCCGGGCGTGGGGGTCGGGGGAGTGTGTGCTTGGGTGAGGCCGTTTCACGGACGGGAGGCAGCAGTGCGAACAGCCGACCTCTGCCTCCCCGTCCCACGTGCCCTTTGTTAAATAAGGCGCAGGCCCCACAAGCCTGAGCAGAGATGAGGCCCAGCCAGATGCCGGGGTTCACGGCTCAACTCCCCCATGGGTCTTAATCCAGGGGCCCCTTCCTCTCCAGCGATGGAGACCCCGCCGCCTCTGGGCTGGTGACCCAGGGTGTCCGAGGCTCGTCTGTTCGAGTCCTGCATCTCGCATCCCAGCTGGGGGTGCAGCAAGGTGGCTACAGGGGCCCCTCCCAGCCAGCAGCCGTGTCCCCTGGGGCCTCCAGACGGGGGGCCATCTGAAGGCGCTGCTGGCTGGTATGCCGAGTGGGGTTCAGGCGCCCTGGCATCCGCTGAGTGGGGCTGGAGTGCTGCACAGGGCAGTCCCCCAGAAAGGGTCAAGTGTGTGGAGCTACAGGGACTGGACACCTGGAGCAGCCCCCTCAAGAGTCTGTGTTCTCCTGGGGGGTCGCCCCTCATTACTATCCTCCTCTGGGCCTCTCTTCAGGCCCGGAGCACCCTGTGATTTGAGGTCCCCAAGCCCCACCCCAAACACCAAGACTCACCTCTCCCACGGAGCATGGGTGACCATTGGGACACGCTGGTGAGAGAGGAGAGGACACGCAGGTCAGTGAGTCTCACCCAGGGTCCCGCAGGCACAGCCACGGCCCTGCCCCGGTCACCCCGGGGACGCAGCCGGATGCCTGGGCTGCAGAGACCGGCCCTCGGCACGGGGCCGCCGCCACAGCAGGGGCCAGCACAGGCGCGGCCGGGAGAGCAGGGGCCCCGAGTGTGACTCGCCAGCCGCAGGCTCACGCTGGCCTCCGGGAGCAGAGTGGGGTGTTTCACACCCTCCATTTGGTTGGATTTGATTTTTTTGCCATAAACTTGTTTTATAACAACTTTTAAAACTAGACACCAGGCTTGCTTATTGGCGGAGCTGGCACAGTCCTGTTCTGTCCTGGGGAGAGCCCTGGGGCTGGAGCCCAGTGTGTGGCAAGCGCCCTGCCCCGGCCATGCAGAGGAATGGCCAGGTCAGCGGGCACAGAGGCCCTGTCCAGGGGGTGGCCGCGCTCCCCAAAGGTGCGAGGACAGCAGAGGGTGCGCTGCAGGCTGAGGCCCGTGTGGCCCCAGGGCGCTCTCCTGGGGGGGGGGGCGGGGGGGCACCCCCCAGCGGGCAGCAGCACTTACTGTACCAGCGGACTCCTTCCAGGCCCTTCCAGGTCCTGGCTTGAGCCATCAGGTCCTCAGGCATCGTGGGGAGAAAAGACCTCTGGGAAAACACACAGGCGGAGCTTCGGGAGCAAGCAGAGGCCCGGCCACCGTCCACACCCAGCACGAGGACTGAAAAGCAGGGCCTTCCCGCGTCCCTCCTCCGGCCGCGAAAGCCTTCCAGGAGGAAGGGGTAACGGCGGAGAGGCGGGGGGAAGCATCATCCTCGAGGGCTGAGAGCCCAGGGACATGAGGCCGCGGGGGGGTCGGGGCACACAGTCCCGTGGCCCAGTCGGGCTGTGCCCGGGCACAGGCAGCAGCTCACCTCCATGCTGGCCGGGGAGAAGGCCAGGCTCCTCAGGGGCTGCAGGACGGCGCTCTGCCCACACAGGAGCACGGCGGCGGTGTGGACGGCCAGCTCGCTCATGGTGCCCTCCAGGCCGCCCCGACCCAGGTCCATCCCCAGCAGCGGGAGCGAGTTGGTCACCAGGGACTTGGCAAACTGCCGGACGTCGGGAGAAGGCAGACTCGGGCCCTCGTCGATCAGCTTGTTCACGGCTTCGCATTGCTGACGAGGGAAAGGTGAAAGCTCAGCTCGGCCAGGGAGGCTGCGAGGACCAGAGGCGCGCAGGGGCAGGAGGGCGGCCTGCCGCCACCTGGCGTCCGAGACCAGGGGACGCGGGGCCACCGCCCCTGTCAGCGCCGAGATTCCCCGGGGAGTCTTCCTGCAAACGCAGAGGCCAGACGCCGCGGCCAGCGCCAACACGCTGCGCTGGAACATGGGGTTCCCGTTTCTTTGCACGAATTCTAAGAGCTTCGGGCGAGGAGAAGCCCCCCTCCCTGAGAGGCAGAAAGCCCCAACGGGCAGGCTGTCGGGGCGAGATCTGTGTTTCCTTCTGTCCAAAAAAATTCCCCGGGAGCGAGGCCACAGCAGCCGGCGCTGACTCACCTCTGGCTTGGGGTGGAGGCTGGCGTTGGGGGACCTGTACAGGGTGGAGACCTCTCTGAAGAGGGCCAGCAGCAAGTGGACGGCGCGCTGAGGCTCTGCGCCCCCGAGGGCCTGGAGGTGGAGGCAGGGAAAGGCGTGAGTCAAGGGCCCGCCGGGAGCCAGGGACTGGCGCATGGAGGTGGAGCGGGTCTGCCCGGCCCCACGGGGAGCAGGAGGGGCGCCCCGGGACGCTGGACGCAGCTCCGGGGGTGTTCTCGCGCCAGCGCGGTGCGGATCTGCCTCGAAGCTTCTGGCAGAAGTGACAGAGCCCACGTTGCTCGGGGACTGGGGCTTTTCCTGAGCAGGGACGGGGTCGTGGGGCTGGGGGGGTCATGGGGCCGGGGGGCTTGCAGCCCCTCTTCTCCCGGCACGAGGCCAGGTAAAAGGCGATGGAGGAGAACAGCGGGGCAGAGCTCCTCCGACCACGCGCTAAGGGTCCTCCCTCCTTCCGAAACAGGCGCGCGAGCGACAGGAGTCACGCGTCTACCAGACGGGACCTGGCGGTGACTCGGCGGCTCCAGCCAGTCCTCCCGGAGGCAGTGGGTGCGCCAGGGGCTCCGCGGGAGCCCTGGACAGAGCCCCAGCGCTGTACAGGCTTGCGGGGGCTCATCTGTGGCAAGCTACCTCCCGGCCACCCTCCCCAGCCTCCTCGGGGTGTCAGCTCCGCTGCAGGGGTGCAGGCCTCTGAGGTGCGCCCCTGCGGCCCGGCTCTACCTCCAGCGCGACCTCGGCGGGCTTGCACTTGAGGATGGTCTGGCCCACGGCTTCACGCAGGGTCTTGTACTCCTCCCCGTACACCAGGTACCGGTCCATCTGGCTGGGGTGATCCCTCTGCGCCCGGAGAGACAGGCTGAGTCACGCGGGCTGGTGGGCGGGGCAAGCCTAGGCCACCACAGGCGGCCAGTCATGCTCGGCCTACCGGGGGCCCCTGAGGCAGGACACCGCGCTGGTCAGACCAGCTGACCGGGGGAAAGGCCCAGAGCAGACAGGTGCGTCGTCCCTCATGGGCTGAGGGAGGCCCGGGCCTGCTTCTCACCTGCTGCGCCAGCACTTCCCGGGGAAACACCCACTGGGCCGGGCTGCCCTCCCTGGAGAGACGCTGCGCGAACTCCATGCCGCCCTGGCTGCTGAGCTTCCGCACCAGGTACACCTGGAACCAGCCGTTGTCCGCCCGCGCGCAGAAGCGCTCCACCTGCCGCAGGTAGTGCCGCTGCTCCTCGGCCAGCGCTGCGGGTGCAGGGACGCTCCGGTCAGCTGCCTGGACGCCAGGCAGGGGTGGGGGCTCCTCACAAGGAGCCCAGCAAAGCTACCCCGGAAGAAGGGGCGTGCCCACGGCAGAAGCTTCTAGAAGCAGTTCCCACACTCCCCCGACAGACACGGCGCCCAGACCCGAGCAGAGGACGGAGCGGGAGGACACTTGCCGGAGCCGTCCTGCAGCTCGGCCAGGCAGTCGGCAGCCCTGTCCAGACACAGGCGGATGCGGGCCACCTCCTGCAGGTGGTCGACGGTGGCTGTGGGGCCGTCTCGGGCGGGCACGTACGTGGTGAGGAAGTGCGTCTCCTCGCGGAGGAACGCCCGCCGGTCGCCGGGGGACAGAGCGCTCGCCTTCTCGTGCAGGGAGTCCTAGGCACGGAGGACGGGCAGGCGAGGCTGAGACCGCCAGGGCCACCACCCAGCGTGTCACAGCGAGACGGGGGACCCCAGGAGAGAGGACCCCGCGGGAGGTCTGAGGCCCAGTCCTTTGAGTCATGGACAACACATCTTTTTTATTTTAGGGGCAAGGAGGGGACGAGAGAACTTGTGACGAAATCGCTGCGTGATCTCATGTGTCCATGGGCATCATGTAAATGTTGGAAGCAAATAAGAAATGAGGCAAATAAGAACTCCCTGCCTGGAAACCCCTGTGGGGTCTGCTGGTAGATTCTTCTGGGCTGCTTTTAGGGCGGGGGGGCTTGCTGCACACGCTAATGCTAACACGCGTGTCTGAAACTTGCATCCCCCCGTGCACCCGAGTCCTGTTGACTACAATGATGTTTGTGAACTTTAAGAGCCAATGTCGGGCCTCTCCGGTGGTGCAGCGGTTGAGGGCTGGGTTGCGAGGCTCTGCAGCGCCTGTTTGATCCCCGGCCACAGGGCGAGGGTCCCACACGGCGCGCAGACCTCTCCTGCCGCCCGCTGCTCCCCTCAGCAGTGTACTTCGGTCCTTCTGCCTGCTCTGCTCCCCGCTCTGGCTCTGGTGAATCCTCTCACCCTCCCGCGCTTCTGACTGTACCCAGTGCTTGTATGAATAAACAAAATAAAATCTTTATATATAAAAAAAAAAAAGAGCCAATGTCCAGGGCCTCCCTGGGGGGCAGAGGCTGAGTCTCACGCTATGGAGCTGTCCGCAGCCTCTGCAGCACGAGTCCATCCCCAGTCAGGGAGCGACCCCCAGGGCACAGCAGACCTCCCCTGTCTCCCCGCCACTCCCCTCAGCAGTGTTTTCGGTCCATCTGCCTGTTCTGCTCCCCACTTTGTCTCTGGGGAGTCCTCTCACTCCCCACACCTCTGGCCTGCACCCCAGCTCTTGTGTGCATAAATAAATACAAATAAATCTTTTTTTTTTAAGAGCCAATGTCCAGCACGTGAGGGACGTGTCTCGGTGGCTCAGGGAAACGCAGCGCGCCCCTCACCTCCAGGCAGTTGCAAAACAGCATGTACAGGTCCGTTTTATCTTCCATCACGAAGGCTTTCTCCTCCAACATGGACAAGTAGTCCTGGATATACTCCCGCACTTCATGGAAGCTGTGGGGAGAGATGTCCCGGCTGTTGTCTCGGGGCTCGGACAGCGTCTCCCCAGAGCAGCTGTCCGCCCACCTCCGCCATCACTGTTCTGGGGGTGCTCCTTGCATGTACGTGGCTCGCCCTGACTGTACTGAAAACACTTTGGCTCAAGCAAGAGGAGTGTAAACCCAGCATTTTAGAGGAGCTGCAGCCTAACTTTTGGGTCTCAGGCGTCCTTCATGTTCCTGAAAACCACGGAGCTCTCCAAAGAGCCTTGGCTGACGAGGGGCACGGCTGCCAACATCCACAGCGTGTGGAAAAACGTAGACATTACGTGGCTGGCGAGGGAGAGGGCTCACTGGTCCCTTCAGACAAGGGCTGTCCTCTGCCTCCTGGCCTGTCTCGGAACACCCTGGTGGGCACCCACCACCCTGCCCTTCAGTGGTGTTGCCCTCGGGGTGCAGCGAGAACCACACCCCTGGGCCGACGCAGCAGCGGAGAGAGCAGATGGGAGCCGGCCCGTGGGTGACTGAGCCACCTCAGCCTTCCACACCCAAACAGCGGGGTGGGGGGGCCGCCGGGGCCTCAGAGGTGGTCTCCGCTTTGCCCTGAGGGCTGAGCCCACATGTCCAACAAGCGTGGAAGGCCGCTGGGGGCGTTGGTGAAGCAGGGAGGCCACACGCCAGTGTGGAGGCCACACGCCAGTGTGCTCGGCCCGCAGAAGGGCGGTGGGGGTGGGGGTGGTCCACGTCTCAGGTTTTTATCTTAAAATCTGTTGGTCGTGGCCAGTCTTGAAGTATCTCAGGACAGAGCGTCCACTTCAAGCCCCTACTCGGACCATCTACACCTCGCCTGTCTTCACCAGGTGTCCCTGGAGAGCCCCTCTGACCAGAGGTTGCCCTCAAAGGGTTTTCCAAGCGGTGGAGTCTGACGCGACCACGGGCCTCTGGCCCTGCGGCTCCTCCTTCCGTCAATAGAGTCAGAGAAACCGAATTGCTGAAACCGGCCTGGGGAGCGCGGGGGCTCTGGACTCCCCGGCCCAAACCTGCAGAACTGGGGCTGCGGCCCCTGGCAGGACACCACCCGGCCACTCCGCGCTCCGGCCCGTGCGCAGGAGGGGATGCCCCGGGCGGGCCTCTGGCCTGGACGGGGAGGGCCGCGGAGCTCTCGGGAGGCGTCCCCCGGCGCCCGCACCTGTACTGCAGCAGCAGCTTCAGGACCACGGAGCGGATCACGGGGCTCTTGTCCACGACGTCGTCGAATGGGGAGAGGCACTTGGTGTGCTCGCGGTGCCCTGCAACGAGCAGGCGGGCTGGGGTCAGCGTGGCGGGCGGGGGCGGGGGAGGGCGCCGGCCCGGGGCCGCGGGGAAACTCACGCTGCGGGGTGTCCTTGACAAGCTCCTTCCGCGCGAAGAGCAGGGCCAGCAGCTCCCGGACCACGCTGCTCTGCGGCGGGGCGCTGTCCTTGAAGCACACGGCCGACACCAGGTCCAGGAAGAAGCCATCGCACAGCTGGCGGAAGCGCGCGTGCTTCTGCACGGCCACCCTGGGGGGCGGACCCGCGGGTCAGCGGCTGGGGTCCCACCCTGAGCCCCGTGTGCTACCAGTGAAGGGAGGGGCGCCCGTCTCAGCGCCTCGATGAGAGCAGGTTTGAGGCAACAGACCTGCGCACGCGCCCCCAGGCCCTCGGCCGCAGACCAGCCAGCACGCGCGGGCCCTGAGGTCCTAAACCCGCTGGCCGTTTAGGAGGCGTCAGAGGGGAGGGGGGGGCCGGGACGACCCACAGGGCGTGGAGCTCACAGGCTGGGCGCAACTAACCCTGCTGCGGACAGCACAGGGCGCGGGGCGTCGACACAGATGGGGAGCCGGGCCGCCCCAATGGGGGTGTCTCCAGACAGTGTCACTGATTCATGACATGCTGGCTCACGTCCGCTCCCTCTGCTGCCTCCCGACCCGTGTGCCTGTCTGTGCGGGGACAGGTGTTGGGAGGGACGCGCGTGGCGTCTCCCGTGAGGCCTGGCGCCAGCTTCCCAAGGCGAACAGGGCACCTTTCTGAATTCTTCATCGGCTAAAAGGGAAGTTTCTTGGGAGAAGGGTAGATCTACCTGTGCTCCTTGGAAGCCCGTGGCGAGAAGCCATCGGGCAGGTCGGTCCGGCACAAGGGGCACATCATCTGCCCGGGGGTGAGCCAGCCCTGGATGCAGCGCAGGCAGAAGACGTGGTCACAGGGCAGGCGGACGGGGTCCTGTGTGTCTCCCAGGCACACGGGGCATGGCCGCACCCCACACCTAGGAGTCAGAGGCGCGCGGTCAGTTCCGAGGCAGCAGAGGGGCAAATACCAGCTCACACCCTCCTGCAGGCCCCGGAGCTCGCCTGGACAGGGCCCTGCTGGCCTCATCCTTGCAGCCCCGGAGCACGTTCATCACCGCCAGGAAGGGCCTGTGGGTCTTGACATCTGAGTCCTCCTGCAGACACTGGAGCAGAAGGCGGGGTTAGAGGTGGGAGCGTGGGTCCAGGCCGGCCAGGCCCTGCCTAGCATCCACTCTGCCGCCCGCCGCAGGGCTTGGCCAGGGCCGGTTCCCTGGGATGGTGCTGCCCCCAGGAGAGGCGGCTGGTTCTCCAATCATCTTCCTGCCCTCCTGGCTTAGGGTCCACTCACGCCTCCCCCACTGAGGTGGTAATAGGACAGGCTGTTGGCACAGTGTTTGCCTTGGGCCGTTTCAAAAAACCCAAGAGGAGACAGGCACGGCATGACTCCTGTGACCCCGGAGACCCGCTCAGCCCGCGTGGGGCACACACTTGCCCCGGGGCGGGGCTTCAGGAGGTCCAGGGTACCCGGCTGCCTGGTGCCCGCTGGCTCAGCAGATGGTCATCGCCTCAAAGCGCTGGCTGCTATGTGGCCCTGGGGTTTAGGGGCTGCGTATCGGCCACGATGGCAGATGCCAGGGGCTTCTGGGATGAGGGTGGGCGAGGCTGGATGGGGTGGGGCGGGGCTGGCATCACCCTCCAGGCTCAGGTGGGGACGCCCCCAGGCCAGGGCTCTGCTCCTGCCTCCTGTGCCTGCCTAGTTCGCCCATGCACCGACAGTCTACAGAATGACGGGCCCTGGCCAGCACTCAGGAGGGCGGATCAGCACCAGACCCTGACACCAGCGCTGGGACCGAGCCGATCCTCCACGCTTGTGCTGCCAGGCCAAGGCTGCACCCCGTCCCGACTGCGCCTGGAGAGCCGGGGATCCGCATGGCACGGCCGGGACTCACCTTGCTGAGTAGGGAGACGTGCCTGGTCACCAGCTGGCCCAGCTCGGGGATCTGGTTCAGGGTACCCAGGAGAACGTGCTCCACAAAGAGAGAGATGGAGAAGACGCGGTTCCACTGGACCCTGCAAGACGGGGGCCACATGCCCAGGGGATGGCAGCCTGAGCGCCGGTGGAGGGCAGGAGGCCGGGGTCCAGGAGGGGGATGGCAGGGGCACACGCGCAGCCCCGCCCACAGCCCTCCCCTGCTGAGCTGCCTCGTTCTCCAGCCAGCACCGGCTCCCTGCCCCACCCCGCCCGCCCTGCGCTCCCTGCCCGCTCTCCCACCGGGAGCCCTCCAGCCTCCGTCTGTCACCGCCTCTCCCACGGGAACGCAGTGGTCAGCCAGCTCCCTGCCCCTGCCTCCTCTGTCTCTAGGACGGGATGCGGCTTTAAGAGGCCGGACAGGTGTTCAGGCAGTGCGTGACAGCCCTTTGGGGGCAGGAGGCAGGGCTCTGCCGGCCCTGGGAGCGGGGAGGTGCTGCAAGGTCTCACCTGACTTCCTGGATGACCTTGTGGGTCAAGGGCCCGGCACTGCCCGTGTGCGCGTCCGAGCAGAGCAGCTCCAGGGGCACGGAGAGGCTCTTCACTGCCTGCAGCCACGCCTGGGGGCTGGGCTTCAGCAAGTCCGTGGTCAGCATCTCAGCACAGGCCAGCGCTGCAAATGCGTCCAGAGCCTGGGCAGGGGAGAGCAGGCTGCAGGGCGGGCGTGGACAGCCAACCCTTCCCTGGGGCTAAGTCCTCCGTCCAGAGGCCATGTCCCCGGCACGTCCTGCCAGGGGCCGCCCGTCACATCTCTCTGACACCCCAAGTCACTGTCCAGGGCACGTGCACAAGTCCCCTGGCGGGCCCCTAGCATCTCCCCAGGGGGTCTGGGAGCCCCCCACTCACTCGGGGAGGCCACACCATCTGTGAGCCCCACACACCCACGGGTGGGGGCGTACCATCTCACGTTCAGTCAAGGGGTGCTTCCGGACACCCTCCTGTAGCCTGCCCAGGACTTGGGGGTGGACGGTCAGGATTCTGAGGAAGTTGTGCAGGCGGCTCCGGAAATGCTGGTAGGCGAGGTGGACCCACGGCAAGGACAGGTCCTCCTCGGGCCTCTCTGCCCACAGCTCACGGATGCAGGACCACAGAGCCATGTGCAGAAACTGGGGGAGGAGGGAGCCGTGAGTGTGGCCTGCGAACGGCCCCCAAACAACCCGTTCCCTCTGGAAAGCCAAACTGCTCAGGCAGCAGTAAAGAAAATTAAAACTGGGCCTCCCTGGGGGGCACAGGGGTTAGGTCCCAGCACTATGATGCTATCTGCAGCCGCTGCGGCCTGAGTTCGATCCCCGGGGCTGCAGCCCATCCCAGACCCCGCGCACCGGACACTCCTCGCAGACCCTGCCGCATCCTGGTGCAGCGAGCCCCGCACCCGGCCTCCCACCGGACGACCAGTCGTCTCCAATCTCCCGTTTTCTAGAAACACAACTGAGAGGAGTGGCCGCAGGAGAGCCTCGTCCACACCTCCGATGGCCGCCTCGGCCATAGGCCGGCGGGCTCGTGGCCGCCCTGCCGGCATCTGTAAGAAACCGGGCACACCTCTGCCGGCGGCGGGGAGGGCACTCGCAACTTCCAGAAGCCCCTTGGCCACAAGGACAGGAAGAACCAAGCTGCAGGTGTGCTCGGCCAGCTGGGGACCCCAGCTTTGCCCGGGCTGGACACCTGGCCACATGCCGTCCACTTTTAACAACTGTGGTGTTTTCTTGCTGCCTCCTAAGATGGCCCTGGCGACCTCGCGCCCATGGGTTCCAGGACACCTCCCACTTGCACTTTCCTCTGTGTCCCGTTTGGAGTCTTCAGGTCAAGCCACCACGGACGGGGGTGCTCACCCAATTTTCAAGAGGAGCCAAACGCATGCAGGGAAGCCACCACAGACGTGGACCCTCATGTGCGGGCAACCGTGTGGCTGGGTCTGGGGTCCAGCCGGGCAACGTGGGGGGCACAGGCAGCATCCAGGTACCAGGGCGCCCCACCCCTCGCTGCGCAGACAGCACCGGCGGGCTGGGGGCTGGGACAAGCCTGGCATTTACCTCCGCACTGTGCGGGTGCCGCGGGCCCCGGGGGTGTGCTCACCTGCAATTCTTCCCAGGTGGACACGCGCATGGTCAGGAGGAGGAAGTCCTTCAGGTAGGACTCCAGAAGCTCTTGCCGCTCCTGCTCCGGGAGCTGGGCCAGGAAGCCGCCCAGTGGGGTCTGCTGGAAGATCTCCACTAGCTTCCTGGGCAGCCCTGGGGAACCAGCGCAGGTGAGCGGCCAGCCTGCCTCTGCAACGCTGCACCACGGCCTCCCCGGGCCCACTGCCCAGGAGTGTTCTGGTGGCGACCCTGGGGGAGGTGCTCCTGGCCAAGGGGCCTGTGGACAGGCTGCCTGCTTTCACGGTCAGCTCAGACACTTTAGCTTTGTCCAGTGGACACACAGGCCACGGCAGAATTGACATGATGTCTCGGTCACAAGCAGCCCCGCCAGCCCAGCCTGCCATGAGACGGACCAAGGTCGCAAGCCAGAGGGGCTGCCCTTGGGGTTGGGATCCCATGTGGCCGGCCCCAAACTCACTTTACAGAGGGAGCACTGCCAGGAGGACCGGAGGCCGAGCCCTCGGGAGACAGGAAGGGGCAGATGCCCTCCCGCTGGGCCAGACTGGGCCAGCGCGCCGCGTGGGCTGGGACGACTGTTTCCCGGGCTGTCCCTGTCTCCCTGGCTGCTGTCTTGGGGCGACAGCAGAGCAGGCACGGCCGAGGAGCAGGACCGCCGCAGGGACTGGCGGCTCTGCCGGGCGGGCAGCCGCTGCTGCGGAACCTCCGGGCGAGGCCCAGTGAGCTTGGGCTCTGTCCGGGCCCGACGGGCGGTCACCTTCGGGGCCGGTGGTGTACTGGGCTTGCATGCTCAGCTCCTCCAGGTAGTCCCTGATCCTCCAGCTGAAAGGGACGTCGCAGGAGACATGCTGCGGCCGGCTCATGAAGCTCTGCACCACCACGGGGGACGCCTCGCCTCCGGGCCTGCGGGTGGGCAGGAGGGCAGGGTGTGTCGGTGACGTGGCCTCCAGAGGACCGGGCCCGAGGGCCGGTCCTGCGGCACCCTCCCACGGGCCCCTGTAAGCCGCTCTCCGCCATCCCAGACAGCTGTCTGGAAGGCTTCACAGGCAAAGACAGCTGAGCCCCAGCGGCGTGTCCGGCCAGCACCCACGGTCTTGGCCAGGGTCTGCGGCGCATGGCCATCGGACCCTCCACGTGGAGCGGCCGGGGACCAGCTGTCCATCACGGCGTCTGGCTTCCACGTAAGTGTCTCCAAGCAATTCAGAAACTTTCACTGCGTCTGTCACTAGCACGCGTGCAGCCCAGAACCGGAGCCCTGAGCGCAGACAAGAAGCTCGCAGGGGCAGCCACACAGGAGATCCGGCCTCGGGGGCCACAGGTCCCCGCCGTGGACACAGGGCAGGGAGGGCTGGCATGAAGAAACTGGCCTGCAGGCGGCCGCGGCCTGGAATAGCTGGGGACTCTGGCCATGGGCTGGGAGACACCAGGCTGCAGTGGGGACCTCGCATTTGGCCCCAGGTTCGGGCTGCGGCTGCTGCCACACTGGGCGCTCCCTCCCACGGGAGGAGGATGTTCTGCTCACCGCGTGGCGCCTGTCACCAGGGGGATGTCCAGGAGCTTCGTGTCGCTGAACACAAGCATCCAGAGCTGCCCCACCCAGCGGGGTGACCCCGGCCTGGCCAGCAGCTCCAGGTTGTCGTCCCGGTCGACGGTGGCCACGAGGCTGGCAAGCAGGGGGGTCACGGTGGCCTGGATGCGCCGCCACAGGGTGTGCCTGCCATGGGGGCAGCGCCGTCAGCAGCATGGCCCGGCCCCGCCCCACCCTGGCCCCCCTGCAGCCCCAGCCCAGGCCAGCTCCATGGGCAACGCAGCCCCTGGGGTTGCAGTGCAAGGAGGACCTGCAGTGAGGGGCCAAGACCGGACGCAGCCCTGAACTGGGGCTTAGTGGACACCTCGTAGCGTCCCGTAACTGACATCAAGGTGTGGACTCCGGGAACCCTAGACTTGGGGCCGTGAACAGCGAGTCCTGAAAGGCGGGCGAGGCCCGAGCACACCTGGCGCCTGACACCAGAGCCCCCAACCCGTCAGCACAGCAGAGAAAAGCGGGGTCCCCGGGCCCCTCTAAACACCTGGCAAACTCAGGGTGAAGGGGGCGGGAAGCGGGAACTGCAAATACAGGCGGAGAAGGACTCTTGTCAAACTACTGAGAGGGGCTCAGGAGCCACCGTGAGAAGCGAGGCTGCCCACCCCGTCCGGGCGTCCCCTCGCCCCAGGTGGCTGGGAGGGAGACCGAGGACACGCAGCGTCACCGGGGCCCAGGCTACCCACCCGGCTTCCCGTGGGTCCCTCCCGGCCCGGTGCCAGGGCGAGTCAGAGCAGGCTGTCGGGGGGGGGGTGCGGGGGCGACACCGGGCGTACCTGAAGGTGCCGGCCTCCTGGAGGGCGTCCTGGTTCCAGGCGGCCCTGACCACCCACTCCTGCATCTGGCGCAGGTGCTGCTCCTCCTGCCGCCGTAGCAGGTCACAGAGGCGCATCTTGACCACCCGCAGGAAAGCGGCTGCGAGGCAGAGGAGAGGTGGGCGCTTAGCAGCTGGCCGGGGCTCAGGCGGCACGGGTGTGAGGGGCGGGCTGGCCGGGGGGCCCACCTGCAGCTGGGCTGTCTTCATTCAGGAGGCCCAGGAGCAGCTCCACACGCCGCACGCTGCGCCAGGCACCCTCCCGCTGGTCTCGGAGCAGCCCCACGGCGCCCTGGATGCAGCTCCTCAGCAGGCTGGTGGTGTCCAGCACCTGTGCCTGCCAGGCCAGCGCGCTTACCACCGCGCCAGGGGAACAGTCCGCGCCAGCTGTGGGCCTGCTCCCTGCCCTGCGGAGCCCGCGCCCGCCCCGCGCCCTCTACGTCCTGGGAGGCCACTGCAGGACGCCCCGCAGGGCTCCAGGGACAGACCGGCCAGGGGCGTCAGGAAGGGACGGTGACCCGGGACCTGGGAGCCGCCCCCACCTGCACGGGGAGGGAGGCGCCAGCCCGTGCCGCTGGGGCTCGGGTGTGGGGGTGCAGCTCCGGGGGGCTGGCACTCACGTGGCATCCGCCCTGCTCGGCCTCAGGATGCTCTGCCTCCACCTCCATGGGCTCCTCCACGCCTCCTGCCCCGGGGCCCGTCTCCGCTGTGAGGGGCAGACAGGACCAGCTTCCTTCTGGAGCCAGACTGGGGCGCCGGCCATGTGGGCTCCAGCACCGCTGCCCCGCCTGGCCCTCTGTGTCCACCTGTGGCAGCCCCGGCCTCTGACCACCCCATTCACGGCCAGCCCCGCCTGCATCCCAATGCCCCCCACCCCCCACGACATACGTGTGTGTGTTTCGTCTGGCCTGAACAGCTGGCTGATGGCCACATTCTGCAGCCGCGTCACGTCCGAGTCCATGACAGGGGACCGCCGCAGGTCGTCGATGTGCACGGCCCGCCAAAGCCCTGCGGGGACACTGGCTGCAGCTCTGGTCCCCCCAGCGCAGCCCAGCCTGGGCCCGGCCAGGCCTGGACAAGCCCCGACTATGGCAGAAACTGCCGATACCGGCTGCTCACACGCAGCCTCGCCTTGAAGCACTCCACTCTGCAAGGACCCCCACTCTGCGAGGACCCCCACTCTGCGAGGACCCCCACTCTGCGAGGCCCCACTCTGTGAGGGTCCCCCACTCTGTGTTCTCCCACCCTGCAAGGCCCCCACTCTGCGAGGGTCCCCCACTCTGCAAGACTCCTACGCTGTGAGGCCCCCACTCTTTGAGGGTCCCACACTCTGCAAGGCCCCCACTCTGTGAGGCCTGGGGCACTGTGGTCTAATGTGCATGTGGGACCCCCCCGGACCCCAGAGCAGGTGATGGGCGGGAGGACCCGTCCCTGGAGAGCTTTGCCTCCGCTTATCGATGACGTTATTTAAACCGTGACTTCTGTTAGGACAGCGACCTCCTTGTGGCGTGAATAGTTGTGATCCATTCCCCGAAACGGGGAGGGGGGCAGGAGGCAACGTCCCCCAGAGTCGCCCGAGTGCCCAGGGCTTCGTGGCCATGGGAGGGGAGGGGCTGGGCTTGGCGGGTGCTGGAGGGGGAGATGCCCGCTGGCCGCCCCCGGCGTGACCAGTGCCCGGCCATGGCAGGCAGGGGCTGCTGGGATGAGCGTCGGGGTCCCGAGGCCCCCGTTGGACAGGCCGGGCACGGGGAACAGATGTGCCGCCAGCCTGGGGCCTACCTCCGTGGAAGCCCACGTAGCCCGAGCCGCTCCCCAGCCGGGGCAATTTTGCGATGAAGTAGACAAAGACACAGTCCTGGCTTCTCGGCAGCTTGTTGACCTCGTTGATGGTCGAATACCTAATTTAAAGCAAGGAAGACAAAGCGCCATGAGGCAAAGGCTAATAAGCGCCACCAAAGTCGCGACGGGCTGAGGAGGGTCCCGGGAACTGTCGAGTCCAATCTCACGAGCCCGGGTTTGTATCCTGGACCGGATGCCACGGCCTCTGACGGGAACCCTCCCCCGAGCGCGGGGCCGTCTGCGGGGCGGGGCGGGGCGGGGGGTGGAATTTCCGTCCCTGAGTCCCTCCGCCGTCGAGCGGCATGGCAAGCCTGACCCGGCCCGGCCCGCGGGCCTCCGTGGGCTGGGCCCAAACCACCACGGGTGAGACCACGGAGCCTTCAAGAAACGGTCTGGCAATAACGCCACCGTCGCGTGGAAAGTGGCTTCCAACGGGCTGGAGCCAGAGCCGCTCTGGCTGGACACTAAGCAACGAGGGAGCATGGCCCGTGCTAAGTGTCCCCTGTGAAGACTATGAAAGGCATTGCCACGCCGCACCGCCCTCGAACTTGCAATAAATTCAAATTGTGTAATGAGAATGAATAAATACCAAGACGGGCCCCCCCAGCCGCGGGTGCCCCCCAGCCCTAGGCACCCCCAGCCCCAGGTACCCTAGTCCTGGGCCCTCCCCCGCCCCGGCCCCTCCAGCCCCAGGCGCCCCTCCTGCCCCAGCACCCCCAGCCCCAGGCGCACCCCCAGCCCTGGGGGGCGGGACTTGTCCGCTGCCCCTGGCCTGTGCCCGCCTCGTCTGCTGCTCGGCACCCTCGGGGAGGGGCGCGGCAGGGCTCCGCTGATTTTCACTTCTGCGCCTATCAGGGCGTGCACCGCTCTCAGGGAAGAAATTCCAGAGGAGGTGCTGGATAAAAGTCGGGGTTTCCCAGGCAGTTTCTCAAAAGCACAACATACTTGGCCGAGGCGACGAGCTGCGCGCTGCGAGGACTGTCCTCGAAGTCCGTCTGGATGATGAGGATCTTGCTCCCGGCGGCGCCCGTCAGGCAGCTCCTGCGAGGGAAGCAGGGAGTCCTCGGTCCCCACGGAAGGGCGGCAGGCCCCTCGGTGACGGGAAAAGCGAGGCTTCGGTGGGATTCTCTGAGGGAGGAGATAGACCCCCAGGGGAGCAAGGCAACCCCGCTGGGTGCTGGGGGCCGCTGAGGTGCCAGACCCGCGGGCTGCAGGGTGGCCGCTGCGGGGGGCCCGGGCGGGGCCTCACCGGACTTTCTTGAGGAAGGAGACCTCGGTGTCGAACTTCTGCAGGAACAGGATCATGGGCCTCAGGGCCCTGCCCTTCACCTCCGCCTCCAGGGTCTCACAGTCCTGGTTGGTCAGCAGGCGGGAGAAAGTGGTGACCTGCAAGGGCAGGAGTGTGGCTGAGGCTGGGGCCGGGGGCAGGCACAGGGGAGAGGCCGGGGTCGGGACAGGCACAGGGGTGGGGCCGGGTTCGGGGGCGCGTAGGCCAGTTTAGATCCCAGAGCCAGCCAGTCATTTCAAGAGCCGCCTCCTGGGCCCAGAGTCAGCAGGGGTGCACACCCAGTGTGCCCCGAGAGGCCGAGGAGGGAGCGCGCAGGCGGCTCTGGCCCTCCCCCCGGCTCTTCCGGCAGGGCTTCCTTCATGCCCGGGGCTCAACCTCACGCCACTTCCCCTCCCAGCCTAGCTTCACACTTGGAACCGAGTTTGCCCCTGACCCCCACTGTCCACTGCCCAGCACCGCTGCGGGCACCCGGCTGTCGCAGCTGCCGAGTCCTGCCCCACATGGGCCTGACCACTGAGCGTCCCGCCAGACAAGCCCCTCCACCCGGCTGGCTCGGGGCATCAGGACCCTGCCCGGTGGCGCTGACCACTCCACCCCCGGCATGCCGCTGGCTCCAGGGTTCTCGGCTGAGACTCCCACACCCCGGGGTGCCCAGGGGAGGACCCAAGGCAGCCGGGACGCCGCCATCGCAGAGCCAGCGTGCAGATGACCACCGCGCCCGAGCTCCCCTCCCGTGACCGCAGCGTGTGCGTGGCTCTGCGAGGGCAGTCCTTTTCCAGACCGTGCACCCGCCTCCGGGCAGTGGCACAACTCGGCACACACCCCTCGCAGGGAGACCAAGCTGCTTGGCTGCTGACGGGCCCCCGGCACCCCCACCGGCCCTCAGCCCTCTGATCGAGGCTCAGTTCCGTGTCCTGCCCAGACTGCGGTTTCCTCCTTGGCTCTCTGCTCGGCCGCCGTGCAAGCGGCACCTGCCCGCCTCTCGAGGGCGTCCCTTTGGCCCCGCGGCCCCTCGTGGTCTGCCCGACCCCCCATGGGCTCGCCCACCTGAGACCCGCCTGCACCCACTGCCCCGTGTCCCCAGGAGGGGCACTGGCCCTGGCTCCGCCACCCACTTGCGAGGGTCTGGTCCGCCACTCGCACGCCACGGCTCCCGCTCACACCGGGGAAGATCCCTCGGGGCCGGGCCCGGGCGCAGGGTCTCACCTCCGTGAAGACGGCGTGCTGGCCCCAGTCCGCGGCGCCCACATGGGCGCCCAGGAAGTCCGCGAAGGAGTCGTGCTGCTGCTCCTTGTAGTAGGTGCGCGCCAGAGCCTGCGCCGTGAAGCTGTCCAGGGCACAGCCCCGCAGCCGGACCATGGCGTCGGGCGTGGCGCAGTCCAGCAGGGCCAGCTTGGCCTCCTCCAACACCGTGGAGAAGAGGTCGTCCACTGGGGGGCCGCGGCCCAAGCGCTCAGCCACCTGCAGCACCACGGAGGCGCAGGCGTCGGCGTGGAAGCCCACAAACACGTCAGCCGGGCTGTACGTGGGCCTGGCCTGGAAGGGGCCCGGCTCCACGGCCACGAATCGCTCAACCCAGCGCCGCAGCTCTTCGGCCACCGCCCGCTGTGGGGCCTCCAGCACCGTGTCGATGTCCAGGTAGTGCTTCTCCAGCCGGTTGATGAGGGGCACAGGGAAGTGCCGGTAGACCACGTCCTTGTCCTCGATGACCACCAGGCGGAAGTCGGGGTGCACACGGCACTTGACCCGGTGGGTGCCCAGGCCCAGGTCCACATACTTCTGCCCCCCCAGATAGACGTAGTACTGGTTGAGGGCATCGTAGAGGCTCTCGTACAGGCTCTGCAGGTTGAGCAGCACCGCCATCCTGCCCGTCTCCATGCAGACCTTCACCCGGTTGATGTCCCGGCAGACCTGGGTGTACTCTTGGTCTCTGGGGAAGCTGGAGCCGAAAATGATCTCCGGCTGCTGGCCCTTGCTGAAGAGCGTCTGCTGCAGGATCTGCAGAGCCACGTAGTTCCTGGTCAGCACCAGCAGGTAGCGGGACTCGGCCCCGTCCAGCTCGCCGTCCGGCAGCGCCGACCTGTTGCCCAGCAGGTTCTGCTCGATCAGCTGCATGGTGCTGACCTCTCCCAAGCACCTGGCCTCGGGCAGGTGGGCGGCGAAGATGTCCAGGGCGTGCACATCGTCCTTGCCGCTGAAGTTCCGAAGGATGGCCCCGGTGATGTCCCGGGGGGAGGGCTCGCGGCTGGACACCCTCGCTGTGGCGAAGACCATCTTGATGAGGCTGTAGAAGTCCCGGAGCCCGAAGAACTCCTTGCTCTGGCACCGGAGCACGTCCTCATAGGCCCTGGCGAAGGGCGCGAAGTAGCCCTGCACCCTCTTCTGCACCAGGGGCTCGGAGGAGCAGATGCCACTGGCGCTCTCCACGAGCTCCCGCTGGTTGGGGGTGCTGCGGGACACGAAGATGCCCCGGTTCATCTTGGCGGGGTCCAGAGCCCAGTTGGAGATGCCCACGAAGCCCACCTTCTTGTGGGGGGCAGGGGCGTCCTCAATGCAGCCGTCCTCCAGCAGCGGGTGCAGCGTCTTCAGGGGCATCTTGGGCGAGTCCTCAGCCAGCCCAACCTCGTCCAGCACCACCACGGACACGTACTGCTGCAGGTCCTTGGCCTGCTGGAAGCGCGCGCACTGCCGGAAGGTGCCGATGATGCCCTGCGGGGTGGAGTGCGGGCTGCACTGGAAGGACACCAGGTGCACCTGCTTCAGGTGCCGGAAGAGCTCCGAGTGCGCAGCCTGGCCTTGCATGGCGTCGGCCACAATGGTCTTGGCCAGCGACTTGGAGCTGCCAGGCTTCCCCACCACGAAGAGCGGGATCTTGAGCTCGATGCAGATGACCATCATGAAGACGTTCTCCTTCAAGGCCGAGTTCCTGGCGATGGCTTTCCTCAGGGACACGCCCGCCAGGAACAGGTCCTGGACCAGCGTGATCTCCTCCAGAATGGCCTTGGCGTCGTTGAACGGCGCGGGGAAGAAGCCGCACACGGCCGCCCGGTACTGCTCCTTGTCTTCCAGAGGGGCGTGGTAGCACACCCCGATGGCCAGCACAAGGGACCAGAGTGCGGGGTCTCGCTCGGGTTGGTGGGCGTCCGCCACACCCAGGAAGGCCCGCAGCTGCCCCAGCAGCATGGGGCTGTGGTCGTAGAACCAGCGGAACACCCTGGTGCAGCGCTCCACGTCCCGGAGGCTGACAAAGCTGCACTCACCCTCGCTGGCCCGCATGAAGGCCTGCGAGGCAGCCAACACCTCCGCGACCACGTGCACCCTGTCCGCGGCCAGCCCCAGGGGGCCCACCAGCCTCTGCACGATCTGCTGGATATAGCGTTTCTCCACCGCGGCGTCCAGCTGCCCAAAGTCCCACACCAGGGGCACCAGGCTGGGGGGGAGGGCGTGCACGCGGTACACCAGCTGCCTCAGGGGAATGGTGCCCAGCCTGTCGGCCGTCTCCTCCGCACGGACCCTGTACCCCAAGCCAGCCGCCTCCAGCCGGCAGATCATCTCCTGGGAGTGCTTGCGGTATGGGTTGCAGGCGGCCACGATGTGCAGGCCGGAGTCCTCGACCAGGGGCTGGCCGTCCACCGTCCGATCGCACAGCACCTCCTTGATGCAGCTTATGGCCTCCGTGGTGTTGGCCTCGTCCAGGAACAGGATGGTGTCCAGCTGGTGCTGGTCCCTATTGAAGAGTGCCAGCTCCTGTGCCTCCCTGACCTTGGCATAGATCATGTCCGCCGTGGTCCCTCCGTGGACCTTGACCAGCAGCAGGGTCTGGGCATCGGCGCTCCCCCGCCGCAGCTCGCTGAGGAAGCGGACGAGCCGGGTCTTGCCGCAGCCCGTCTCCCCCATGATGACCACGGGGATGCCGCAGCGGAAGCGCATCTCAATGGCCAGGATCTTCAGCATGTTGTCCGTGGTCAGCTCATATGTGTCATCGGGGTCGAAGGGCCACTGCACCCCCAGGGCCAGGCAAAGCCGCTCGAGCTTCTCGTGCCGGGGCAGCTCGTCAAAGTTGATGTTGAAGGGCACGCGCTGCCACTGGAGGTCACGGCACAGCCTGCTGGTCATCACGTTCCTCTTGATCACCTCCCCGTGTGCGGGGTCCACAGCGTCCACACCACCCTGCTGGTTGGGCTGCAGGTGGAAGCCTATGAAGGTCATGGTCGTGTGGTCATCGTTGAAGAACACGTAGGGGTGAGGTTCCGACTCCCACCTCTTGCGGAGCGAGAAAGGGGCCAGATCTTCCTCCCGGACCCCACGCATGCTGACCGTGGGCTGCCCAGGGCTCTGGTCGGACATGTGCAGGGTCGGGGTGGCAAAGTCCCTGGCCATGCATATCATGAAGGTGACCACGAAGGTCTTGAAGCCGCTGAGCACGTCTCCTGTGGCACTGGCCTGGCAGAAGAGGGAGGCCTCGCAATCCCGGAGCTGGTAGTTGAGGAAGCCCGCGAAGTTGCGCATCTCCAACCAGGACGGGTCGAGGACCCCGCAGTAGATGAGCAGAAGCTGCAGGCACTCCCCGGGGGTGTCCTCCACGGAGCCGTCTTTGTACTGGAAGCTGTCCAGGTCCTGCTTCTGATAGAAGCGCTTCAGGTACTGGTAAGGCCGCTGGAAGGTCTCGCTGCAGAACTCCTGCTCGTCCATTCCCGGGTCCCTGAGGCGCTGCGTGGGGCTCAGCTCCAGGCTGATCACTTCTTTGGGGGGCCTGCAGGTGACTTTGGGGAAGATCTCCAGGATGCCGAACTGGGGGACACGTGCGCTCTGGAAAGGGGAGCAAATAAAAGGGTCACAACAGGATTTTGTAAAAACACTTCTGCATCACGCCCAGGCCTTCTGCCTGCAGACCTTTACGGAGAATCGCTTTCTGGGGGCACTTCTGTGGGGCCACCTCCCAGGGGCTGTGGTCCTGCTTTGCACGTCCAGGCACACGGGCGGGCAGTACAGCCGGGAGGCCTATTCCTGGTGAGTTTTCCGAAACGAATGTTCCCATGAAATGTGCATGCATGCGTGTGCACGTGTGATACGTGCGGACACGTGTGGGTGTGAGCACGGGCATGTGCAAGAAAGTCCCTGTGGCTAGAAGTATCCCAGGATGGCGCCGGGTCCCAGCTGCACCGAGACTCAGCGCTTCCCTCCACACAAGCTGCGCCTCGGAGCCTTGCCGCCCGGATCCAGCATCAACCCAAGACGCTACGATCTCACGGGAGGACCTTCAGTCCAGGCCTCAGAGAGTCAGCTTGGAGAGGGATGTTTCCTAACACCACCCAGTGGCTTCTCGAGGACAAAACGGGTGGCTCTGGAGGCGAGTCCACCTGACCTGTGAGGGGCCCCTGCCAGCCGCTCACCTGCCTCGCAGCCCTCTCTGGCACCGCCGAGGCGCCCTCCAGGATCTCAACGATGTATAAGTGGCGCGGGTTCCGGAGCCACATTTTCCCGTTCGCATCCATCAAGTGCCGCAGCACGAGCAGCTTGAACAGGAACTCCGGGACGCCGGTGCGCACCTGTGGGCCACACACACTCACGCGGCCGCCTGCCCACAGCCCCAGCCGGCCCGCCCCGGGGGCCCGACGCCAGCACGCGCAGGGGAGGCGGGCAGCACTCACCGTGGAGGTCACGTCCAGGTGGACGATCATGGGGTGCCCCTGATAGCGGGCGTCCAGGAAGGGCAGCAGGGCGTCCAGGACCTGCTGCTCGTCCACCTGGGGGTCAGTCAGGCGAATGACCTTCAGAGGCACATCCACCTTGTTCAACCGCCGCTTCAGCTTGTCATGCAGCCTCCTCACGTAGAGCGACTTCCCTGCCAGGAACGTGGGGTCAGGGGTTGGGGGCACCAAGGGCAGGGGCCTCAAGAGCCCCCCTGCCAGCCCCTCCCCACAGGGCCCCATCACCTCTGAATCCCCAATTCACAGTGGCTTCTCCGTGCCACCCCAGGGCCAGGATGGGGCCCAGGCTCGGGCGGGGAGGGGCATATCAGGCCCCGCAGTCCGGGGATCCTGATGGCCAGACGGTCCCGAGGGGCTGGCTTCTCAAAGCGACCTCCACTGGTCACCCCACCCATGCCACCTGAGTGGCTGAGGGGGCCAAGAAGGAGCCTGTGAGGAGGTCCCCGGAGTAGGGGGGCCGGCTGGGAGCCGTCCAAGTGGGGCACTGTGAGTCCAGCTCCCACAAGCCTCCCGGCTCAGCCTCCCCACCTGCGGGAGGGCTTTCCGGAGGCCTGGCTGACAGGGCCTGGGGACACAGGGGGCCTGCCTGCCCCACAGCAATCATTACCAACTCCCGCTCTCTCCGAGGCCACGATCCCGACGCACGCCTGGTCTTGGAACACGGCCCCTGCCGCTGGGGCCTGAGTCGGGGCCTGGAGATGGAGCAGCAGGTAGGCCTGGACGGCCTCCAGGGGCTGCTGGGGCGTGACCAGGACCTTGTGCTGGCTGAAGGCGGAGGGTAGACCGCAGTGCTCCCGCTCGGAGTCGCAGACCAGCACCAGCTGGTAGTCCTCACGGTGGGGCCGGGAGCTCAGGTGCCGGAGCAGCTCCTCGGCCTGGCAGCCCACCTCATAGCTGAGCCGGTCGGCGAATAGCAGGCTGTAGAGCCGGCGGCCGCAGGCACCAGGGGCCAGGCAGCGGCGCAGGAGCAGCGCCACCTCCTCGAACGTGGTGCCTGGGCCACAGAGCAGCACCTCATCGTAGCTGGGCAGCGGCTGCTCTGGGCTCTGCATGTAGATGGCCAGGGTGGCCGGCAGCACCTCGGCCTGGGGGCAGACCACAAGGTTGGGCTGGCCGCCCTGCAGGCCCTTGGGCAGCTGTCGCTCCACTGGAGGCCCGGCCGCCTCAGCCAGGCGAGCCAGGCAGCGGCCGAGGCTGTCCAGGTCCAGGTAGGCGGGCAGGAAGGTGCCCATGCACTGCATAGACTGCTCCAGGAAGACCCTCAGCCTGCCCGCCAGGCTGGGCTCAGAGGTCACCAGTGCCTGCAGCTCCCCCAGCTCCCGCCTCTGCTGCCTGGAGGCCTGGCTCTTGGCTCCCCTGCAGGCGTCCGCCACATCCCTGGGGGTGCAGCCGCCCTTGAGGAAGGACAGCATGGTGAGGGCGGCCTTGCTGGGGACCCCCTCCCCGAGCTCCACGCTCAGGTACACCAGCTGTTCGGCCGTGTAGTAGTTCAGGTAGACGTGCTCGGCCCGCGCCTGGGCCACGGAGCCCTGCCAGTGCGCCAGGAAGGCCTCCAGCTCCCTGCAGACGTCCATCAGCAGGCCAGCCAGTGGCCCGCGCCCCTCCAGCTGCTTCACTGGCCCCAAGTGGAAGTCCATGATGACGGAGCCCTCCTGGGGGGCGCAGATCACCCGGGCCGCCCAGGACCTGAACAGCATGTTCCCGGCCGAGTAGAGGTCGATGAAGGCCTGCACCAGGTTCTGCACACCACAGAAAACCTGTGGACGGGCCAGGGGAGACACCGTGTGAGGCTTGTGTCCACGACAGCATGCGGGTGGGCCAGGAGGACGGGATACGCCCCCACGCCCCTGAGCCTGCCCCAGTCATGGGCACCATGCCTGGAGCAACCTGTGGGAGGGGCCGTGGCCGTGCAGGCGAAACCCCGTGCTGCAGCGACCCTGTGCCTGGGACGGGCTGCTACGTCATCAGTGTCCTGCCGGGTCACAGAGGAGGGCTCCGGCTGACCGCCTCGCCCACAGCACAGGCTTCAAGAAGGAGCGAGCACAGGGGCGTGCTGCCCGTGGACGCCAGGTGTCAGTGCGGCCCCCACATGCCTCAGAAGCACTGGCTCTCACCTCGGAGAAGGCCTCGACTTCCGTGGCGCTGCGCTCTCTCTTGCCGGACATCAGCATGAGCTTGTTGAGCAGCTCCTTCAGCTCCTCCAGGGAGTAGCGCCGCTCCTGCCCGGGGTCCCTGTGGCTCTCGGGAAGCAGCAGGTGCAGGACCGCGTCTGGGGAGATCTGGGAACAGCTCGCGCTTAGGGGGTGTTCTCTGTTGGTGACCCCAGCCTGGAGCGCCATGGCGGCCTGCGGGGCTCACCTTCTGGCCACGTGGGGGGGCCTGGATCACGTAGACGCCCTTGCTATTGATGGTGGTGGCCAGGGACAGGGAGGACAGCTCCACGGACCCGTGGCTCTCCCTCACCGTCTGCAGCCACTCCAGGTTCCTGGCGGAGTCCCGCTGTGGACAGGAGAGGAGGCCGTGGCCATGGTCGTCTTCCTCCCGGCACCTGCCACCTCCCTCCCCGCCCCCTGCACAGCCACCTCCTCCTGCCGCCCCACTGGCCCTCCCCCGGGGCGTCCACCCCCAGGGCAGGCCTCCCTCCGCAGCTGTGACCCAAGTGCCCTGCTCAGTCCCCATGTGGGCTGCTGTGCTGCAAGGGGCTGGTCCCGGCCCCACCGCCCAGCCCCGCCAGTGCAGGAGGCGCCCGGCTGAGACTCGGGAGGACGGATGGTGGCCAGGCCAGGCCCAGCCCGGGGGAAGGCCTCGCATCTGCGGGAGCCCAGCTGGGAGAGGTGCTCAGAACTGGGGTGCCGTGGAACCCCTCGTCCTTGAGGTCCTTTGGGGGCCCCAAGCACAGCCAGGAGAACCAAGGAAGAGCTGCCGCCTCAGCTCCTGGCTGTGCCGCCTGCCCTGTGTGCCTGCGGCCGCTGGCCCTCACCCCCAGAGGCCCTGGGCCGGGGTTATCAAACGCCGTTGGCACCGGGGCCAGGAACACACCCTACCAGTTTACTGGGCAGGTGCTGGTCGTTTTCCAGAGCCTTCCACAGCTCTCCCAGGCACTCCATGAACTCGTGGAAGCCGGCGGTGATGGGGAGGTCGTAGAGCAGTGAGGCGCAGCCCTGCACGGCGTCGTGGAAGCAGGCCACGCGGTCCACGTCCATGTCGTTCTCGCCCGCCGAGATGGAGGCCAGGTCCACGAACACCTTCAGCTCCGTGATGCCTGCGGGGGCGGCAGTGAGCGGGGCCCTGGGACGAGAGCCCGGCCGGAGCCGCCGGCGGCGGCTGAGCAGGCCCACGGGGTTTAGCCTTGTCCCCACACATCTCCCTTTCACTCAAGGTGAAACAGGCGTGGTGGAGAGCAGCCACGTCAGGAACGGGGTCAACTCTCTCCAGGCAACTCCCTTGCCACCGGGTGTCAGGGTGACCCCAGGGTGGGAAGGTGGAGAAACCCGCTGCCCGCAGGCCTGCCCACCCAGCCCCTCCCTCCGTGAGCGGACGTCAAGGCCCTTGGCTGGCACAGAGATGCCGCCAGTCGGGACATGGGGATACAGGCTCGTGGGCAAATGCTGTCCCCGTCACCCATGAGGATCAGGCAGAGGAAAGAACCAAAGGGAACAAGGTCTTCAAGAAGCCGCCCGCCCAGTCGCTGCCCAGCGTGTGGGGCCGGGGAGTGGTCAAGGAAAGCCTTCCCACGCCAGGATGTGCCAAGTATTGTCAGCCCACAGTCTGCAGCTGTGCATAAGCTAATCAAGAAGGCAGCGCTCCCCTGTCCTCCACACAGCATGCCGCCCGGGGGACCCCCACCCCCACAGCCTCAGGATGGGCGCACCTCTGAGAGCCTTCTGGGCCCAGCAGATGAACTCCCGCCGCCTGGCCAGCTCCTCTAGGAACTCGAGCCGGGCCCCGGAGATGTCCTGCAGGAGCTTCCTGGCCTTGATAAGCTGCCGGCTGATCCCGCCCAGTTTTTCATGGCAAAACTCCTTGAAGTTGTCCGTCTGCAAGAAGAGACTCCCCTGCAGACCAGAACCAGCTCCACCCTGGAGGCTGAGCAGCGACACCCTCTGAAGCTCCCCACGGCCCAGATGCTGCCCCACCACGCCAGTGATGGCCACGCCTGTACCGACGCGCCATGGAGCCGCTGCCACGGGAGCCTGCCAGGAAGGGGTTCTTGTTTGTGTATTTTAAAGAAAGGGAGGTCCGGGAGCCTCTCTGGTGGCCCAGGGGTTAAGCACAGCACTATGGAGCTGTCCGCAGCCTCTGCAGCACGAGTTTGATCCCCGGCCAGGGAGCTACCCACATGGCGCTGCAGACCTCTCCTGTCTCCCCGCTGCTCCCCTCAGCAGTGGGTTTCAGTGGATCCGCCTGTTCTGTTCCCCACTCTGTCTCTGAGGAATCCTCTTGCCCCCCGCATCTCTGGCCTGTACCCCAGTTCTTGTTCACATAAATAAATAAATCTCAGGGGGAAACAAAAGAAACAAAGGTCCAAGCCCAGGCAGGACAGCTGCCGGATCCCAGCTAAGCGCATGGGCCCAGGTGTGCACATGCCTGACCGGGGCACGCAGGTGCCCGATGGGCTCTCCAGGCCAGCACAAGGGCGGCTCCCTGTGCACGCGTCCATGGGGCTTACGGCTCCCGCCAGCCCCAGCGTGGGAGTGGACGAGACAGAGCCCGGCCACAATTTAATGGGGTCAGACACCTTCTCGCAAATATCAGACACCACAAGAGGGTCGCGGGCCTGCCCCAAATGCTCGGCACTCGTCACGACCCAGGAAACACCCAGCCAGAAGCAGTCGTGGTATTTATAACGAAGCCCTTGGCACCCCAGGCACCGGGTAAAATCCCTACGAGAATTCCTGGCAGAAGCTGTAAATCACCCAACCAGCATTTCAAAACCAGAAAGCCACGGGTCCCCGGGAGTATGAGCTGGGGTTCCGGCCCCACCCAGGGGTCTCTGCCAAATCACTTACAAAGTTTAACAACATTTGGAGAACGCTGAAGTCACCGGTGAGGCCCAAATTCTCTTTGACCGTCAAGATGGCCCTGGCGGACTCGGCCGCCAGGTGCAGGCGGTGGTATTCCTGGATCTGCTGCACACGCTCTGGGATCCAGTCCCCCGGGTCCCCGGCGCTCAGGCGGCACATGAGCTGGAGCTCATGGGTCAGGTCGTTGTATCTGTCCACAAAGTCCTTGAAGATGTTATCGATGTCCTCGAAGGTGACCTCTCCCGACTCCACATTCTCGTACACCTCCATGAAGGAACGGAAGCAAGGAGAAAACACGTTCTCTTGGACCTCCTCGAGCAGGACAACAGGCCTCGTGGACACGTCCCCGGGCGAGCCGTGTGCCACCGCCTCCTCCCGCCAGAAGGCCTGGAAGACGAGGCTGTCCCGGAGCAGGTGCATAGTGCGGGCCATCTCCCGCAGCTGGGGGCTCAGGCTGTAGAGCCGCGTGCCCTGCGGCTCCGAGGACGCGGCCGGCGCGCCCACCGCCATGACGTCACTTAGTCTTTGACTCGCGAGGTCTTCCAGATGTCTGTTTTCAATGTCTCCAAAATCCACTTTTGAAACCAAAAAAAGAAAAAAAAGAATGTCAGCGCCAAACCAGCCGTCAGCAAACGCTGCCTTTACTTCCCTAGACGGGCTCGTGCGCCGACGCCCTGACAGACGGGCACTTCGGGCGGAGAGGACAGCTGGGAAGCGTCCACCCGCGCCCCTGCCACCTGGTGCCGGGACAGGCCGCTCCTAGAGCCGGAGGAGAACGCGAGATGGAAGGGGCCTGGGGCTGCGGCCCCGGGGCTCCTGAAGTCTCCAAGTGACTGTGTCACCAGGACACAAACAGCTGTCAGAGTCGGGAACCGGACCTGAGATCAGCATATCGAAGCAAAGCCTAGGACAAGACGGACACTGACGCTACAGAGAACCTAGGCTGTCTCCGGGGTGCCCAACAGTCAGCATGGCCATCAGTCCAGCGGAGCCGAGGGCCAGCTCCGAGGTGCCTGGGCATGGCGGGGCGGGGGGTCTCAACGGGGGCTCTAGGCAGAGGCCTGCCCGCTGCGGGTGACGCGTGGGCCTGCAGCTTGTCTGTAGGGGTAAGCACCAAAAGCAGCAAGGGGACCCACAGCACTTTCTAGAACATCCTGCACTTAAAAAGCCCCACCTCTGCGGTCAGGCGCCCACGTCCTGCTGCCCCCGCTGACCGTCTCCCCACGGCTCCCGAATGCTTCCCGCCCAGGCCCTCACCTTCGAGCACGTCCTGCACCTTCCCGCACGTCTTCAGCAGACTGTCGACGTAACTCTGCTCTGTCCTGAGAAACGACAGCTCGCGGCTCCGGCCCGCCAGCACGTCCGTCATCTCACACTGCCCCCGCTGCGGCGGGAGGCTGCTTCTCTCTGAACAAAAGAATGTCCCGGTAGAACCAGCACCACCCCGCCCCTCCCTGGCAGCCATGTCCACGCTGCGGGGCGCGGGGATAGCGCCCCCTCCTGGTCACTGAGCCACGCCCGCCGGCCACCTACTTATCTTCCAGATGTCGAGAAACTGGCCCCGGCGCCTCAGGATCAGCTCCAGCTGCCCCACGCGCACCGCCCCACTGTGGAGGTCGCTGGCCACTCTGGTGAACACGGAGTCAGCCACGTCCAGCAGCCTCCTGCTCTCCTCGGTGATGCCAGCCAGCACTTTCTCATCGCTTCCTGCGCGGGCGAAGCAGAGGGCCAGGACAGTGGGGTCACTCCTGCCCCATCTGAGGCCCGAGATGGCCAGGGACACCTCGCTGCTTGGCCCTCGTCCACATAAGCCCCAGCCCGCCCGGGCGGGTGTCCCTCCGCGCTGGCCCTGGCATCTCCCACACGGCCTCCTTGCCCACAGCGCGTCCTCCGGGCCCGCCAGCCAGGAGCACCCCCGCTCGGGTCCGCATGCGCCCCCACGGCGAGGCTCTCGGTTGCCGAGCGGGCAGGACAGGACCGAGCGGGCAGACCCGGCACGTACCGCACAACTTGAAGATGTGCTTGATGTCCGGGCCCGTGAGCAGGTGCTCGAGGACCTCCTCCTCGTCGTCCACGGCGGCCCCGCGGCGCCGGGGCCAGGCCTGGGAGACCACGGCGGACACGAGCGTGCCGAAGTGCCTCAGGTCGGAGTCGGAGAGCCCCTCCAGCACGCTGGCCTGAGACTGGGGGGCAGAGGGCGGTCTCAGCGACTTTCTTAGAGACCGGCTTGCCTTTCGATAAATCACCCACTAGGCTTTCAGAAGTCTTTGGGAATAAGTTTCCCAGCCTCAAGAAAAAGCAAGAGTAAAACACTTATTTTTCCTGGGGCATTCCCGATCCCTGGGGTCACGTGTCCCTTAGAAACGAACTCAGGGGCGGAGCCAGGCCAGCGCTCGGACGCGCCCCTCAACGCCAGCCGACCGGGCGCCCCCTGCACGGCCCGGCCCGGCCCTCCGTGTCCCAGAAGCCAACATCTAAGGCACGAGGCGCTCTGGTCCCGAGCTGCAGGCCTCCGCCGGGCTACTGCAAGCACCACCCACGTTAGGACTCTCTCTGGATCCCTCCAAGACACGGGAGGCTTTGCTTCCTCACGGCCAGCGCGCTGACAAGGCGTTTCAGTTCCTAGCAACAAATGCAGCCAGGGGGGTTCCCAAGAGAGGCTTGTGGATAGAAGGACGGAAGCGCGCCTTCCCCAGCGACAGCCAAGAGGATCCCACACCGGAACCAAGTGGGCTCGCCCAGGGAGGGGAGACTGCCTCCACGTTTTCCAAAATCACTTCGTGAAAGTCGGGAATAAAAATAAAATCACAGAATCTCCTCAATAGGCACAGAGAAAGCATCGGACAAAACGCAACAGCCCTTGAAGAGGAAAACACCGACCAGCGAGGACTGTCCCCGCCAGGCCCATGGAGGGCCCGGCTGACAGCGCCCTCGGGGCGACACTGAAACTCCCTCAGACCAGAACCGAGATGAGGCTGTTGGCCCGCAGCGCGCGGTTCAGCGGTTCAGCCGGCGCCGGGTCCAGCCAGGTGGTCAGACGAGGGAAAGGCAGCCGGGTGGGGAGGACGAGCCAGCCCCCCCCGCCCCCAGGGACACAGAGCGGGCGGCCCCTGCCCAGGGGCCGCCAGGGCAAGCCCCCCCTTGCGGAAAAGCCCTACATGAATTGGCAGAACCTCCTCCCCACCCCTCCTCAAATGTTCTGTCCGCCCCCTTGCTGCAGGGGGCCTTGATGCCCCAGCCAGAGAAGACACCGGCAAGCAGCGAAGCTAAAGGGCCTCACACCGCGGGGCCGAAGATTCCTTGTGCCTCACACCGTGGGGCTGAAGATTTAACATCCCTTCATTTTTGGTTCTTGGTCATAAAAGGAGAAAAATTTATCGGAAAGTACATTAGGCAATAGATGACACGCATCCGCAGACTAAGTACATGGCACGGAAAATTGCCTGTTTAGAAAATTAGTTATTAAACAATTTGGCCCACTTGACGATGGGGGACGATTTATTGTCCACATCTGACAAGCCATCCAGCACAACTATTATAGCAAGTCCTTCTTTTGCTTTTTTAGAAGTTTCTTAGGAAAGTTTTTAAATGAAGTTGACTGTGTTAAGGAGTTTCTAGGTAGAAAAAGCTCTGAGAGCTGAGCAGCAGCTGGTCCCCGGCTGAAGGCCATAAGAATAGAAGAGTCTTTGGATGCTGAGGCTTTGGCGGATAGGGGTGCCCTGGCGGCTCTCCACTGTCTTAGGTCATTGGCCAGCGGGAATAATAAGTTTTAGTGTTAGGTTTGGTTTTTTATCTATTAACCTTGAAGGCCACCGTCTAGCTGAGACCCGCAGGAGCCAGTAGCCCATGGGAAGAAAATACACTCATTGTTTCTGCTTTGCCCATGATGATGTAATTTTTCTGATTACTAAAATGAATAAATCAAGACCTGCTGAGTCTCTCGGCAGAAAATACTTGCACCCCATCCAGTGTCAGCGTCTCCTCCATCCCCTTCCCTTCAGCCCTTAACGTGTCGCCGAGGCCGTCCATCCTTTCATGAACCCCTGACACGACATTTTGCTGGAGGCTGGTCCCCGGCACCCCCTGGTGTCTTTCGCTTCGCGCCTGCCCACGCGGGGGGCTGCAATTCCCGGAGGGGGGATCCCATCGGAGCAGGACGCTGAGGGACACTTCTGGGGTCAGAACTGCCCCTCAGCCATCACTGTGGCCCCAGCCAGCCCCTCCCCAAAGAGCCCAGCGGTCACCTGGCAGACCATGCCCACGGCCTCAAGGGCACATTTCTCAAAGCACTTGGACACGCTGTCTCCCGAGCGGGTGGTGGCGCGGTGCACGTGGCAGAACATGGTGATCTGGACATGAGGCGGCTCCTGCAAGAAGAGGGTTGGGGATCCTGGGTGCTGCACCCCGACATTCTGGGTGGACATTATGTCCACTTTCCCGTGATGTCATCAGTCCCCATTACTTTAACCATGTTCCCACCCACACAGAGTCCACCCACCCCCCATGAGGCCACCAGGTTCAGATTCAGCCTCCTGTCCCCTCTGCAGATAAGCACCGCCAACCGCCTGCAGGGCCAGGGCCTCTGGAGAGCAGAAGGGGCTCCTGTCCCTTGTTTCCACCTGGTCTGTTCAGCAGCAACAGTCACGCCCAATGCCCTCCTGCCAGGCTAACAGGAAAACACCCTCGTCGTCCTGAAGTCCTTAATTAAAAAAGGGCATTTTGCGCTGCTGGTGGGAGTGCAAACTGGTGCAACCACTAGAGAGAGCTGATGGAGATTCCTCAACCTGCTAAAGATGGAGCTTCCATAGGATCCAGCCATTCCACTCCTAGGTATTTACCCAGAAGACACAGAAACATCCATTCCAAAGAGCACCTGCACCCCTATGTTTATAGCAGCACTGTTTACAATAGCTAAGCTTTGGAAACAGCCCAGATGCCTAAAAATAGATGACTGGATCAAGAAGATGTGGTGCATATACACCATGGAATATTACTCAGCCTTCAAAAAAGATAAACACATGCAACTGGCAGCAACATGGATGGCGCTGGAAGGGATCATGCTCAGCGAAGTAAGCCAGAAAGAAAAAGAAAAATACCGGATGGTCTCACTCATAGCAGGAATCTAGAAAACCTAAATAAGGGACCAGGAAAAAGACTAATTATAATAAAGTAAAAATCAAAATCAACAAGCAACTATAAACCAGAGACTACGGAGGGAGAAGGGAGTAGGATCAAAACAAGGGGGGTGGGAACTGCACAGGGACGATAATCAAGATGAAAAGGCCTACATTGTGCAAAAATGAAATATGATGTAAAAAAATGTATGAAATTTTAAAAATAGTAAAAAATAAATTTAAAAAAAGGGGCATTTAGGGTTTTCTGTTTGTCAGCTTAACCAGCTCCCGTCACCAGCAGCCGCTGGGCACATTGGCCCGAGACGGGCCCACGCGGAGGCCGGCCAGTCCTCCGGCGCCTCTGGAGGGGCCTCTGGGCCAGGCGGCTGCTCCATGGGATGGAGGTGGGAGCACCGGCGCGTCCTCCGGTGCCGTGACGTGCCCTGCCCCGTGCCCTCAGGCCACCCTCGTCCACTGCCTCTCACTGCAGTCTGGCACCGTCCAGCCCGCCCCGCCAGGTACCTGCTTGATCCTCCCTTCCATGTCCCTCAGCAAGGCCTCTTTCCAGCCGAGCTCCGCGGGGACGTTCATCTCCACCAGCCGCCTCCAGACCTGGGGGCACGGGCAGGGGCAGTGACGCGACAGGGAGACGCCCGCGAGACCCCGAAGACACGGCTGGTGACCGGGGCCGGGTCACGGCGAGGACCCGGGAGGCGGGGGGAGGGCCTGGGCGTCTCCAGCACGGAGCCCCAGCCAGGCCCAGCGCCCGCCCGAGCCCGGGCCAGCTCCCTGCAGCGGCGCCTCCCGCTGGACCCATCCCCACCGCCCGCCCTTCCAGGCTGACCCGCCCCTCAGTTTAGGGCCCTGGCGCCAGGACCACCTCCCGCCCTGCTGCCACCTGAACCTCACACAGCCTGGGCGCCGGGCCAGCGCCTCTCCCCGCAGCCGCGCCTCGGACGGGCGCCCCCGCCCCGCTCACTGCCTGGTGGGGAGTGCGGTCTGCAGGCTGGTGCCGGCGGGGGACGGCCTGGGCGGGGGACGGCCTGGGCAGGGGACGGCCTGGGTGGGGGACGGCCTGGGCGTGGAGCTGTGGAGGGGCCAGGCCCGGCAGCAGCGCTTCTCGCCGCGCTCACCTTGATCTCCTCCTCGCAGGAGAACCAGGCTGACAAGGAGTAGCTGACGTTGCACATGCGCCGCACGAAGACTTTCCGGAGCCACGCTCTGGTGGCTTCCAGAGTCTCCCGGAAGATTGCTTCTCCTGAGTTCTCCTCCCGAGTTTCCTCTCCCCTCCCAGCTGCCGGGCCCTGTGAGGGGGAGAGAGTCAGAGCTCGGGGGACCAGCCACGCCCGCACCGACCTTCGTGGCTGAGGCTCAAACACACTGGCCTCGCGAGCAGCCTGCTCCAGCAACACGCTGTTTTTTAAGTAGAAGAGCTGGGGTGCAGGACAGAGGTGTTGGAGGTGAGAGGATTCACCAGAGACAGGGTGGGGAGCAGAACAGGCGGATTGACTGAAATCCGCTGCCGAGGGGAGCAGTGGGGAGACAGGAGAGGTCTGCTGCGGCCTGTGGGTCACTCCCTGGCCGGGGACAGAGCTCAGGCCGCAGGTGACAGCCTGAGACCGACCACGGGAGGCCCCAAAAGCACCTTATTCTCCGGCTCCTTCAAGGTTTGCTGAGAGTAGGTAGGGGAGGGAACGGTGTGGGGAGAGGCACGAAGGCCCCACGCCTGACAGGGCCCCGGACAGCAGCACACAGCCCTGGGCTGGGTGGGGAAGGACGCGCCCCCACGGCAGAGCCTCTGGCTGCAGGGACCCCAAGCCGTGGCCCAGAGGTGAAGCCCTGCTCCTCACTCCTAGCTCCTGCCTCCTGGTCTCCACGCCGCTCCAGAGTAATCCCTTTCCCTCCGGGTCAAGGACGCAAGCTCCCTCCTCCCACCCTCCCTTCTAGAACAACCCAGAAGCTCCAGCCTGCAGTGACGCCACGTGGGGTGGTCTCGCCTGCAATGCGGCTCATCTCCTGCCCCCTCTCCCCAAGCCAGCAGGGACTGCTCTCCCGGGGGCGCCAGCCTCTCTCGAAGCCCCGACGTCACCATGACGGCCGCGCCCAGCGCCCCTCCATCCCGGGACCGCCGTAACTTCCCCTGGGGGCCCTTCCTGCGCCCGCTCCAGGGAGCCTGCCCGGGGCCGGCAGAGTGGGCAGCAGGCCATGGGCCCGTGTTTGACCTGGTTCTGCACAGCGTCCTGCTGGCGCCCAGGGAAGGGTCTGGCCTCCCGGTCCCAGGTATGGTCCCCATCGCTCCGGCAGGACAGAGGGTCTCGGGGACACCCCTCCAGCACAGCCTGCCAAGCTGACAGAGGGCACGGCCCTCTGGTCTAAGCCGTGCCCAGCTCAGGAAAGGCCACCTCCCCCCAGGCACGTTTCTATCCACACGCGTCTGTGGTGTTTTAAGGAAAAACTAAGACTAAAGCTTACTTGATTTCTTGTTTCCATCACTGAGGTTCTGACTTGGGGAAGGTTCATGAACAAACGGTTGGTCTAAGAAAATCTCCCAGCACCTTCACCTCGCGCGGGGCCCGTGGCAAGGGGCGCCGGTGAGCGGTGTGGACGGAGCCCCGAGGCGCGGGTGCAAAAGGTGCCAGTTCAAAGATGGCAGAGGGACCCCACGGTGGGGCCACCTTGGGGAGGGGAGGGGAGCCTGGCACGGGCAGGACCAGCCGACTCCTGTGTGCGAGGGCACCGAGGCGGGGACTCCCCGGGTTGGACGTGCACTTGGGGGCCGGCCGACTGGCCTCCTGCTCCTCAGGACACCCCCGGGCACCTGCGCTGCCCCACCTCCCTCTAGTGAGAGCCTGGGGCAGGCTCTGAAGCCCCCCACCCCCCCAGAACAGAAGCAGCGGCGGCCAAGCCCCTACAGATATGGGGACAGAATCACTCAGGGCCGCTGCTGAGAATCCACCCACCTCTGCGGCCACCTGGGGCTCCAGGCCAGCCCTGGGCGCGGCTGCACCCACTTACCGCGCGGGGCTCCAGGGAGGCGATCCTGCACATGAGCTCCGCGGACAGGGCGGGCAGCTCGAAACTCTTGTACTCCCGTGTGATGCTGCAGACGGTTTTGTGGAACTTCTGGCACAGGGTCAGGTGGGACTGTCCCAGGGGCGCCTCGAGGACCCTGTGGCAGGGTTGGGACAATCACCAGGGCTGCCCGGGGAGTGTAGACGTCATGCCACTGCCCTCGAAGCCCACTCGTGGGCGCTGGCTGGACCCCACACGGCGTCAGACCGCCCGGGGCGTGCCACTGCGACGGATAGTGAGTTCCGGCCGCCTGCGCCCTGGACGGTTCTGCCGAAGCGAGCGACACTCCCCAGGCTGCTCCCTCCTGTCAGCAGAGCTGGGTGAAGAGGCGGGTGAGAAGTGGCAGGTCGTGTGCCACGCATGGACCCCGCGCTCCCGCGCACCAGGTCTCACGGGCATGGGGACAGGCCTGGCTGGGAGTTGCCATCAGAGCTTAGAAGGTGGGGGGCGGGTAAGTCTAGGGGAGTCAGGGGGTCCCTGATGTCCAGGTGCGGGGGAAGGTCTGGGGGGGTCAGGGGGTCCCTGATGTCCAGGTGCAGGGGAAGGTCTGGGGGGGTCAGGGGGTCCCTGATGTCCAGGTGCAGGGGAAGGTCTGGGGGGGTCAGGGGGTCCCTGATGTCCAGGTGCAGGGGAAGGTCTGGGGGGTCAGGAGGTCCCTGATGTCCAGGTGTGGGGAAGATCTGATGGGTCGGAAGGGGTCCTTGATGTCCAGGTGTGGGAGGAAGGTCTGGGGCAGTCAGGGGGTCCCTGATGTCCAGGTGATTGACATTAGCCAAGATATGACCCCATCCTGCAGACCCTAAGAACCACACAAGGTCACCATGGAAACACCCCACAGAGCACCGAGACACCGGAGCTGTGCGTGCGTCTCTGTCTGGCCCCGGCGTCCTCGGGGCCACCGCACAGCGGCCGTCACACGGCAATGTCCCCCTTCTCTCCCGGGGCCTGCGCTGTGACCGCCGCAGAAAGACCGAGTGTGACGGAGCCGGCCGCAGGGGGCCGCGGGAAGGAGGCGGGAGAGGCGGAGGCTGGCTGCCCACGGTCGCCACGTTCTCTGTCTTGAACAACAGAGGGCGGCCGTGGACGGGAGAGGAGAGGTGGGTCTGGGCCGGCCAGCCCTGGGCGGCAGGCGGGCGCCCCCACTTACTGGCCCCCGTAGATGTCCAGGAGGTGCAGCAGCATCCTCAGAATCTTCTCGATAGTCTGAGTGGAGAAAGAGCGGAGAGGGGACCTCACGATGGAGCCACTCTGCCCCACACAGCCAGACTGGCGAGCCCACTCCAGGCTGACCTCCGTTTCTCTCTGCGAAATGTTTTAAATGCTCCCAGACTAACCTTCCCTCTTTCACGAATAAAATTCAGGACTTAAAATTTTTGGTTCATTTTTCAGGATTTCAAACAGCATTTCTCCACCCAAAACTCAGGGTCGTGGAGGCGGCGCCAGCCCCGTCCCTCTGAGCGCAGCCCTCGTGGCCTCGCCGCTCTGTCAGCCCCACAAGAACGACACGTTCTGGGTGGTTCATTGTCTTTCTGGTTTGGCCGACAAACCCGCCTTCCTGAGCCCGTTCCCGGCCACAAACCTCGTGGTTCAAGAGGGTGGCCCCCCGGAGCCCGCAGAGCCGGTAGTGGGTGCCCAGCAGGCAGTCCAGGACCCGCGCGGGGAAGCGGCTCAGGTGCTCCGTGGCCTCCTCCATGTAGGGGACCAGGTCGTGCAGCGGCATCAGGCTGAACCAGGACTGGAACAGGACGCTGTCCACACCCAGCAGGTGCCGCCTTTCTTCCATCAGCTGAAGCAGCAGTTTCCTGTTGAAGAGAAAAGGTGCCAGGCGCTCGCAGAGACCCGACCAGCAGGCCGAGTCATGAGAACACAAACTGGCCAGAGGGAGGCGCCCGGCAGCCTGGAGGTCCGTCTCAGGCTGTCACCGCTGCAGCAGGTTGCGATCCCCGGCCAGGGAGCTACCCACAGGGCACAGCAGACCTCGCCTGTCTCCCCGCTGCTCCCCTCAGCAGTGGATTTCAGAGGATCCGCCTGTTCTGCTCCCCACCCTGTCCCTGGGGAATCTTCTTACCGTCCCCACCCCTTGCACCTCTGGCCTGCACCCCAGCTCTTGTATGCATAGATACAGGTTTATAAATAAAACAAACCTCTAAAGGAGAAAAAGCACAGTGAAAAAACACTGACTTCATGGGCGCACTGTTCCAGGCCGGACGCTGTGGGGAGGGGAGGGCTGGGGGAGGGACCCCACCAAGGAAAGGCGAGGGAGACGCTTTCTCTGCTTGCAGATGGGCGCTGGGGCCATTTTTGGTTTTTGATTTGTATCTAAATCGAGCTCCCATTGTCCTTACAGGACGAGAGCTCCAGTGTCTGCTCTAAGAAGCTGCAGCTGACCTCAGAGCCCCTCGGTCCCCCAGGAGCAAGGGTGCGGGGTGCCTCCAGGAAACAGCCCTGCAGGGCGGGCACCGGCCTCCGGTGCGGCCCCAGGGACCCAGCTCGCCTGCGGCACCTGCCAGGCAGGCGGCACAGTGTGGGTTTGTCCGCTGACAGCGCCCACAGCCAGGACAAGAGGCCTGTGAGGCGCTGCCCTCCAGCCCCGAGGCCGCCTGGCAAGCGTGCGGTGGGCAGCAAAGACCTCCCGGGCCGCCCTCCTGCTCCTTCGTGCTTCTCTGCGCGTTCAAAGCAGCAGCCACAGCTCTGCCCCCCGCACCCCCTGAGCGGGGTGAGGTCCTGAGAACCGGGTCAGGGCCACGGCCTCCACTTACATCTCATATCTGTCTTCCCGGAACTCCGCGAAGGGGAGCCCTTCGAGGGCCGCCCAGGTGTCCTCGGGCGGGAGGCTGGTGGCCGTGCCCCACGGGGGCGGCTGTGCACACAGGTGCAGCACGGGCAGGACGCACACCCACAAGTCCACCTGCCTGGCCATGCAGTGCTGGCACAAGTGGACCAGGAGCTCCCGCCACCTGCGGGGTGAAGGGCAAGGAGTTGAAATAGGCTGTTCCTGCCCCTCGGACACCGCCCGCGCGGCCACGGGCTCGTTGCTCTGCACAGGAGCTCGGCGGCCGATCTGCCCAGAGCTGGCATCTCTCGCAGACCCGCCTGCCCGTGGACACCGTCCCGACTCAGCATCAAAGGCCTGCAGAGTCCACCAAAGGCTCCGGGATCCTCCTCCCGGCTGCCAGAACTGACCGTGAAGCTGCCTGGCCGGGAGGGTGGCACGGCACACGGGGACACGGTGCCCAGGGGGCCGAGGACACTGGGTCATGTATGCCTGGCAGGGCTGACCCCCAGGAGGGGGTCACTGGACCCAGGAGCAACGTGGTGACATGGAGCCGGGGCGCCCTCAGCACCCGAGGATGCTGGGCACCGAGCAACCCTCGCTGCAGTGCAAACGGCCCGCACGGAGCTCCGTCCGTCCTTGGACAGCCAGGGACATGGAGGAGCAAGACCGCGCGCCCTCCCGGTCCCCACGCCAGCCTGGAGCGTGTCCCCGCCGCGGCGGTCGGCTGATGGGGGGCCGCAGCTGGACACGGCGCCCTCCCTGCCTCACAGAAACACTCGCGCGTCACCCGCTTTTCCTTGCCCCGACCCGCCTCTCTTCGAAAACGCCTGGCATGTCGTGGCTGTCTAAAATCCATAAAACCAGGGCCTCCCCGGTGGCACAGCGGTTGAGCTCTGGGTTGTGAAGCTGCCCGCGACCTCTGCGGCGCTGGTTCGATCCCCAGCTGCTCCCCGGCCACCGGAGGAGGGTCCCACATGGCGCGCAGACCTCTCCTGCCGCCCGCTGCTCCCCTCAGCAGTGTCCTTCGGTCCTTCTGCCTGCTCTGCTCCCCGCTCTGGCTCTGGTGAATTCTCTCACCCTCCCACGCTTCTGACTGTACCCAGTGCACGTATAAACAAAACAAACAAACAAATAAATAGATAAATAAAAAAACATGCCTCTATAAATAAAATTAAATTAAAAAAATGTTAAAAAAAATAAATAAAATCCATAAAACCAGGGGGCAGGGGCCCCAGAGACCCCCTGGGGTGGAGACCACCAGGTTGTGTGGCCCGACGTCCTCCTCCAGGCCAGCGCCCACGCGGACCCTGAGCCTGCTGGCTCTGGGCAGGCCCCACGCAGGGCCCGAGGCGCCCGCTGGGCACAGGGCTGCCCGGCAGAGGCGGCGGCCGCAGGGATAGCACCCACGAGATTCCCACGAGTCCCACGGTGGGCCCGCCCCGTGCCTGGCCCCAGTGCACACGCGTGGGGTTGCACGTGCCCTGCGGGAAGCTGGGCAGGGTGGGAGACGCAGACATGAGGCCGTGGGACACCACCAGGGTGGCAGCCCCGCACAGCCAGCGCACAGCTCAGATGGACTCGCTGCCCGTTTCCACAAGACCTTGGACACACTCGCCTGTAGGGCGTCCCGAGGAGGGTGGCCAGGTCGTCGTGCAGGGTGCTGGGGGCCATGGCGCCGGGGCTCAGCAGCTGACACAGCATGGACAGGTGGCCATCCGCCAAGGGTATATGGACCATGTCCAGCAAGCAGAGGACGATCAGGCCCATTCTCAGCGGGCTCGTCACCGGGAAGTCTTCGGGCAGAGCGCCCCTGTTCTCACTCAGAAACGGCGCCATTTTCTCCTTCAGATACTCCCACAGGTGTGTCTTCACCTGGTAGCAGGAGAAAGACCCAGGTGTGGCCCCGAAGCACCAGTGTTGAAAGCAGCCACTGCCACCCTCACGTCCGCATGAGCGGGGGCCAGGTCCCCAAGGGCGGAGAGAGCCCCCGGGGGTCGTCCTGCTGCCCTGCTGCCCCGCACAACCCAGACGCCTCGCAGGCGACCACCCCAGGCCAGAGCAGCAGGACCCCTGGGGCCGGCATGGGGGCTCAGGTGGCCCCCTCGCCTCCTGATGCCTCCAGTATGGGCCCTGGGGGCAGAACATCCCAGAAGGGTGGCGGGTCTGTCCCCCACGGCCCCCACACCCTGCCAGGCCACTCCAGGGCAGGCAGAGGAGCAGAGGGGGGTTCCTGCCACCCCCTTCCGGGCTGGGGGAGAAGGTGGGGGTCGGGGTAGGAGGACTCCTCAGGGCGCTATTTACTGTCCCCATCTGGCCAGTAGGGGCCCAGGAGTGCCCTCTGCACTAGGAGGTGGCCGGTGCCAAGTGTCCAGGGAGCCAGGGGCGCGAGTACCTCCTGCTCCCCATACTTCAGAGCGTGCCATGTCTGGGCCCGGCCCTCATACACCATGGGCTCGCGGGCCTTGTCGTAGAACTGCCAGAACCTGGCGAAGAAGCTCTTGATGGTGACGGCGTTCCAGGGCCGCAGGGTCTGGAAGATTTGGTCCAGCATAACCACTGCAGCAAACTTCTTCCCCTTCACCAGGTCCTTCCTGGTACCGTCTGTCATGAAATCCATGAACTTCTGAAACGTTCCAGCAGCAGCCCTCTTGCAGATTATGTCGTCGTACTGGTGCCAGCCTGGAGGGAAGAAGCAGCGTCCTTGGGATGGCCTGGACCGGCCTGCACGCTGGTCTTGAAGGCAGGAGCACACGAAGGAGCTGGGGGGGGAGGAAGCCGGGCGCCCGGAGGGCAGGCGCCAGCCTCCCCCCAACCCGGACCCAGCCCCGACAGGCAGCGTGGGCCCCGGGGGACAGAGCGCTCGGGACGGGAGTCCCAGACCCCGTGATGGGGTGACCTGAGCTGACGCCATCCAGCTGGCCTGAAAGTACTTGTCTCTGCCCAGCCAGGGCGCTCAGCACACCTGGACATGGCCCGTCCCAGGCGCGTGGTCAGCTTGTGGACGGAGCCGACCCCAGGCCCGGGGCGAGAGCCAGCGGGCTCCGTGCTGGGGCGCTGGCCCAGGAGAGCAGTGCGGCTGCCAGGGCGTGGACAGAGCCCTGCGCACACGGCCGGCATGGGGCGGGGGCAAGCCCCACGGCCACTCCTGGACCGCGGCTGTCGCCGGGTAGCTGGAGCTAGTTGGCACTAGCAGAGACGCGAGGTCGGGGAGAAGGCCGGACGTGACGTGATGGACAGGAGCAAGACAGGAAAGACCGCGGGTGCAGAGCAGGCCTGACGTCACGTCCACGCCAGGGACACCCCAGGATGGGACGGAAAGAGTGAAGTGAGACAGCAGAAGGCAGCGAGACAGCCTGCCTGCCAGAGACCACGCAAGAGGCGCTGGACGGACGCCAGAGGCGGGGGCTGAGCAGACACAGCACCCCAAGGGGTCAGGGCACTGTAGACGGCTGCGCCGGTCCTCTTTGCCCCCCACCTCATGGGGTGCAGCCTAGAACCCCCTTTCTGCTATGGTTCCCAAAGGCACTGGCGGGAGCTGCAGGGAGCCATTCCCCTGCCTCTCTGTTTCTGGGGTGTCTCTTTAGAAGCGCCCCTGCCTTTACAGCAGGAGCCTGGACCACCCGCACTAGCAAAGCACAGGACTCCTCCAGCACCTTCCAGAAACACACCCAAGCCAGCAGCCACGCAGGCGTCAGCCACTGGGTCCTTCCCCAGCGGACCCCGGCCAGGTGCCCTGGGGGTCCCGTCAGCCCTCTGCTCCCCCACAGGCTCGGCCTTCCCTTGTGGCCAACTGACCCATGAGCCGAAGGTCAACCCCAGAGAATCACCACTAGGGTGACGAGTCTGAGGTAACAGTGCCCAGCGCTGACGGACCCTGCTGTGAGAAGCGCCTGGATAGTCGGTGGCTTTCGCTAAAAGGCACATGTCGGGGTTTGAGTCCCGCGGAGTTTACGTGTCTCCCCACCCCTCAGGGAGCCAGGTCCCCAGGAAGGGCGGCCCGTTTCCCAAAGGAGAGTAGGGACTCTGTAGAGCACACGCACACACACCTGCACGCATGCGCACCGGACACGCGCGCGCACACACACCTGCACGCATGCGCACCTGACACGCACACACACACACACACACACACACACACACCTGCACGCATGCGCACCTGCACACGCACGCACCGCTGCACAGCTGCACACATGCACAGGCCCACCTGCCCACATGCGTGCCTGCACATGCACGCACACCTGCACATCAGTTACACAAACTCACCACCACGTCACACGCGCTGAATGCAAAGCAAATCAAAGAAAGAAAAGGAACACTAGACCCGGACGAGAGGAAGGCGGGCAGAGTCCCGGGCGGGGCGTCCTGAGCCCCTGAGCGCCCGCTGGCCCCGGCCCCCGCCCCGGCTCCTGGCCCAGCGACGCCATCTCCTCTCCTGTCCCTTCGTCAAAATCTGTGCCCTTCTTTGCTCGGCAAGTGAGCGGGCGCGGAGCGGGACCAGAAGGCCTTCCGAGGGCAGGCCGCGGGCAGAGCAGCGGGCGCCTGCGGCCGGGCCTGGCTCACCTTCCTCGTGCAGGAGATGCGGCTTCAGCCACAGACAGCGGTTGACGTGCTCGCCCTGCTTCTCCTGGGCCTTGTAGATGAACTCGTACTCGTGGGGGCCCCGCTCGTACACGACCACGTACTTGTAAGGGAGGGGCTTGTCCAGGCACCGCCGGGGAATGACAGCGCTGCCTTCCAGCAGGAACCCGCTGTCGCCCAAGTCCCTGCGAACACACAAGGAGGCCGGGGGTCACCACGACAGCCCGTCTGGGAATGGACTCCCGCCCAGCGGCAGCCAGACCCGGAGCCTCAGGGCACCGGTCAAGAGGATGCTTCCAGAACGAGCCACGGTTCCGGTGAACTACGGCCAGAGAGGCGCCCTGGGGACGCCGTGAGAGGCGGCTGTTCCCAAGGCTGAGGTGGCACTGGCGGGAGGAGGAGGAGGGCCGCCTAGTCCTGAGACTAAGGCCCAGCAGGCTGCCCGGGAGACCCCAGGCCCTGCGCACTCACCGCGTGCTATACATCGTGCAGACGTTCCCTCTCCATGCGGCCTTCCCGAGCTGCTCTGCTCCCCTGACGACCACTTCATGGCGGTGGGGGTCGAAGTTGAAATGTTTAGAGATGATGGCATGGAAGTACACGGTGACTCCTTGCTCGGGGCTCAGCATGCTGGGGCGGCACAGGGGGACATGCTGGGTCAGAGCAGGCCCGCCCCGCTGCACCCCACCTGCCCCACAGGCCCTTCCCGGGCAGGGGCACCCCGCCAGACACACGCCCACCTGGGGACAGAGCATCCAAGAGGGCCTGTCTCGCCCTGCACAGCCGACGAGGAAAGTGGGTGCAGGGAGGGGACAGGCCCCGCGTGGCTGGAAGGGCCAGTGCGCACCCTGAAGCGCAACAGGCTCTCCTGCGTCAGGAAGGCCGGTGCCACCCTCTCCAACCACCTCCGGGGGGGTCCCTGCCGCACCCCCCAGCCCCGGCCAGGCTGCACCTCACCTCTTCTCGGCGTCCTGGGTGGCCGCCCTCTGGTTTCCTTGCTCCTTCTTCGCAGCAGCAGGATGGGTCACGGGGCTCCCTTCTGGCCTCTTCGGGGCCTCTGGCTTGGGTTTCTCCCTCCCACCTGCCTTCTCTCCAGGAACAGCCCCCTTGTCCTTGCACTTAGTTTCCTGGAACAAGCAGCCCAGCCGCGGCTGTAAGACCCGCTTCCACGCCCCTGAGCAGCCACATGCCTTCCCCGCCGGAAGCTTCGAGAGCCTCTGGTCCACTCACCTCTGCCTCCAGAGGCCCCCTCCAGCTACCCCTCATCCCCTCAACTCGATCCCTGGGCACCTACGTCCTTGCTGCTCCTGGAACAGGCCACCACCCTCTACCTCAGGGCCTTTGCACGTGCCAGTTTTGCTCGTGTTGTGTCCCCAGATATCCATGGCTTCCCCTGGCTCTTCCCAGCCTGCTCTGCAAGAAGTCCTCCCGGACCCTGCCTGGCCAGGTCACCCCGGCGCCTCCGGCACCTCCACCCCCCACCCACCTTTCCTCGAAAGCCTCCACGCTCTGCTTTCTGCAGGCAGGAGCGGGGTCTCATCTGCAGCTCTCCCCAACACTGACACAGGCAGCGACGGGAGGGAGCGGCCCGGGAGCCGGGGCGCAGAGGGCAGGGTGGGCGCTCACGGGCCGGCGCAGGGCGCCCCCTGCCGGCTTACTTGGGAAGCAGGGCCGCTTGCTGGAGGCTGTTTCGTTGTCTGAGTCTTGCTCTTCCCGCCTTTCACAGCCTCTGTCACTGGGCCAGCTGGCGCTGCCACAACCGGCTGGAAGAATCAAGACCCCAAACATCAGGGGACGGGGACGCGCCGGACAGGCGGTTGACTGGGCAGCGTCGGGGTCGGCGGCGCCCCACACCAGTGACCGGGCAGCAGCTGGAGCCGAGGGGCCCTTCCACCGCTGCCTCCAAGGCCAGTCCCCGAGGCCAGCTTCCCAGACAGGGAGGTGACGGCAGAACAGCGAGGCCCAGTGAGGCGCCAACCTGGTCATCACCCCAACAACTCACCCCAGGACCGGGGCTCCCGGCCTGTTGCCCAGCGGTCTGTGGCTCTTTCCTGGGCGCAGAGTTGCCCCCCTTCGGCTCAGGCAGCGGGAGGTCCTGGGAAGCTCCTCTCCCCCCAGGACGGGCTTCACCAGCAGAGGCATCAGTGGCGACCCCCTTCCGGGAGAGCCCTTTGCCCTCGGAGTGGTCAGGTGGGGCCTGAGCCTTCCCTTCTTGGAGGGCACCTCCGGGAATCTGACCCAGGGGGGCCGGGCTGCTCCCTGGCTCCGTGGCGTGACCCGGGGGCACCGGGTTGTTCCCCAGCTCCACGGCGTGACCCGGCGGGGCCGGGCTGCTCCCAGGCTCTGTGGGGTGACTTGGGGGGACTGGGTTGCTCCCTGGCTCTGTGGGGTGACTTGGGGGAGCTGAGCTGCTCCCCAGCACCGTGGGGTGACCTGTGGGGGCCGGGCTGCTCTCTGGCTCTGTGGGGTGACTTGGGGGGGCCAGGCTGCTCCCCAGCTCTGTGGGGTGACCCGGGGGGGCCAGGATGCTCCCAGGCTCCGTGGGGTGACTTGGGGCGGCTGGGCTGCTCCCAGGCTCCACTTCCATGGCTGTCTCCACTCCTCCAGACACCTGGCCCCGCAGAGGGCCAGCTGGTGGGTGCCCGAGGGGGCGCCCGTCCTCCAGCGGCATCCTGCCTGTGCCTGGGGGCTGGCTGGAGGGCCCACCCTGCTGAGCTTGGCTTTGAGGTGGCGCTGGGTCCAGGCTCACTAGTGATTTCAGACTACAGGGCCCGGAGAGGGACAGGGGCTCCTGGCCCCCCGCAGTGTTCTGGTTCTTCTTCATCTTCTTCGACCTCCTTTTTTTCTGGACAGAAAGAGACACGAGTGTCACCGCTCAGGCTGCCCGCCCTGCACAGTGCTCCCTCCGGCTTTTTCAGGCACTTGAGCTGAGCGTCCAGCGCGCCGGCACGTGCCCTTGCGTTTCTCTACCTGGGAAAGGAGGCTGAGGCAGGGGCCGGTGCCTCGCACCGGGCTCCGCAGAGAGGGGCTGAGCCCCTTCAGGAATACCCCCCGCCGCCTGGACGCCCCGCTGGGTGTTCTGACCCTCAGGAGCACCCTCAGGCGTCCTTGCACAGCACCTCCTGTGCACCCCATGCCTGCCGGGGGGCCAGCCCCACTCCATGCTCTTCATGGAGACAAAGGTCAGCAGCCCAGTGTCCGGCTCCCCTCGACCCTCCAGCCACCGCCTCCCCATGTGGCTGTGCCCCTCTTCTTGCGAGTCATAAGCCACCTTCAAAGGCACCCCCTTGTGTTGCCTCAGTTACCTCAATTACATCCCCTGGGCGGAAAGGACACCTCCTGGCAGTTATTTGTCTTGAACCCCCTCTCCCTAGACACCCCCTTCATCTCATTGTCGGCTCAGACCCCTCAGTTGACCAGCCGGCATCTCAGAGCTGCTGTTGGTGCGGGCCAGGCGCCCCCCAGGAGCTGGAAGCCTGGCGTTTCTGACACCACTTCTGCTGACCAACACCACTGGCCAGTGCTGCCCAGCGCTGCTGACTGGGGACCGGTGCCATGTCCCGGTCACCTCCGAGAGCGGGAGCCTCTGGAGCCCAACCCTGGTCGTCCAGCACCGCCTCCCCGCACAGCAGCCTCTGTGCTGTCTGGTCCAGCGCGGGTGAGAGCCCACGGTGACCTGTCCTCCAAGGGGCGCTGTCCTGGACAGCCAGAGTCCCCCAGCCTTGTTTCAGGTGCAGCGGGGGCCCCGGTGCTGAGCACCCTGTCACCCATCTGGAGTCGGGGGACCCCTCACAGACCTGAGACAGACAGCGGTGTCCACACACATCACACCCCACACCCCCATGCGCATCCCCATGTGGTCCCTCACCCTCCCCTGCTGTGGGCCACAGCCAAGGCTGCCGCCCCCACCCTCCCGGCGTTAGAGGAACCACCGGGGCCAGCAGCTGGGACCAGGCGTCGGCCTGAGCAGGCTGACTCCGCAGCGTACCCCTCCCCCTCCCACGCCCTCGCTGGCCGGGACACCCTTGCAAGCCCCCCGGGGCCCGAGGGGTCCCTTCCTCAGCCAGCACTCTCAGGGCCTGCCCCTCACGGGACACGGGGCCACTCGGCCTCCCCCTGGAGAAGGGCGTCCCCCACCAGCACCTGCCGGCCAGAGATCCAGGCACCCCGCTGGCGCCATGGTGTGAGTGGCCAGAGCAGAGCCGGTGCCCGCAGCCCGGCCCCAGCCCAGCGGGAGAGGAGGCCGAGGATCCCAGGGGGCCAGGAGTGGAGACCTGCCCGAGGGGCCGCTCGGCCAGGCCCGGCAGGCGCGCAGAGGCCTGGGCAGCACCAAGCCATCCTGGAGGACGGGACGCGGAGGCGACGGCACGGCAGGAGGCCGCTCCTGGGGCAGGCGGCACGGGCAGGACAGGAGTCCAGAGCCCTCCCGGGCTGCCACTCACTTGCTGGGTCATCCAGGGGCCCTCGGCGTCGTCTGGGCCTTCCCGTTCCTCGCCTGAGCCCGGGGGCAAGGAGGTGCCGCCATCCTTCAGTGCTCGCCCACTCTCCACGTGGCCCTCCGGCACGGGCGGCGCCTGGGGGCTGCTGTCGGCAGGAGCTGCAGAGGCACAGGACCAGCGGGGGATGGTCACCGGGGAGGGACAGGGTAGGCCCTGCCCAGGAGTGACGCGACGGCCCTCGGGGCACCCTCCAGGCCAGCGTGGGGCGAGGGGCCGGGCCTCAGGTCCCCACACTGGGGTCTGCTCCCAGCCATAGGCACCCCGCGCGGGTCAGCGGGGTCCGGTGGCCTCCAAGGGCCCAGGGGGCTGAGAGAGTGGGTGGTGGAGGGGGTGGCTGGAGCAGGACTAGAGCCCCCAGCCTGGACTGAGTCTAAGCGGCCAGGGCGCCTCCTGCTGAGCGAGCCTGGTGGGGGTTGCAGAAAGCCCCTTGGGAGGCTCCCGGTCCCCACAGCACCGCGTTCCTGGGGCACCACTGGGCCACGGCTGCCTCATGGCCCCTCAGCTCCCGTTAGTCGCCAGATCAGAGCTCAGAGAACAGACACTTTGCTGCCGTGAATTCAGGATCGAGGGAAGAGGCCGGGGTGGGGGAGGGGCTTAGCGCTTCCTGGCCCTGCAGGCGCCTTGACCCCCAAGTCTCCATGGGTTCACCTACCCTGCAGTCTCCACCCCATCCTTTGGGGTGCTGCGAAGCCGCTGTCCCTGTCCTGGTCACTGGGCCCTCTCCCGTGGGGGGTGGTGGAGGTGGGGTCCGCCCGGCCCTGACCGGCAGGCAGCGGTCAGGAAGCCCCAGGCGTGGGGCTGGAGCAGCTCGGGGAGGTGAAACTGCAACAGGGTGGTCCCCAGGAAAGGGGGAGGTTCCCTGCCCCACCCAAGGGAGGGTGGAGCTGAGCAGCAAGAGAAGAAGCTGCAAGAAGAGACTGAGGAAGGAAGGAAGCAGGATGGAGCCAGGAGACCTGGAGAAGGCACATGGAGCCTAGAGACACGTGAAGAAACTGCGCTTGTCTTTTGGTCGTGGACGGGGTGACACAGATGTGGGTGAGACCCGTGGGGAGGGGACCATGGCAGCTTTTATCTGGATGTTGATTTTGCTCTTTTCCTTCCGGGCTTGTCTGGTTATTTCTGACCCTTTGCTGTGGGTCCCCACTGGAAGATGCTTTAGACTTGTGGCAGGCTTTGGGGCCTTGTTCTGGGCCGACCCCATTTGGATGGACTTTTACCCACGAGGGGACGGGTGACTTTGGATGCTTCATTTAGAAACTAGACTCTTTGCCTTACCTGTATTGTTTCCTAGTTTTATTAAAGTTCCTTCCCATTAAAGTCTCCTATGTTTTGTGTTGATGCGGCGGATGGCAGAACCCATTTAGAATAGGCAGGTTTGCGGGGTTTGGGCTGCCCCTCTCCCTGTCCTATAACAAAACCCGGGCCTACAGTCACAGCATCTCCACTCACATTCGTGCCACTGGCGGCCACTCCCACACCGGGCCAGCTCACACCCAGCCTGCCCTCCAGGGAGGGCCCACGAGAGCTGGCCGCTCACCAGCTCACTCCGCCACCCCCACACCAAGGGCCCGGCTGAACCCCAGATCCGCTGTCCCCCGAGGCAGGACTCTGATGACTGACCGACCCACAGCATGCCGGACGCCCACACTCCGCTGGCCTGAAGCCCCGGGCAGCACCCCCAGCCCTTCGCGGCGTCCGGGCTGCTGACCTCCACCCCCATCACAGACGCTGCAAGAAAACGCAGCCGGGGCGGAGAGCACAGAAAGGAACATGCTGCGGGCGCCTCCTCGCCCAGCATCACCTCCCAGCAAGCAGGGTCGTGGTGGGGTGTCTCACCTGCGCCCCCTCCGAGAGTGGACAGCAGCGGGGGCGGGTGCCTGCCTCCTGCGAACATAAGGTGAAGTTTCCTGGGGACCCCTCACCTGGCCTGGGAAGCAAATAACCGTGGACTCAGCCCCACCTTGGATGCAGAAACCTCCTCCCCAAAGGCCGCAGCCTCGTGATAAAAAGACTTAACGAGGGCCGGGCCCCGCCCCTCCGCCCGGCAGACCGGCAAGGAAGAGGTTAGACCGCGACCCTCCTCCAGCGCCCGAAGGCCCCACCCTGGGTCAGAGGAGAGCTGGCCTCTGTCCAGGACCAGCCGGCTCTGCCTTCGGCCACTGCCCCCACCACGGCGGCAGGGACAGCCTGGACCCCTCCACACGCTGCCCCTGCTGGCGCAGAGCGGGGAATCAGGCTGCAGGGGGTGGAGGGGGTTGACACAGGCCTTAACCCAGGAACGGACGCCCTGGGGCAAGGGAGGGGCTACGGAGGCCCCCCCCCCAGATTTAACCCAGCCACACCCCAGAAGAGACATTCAACGATAATCAGGCGGCTGAGCCCGCCCCCCCTCTGGAACAGCGCAGCGACCTCCTCCCTCCGCCTTCCCTGGTGAAGCTGCCCTGGGGCCGACCCCCACCCCCAGCCCCCTGGGCTCTGTGACTGGACGAAACCCTCCCAAGAGGGCAGCCGGGCCAGCCGGGCGCTGCAGAGCTAGCACCGCATCAGGCCACATCTGCCCACAGCGGGCATCCACGCTATCAGCTCAACCCTCACTCCAGGGCGCCACCCACACCCAGGCACCCAGCGCCCGCCTGCCCCCCCCGGCCCCCGCCCCCCCCAGCATGGGTCAGAGATGAGGCCTCCCAGCTGCAGCCCCACCTCACGGTTTCAGTTTCTGTTCCTGGACTCAGAGCCCTGCCTGGGGAGCGGGGCAGGGCAGGGGAGCGGGAGCCAGGAGCCTCCCGCAGACAGCACCCGGCCCCTCCCGCCAGCCAGGAGCACCCTGTTCTGCCTGGGGCCAGCGAGGCCCCGGCCCGCCTGGCCTCCTACACTGGCAGGTGTTCTGCAGGTGGAGCAGGTGCCTGGTCAGCCTCTCCCCCCCTGCAGGAGGCCCGCAGGGGCTCCCCTACCTCCTCCCTGCACAGCCCCTGCCTCACCCCACGTCCCGTCCCTCCAGCCGCCCTCTGTGTGGCCGCGGCCAGGCCCCTAACCTCTGCACCTTGCCCCGGCAGCTGCGAAGAGCCAAGGGGGCTTAGGGTGACCCCCTCCCTTGATGGAAAGACAGCTGATGGCTTTATTTAGTTATTTCATCTCTGGGGCCCCAAAAACCCTCCCTTCCCAAGATCCCCGCCAAGGCAGAGGCTGCGGCCGCCCGTACTGGGGCCCCTAGGCCTGTGTCTGCAGAAGAGAAGTTGGGGCCCTCTGGCTGGGTTGGCCCCGGGAGCCAGACTTCCTCCCCGAGTCAGCAATCGAGAGATAAATAAATCAAACCAGAAGCGCCCCCCATCCCCGGCCTGAAGCTCAGCTGACGCCTGCGCGATGGGAGCACCTGGTGAGACAGCAGCAGGGCGGCGAGGGCGGGCGCTCCCAGCCTGGGAGGCAGGCACACACCTGCGCGCGCACACACACACACCCACTGGCGTGCACGTGTGTGCACACCGGTGGTGCAAATTTAGAGAACACACGGGTCCTGCACACCCTCCTTGATGCCCTCAGCAGTTGTTCGCCCGCACCTGCGGGTGCCAGGCGGTGTCAGGGGCCTGGGGTGAAGCAGTGACCAGGAAGGCAGAAGTCCTCTCTGAAGCCACAGGCTCGTGTGCTCCACCAGCTGGGGAACAGCTGGGAAGTGCAAAGAGGGGGGACAGATGGCAGTTTCCAGTGGGGTGACCAGGGCCTCGCTAAGGAAGGACACAGTTGAGCAAAGTCAGGAAAGAGGAAGCCTCGTTGCCCCCTGAAGTCAGCGATGTGCTGGGAAGCGGGAGCAGGCAGTGCAAAGGCCCTGCGGTCAGAGCGGGACCAGCAGGCCCAGGGGGGGCAGCTAGGGAGGGAAGGGCTTCCCCACAGTCTCAGAAGGCCCCTTGGCCCTGTCCTGAGGGCAGGTGGAGGCAGGGAGAGCACAGGGCCTCACTGTCATCCTGGAGGGAGAGGCGCTGGCCGCCTGGGGGAGTGGTCAGTTCTGGCGCTTCTGTCCGTGTAGCCAGCGGGGTCTTCTGGGAGTTGGATGTGGGGGGTGAAGGGGGAGAGTGAGGTCAGTGCCAGGGTCTGGGCCCATCTGCTGAAAGGACAAGCTGCCCTGGCGAGTGGAGGTGAAAGCAGAGGGCAGGTCCAGGGGGTGCGGGGGCCGCACACCTCTGGCGGGGAGGCACCTGTGGTGGTTGTCAGGGGAGGGACCCAGGACCAAGGGGTCACTGGGAGGTGGCAGACATGGGTGGCATTTAAAACCAAGGAGGGACCTCCCTGGGGGTGCAAGGGGTTGCGTCTTAGCACCATGAAGCTGTCGGCAGCCACTGCGGCCTGAGTTCGATCCCCGGCCAGGGAGGGACCCACAGGGCGCAGCAGCCCTCTCCTGTCTCCTGCTGCCCCCTCAGCAGTGTAGGTCAGTGGATCTGCCTGTTCTGCTCCCCACTCTGTCTCTGGGGAGTCCTCTCATCCCTGCACCTCTGGCCTACACCCCAGTTCTTGTGTGCATAAATAAAATAAATCTTTTTAAAAAATAATAAAAACAAAACCAGGGAGTTGCCGCAGTCGCCGCAGGACAGAAGGCCCCAGCCCGGGGACCCCGCTCAGCTGGGAGGCACCTGACCGGGCTCCTTGCCCGACCCCAAGCTCCTGCACCATGGCACCTGCCCTCGCCAGGAGGGGCTGGTGCAGGCTGGGGGACCCCTCGCCCCAGCACCCTACAGCATCCTCAGAGCCCCTCACAGGCCCCCGGCTCAGCCTGGCACTCCTCATTCCCGAGGAGAAGGGCACCCCAAGTGCTCTCTAAGAAATGAAAGTGGTTCAGGAGGCAGCACTTCCTGCAGGGACGAAAATGCTCTAACCAATGCTTCCTCCAGAGACTTCTTTATCCTGGAGGACCGTCCTCCGGCCCCACCAGGCTGCCGCTGACCCCAGTCTCCGCGCTGGAGAGGGAGGTGCGCCTGACGCACTGTCCACCCACCACAGGGTCCACTTTGCCCCTCGGCTCCCCCCTTGGTTGTACCTGCAGCGGGGCCTGCAGGGAGCAGCTTCTGCCCACAGCTACTGCAGAAATTGGGAGCTTCCTCTTTGGAGACGAACTGGCAGCGGGGACACTGCATGGCTCCCGGGGCCGAGGAGCCGGCCAGCCCCGCAGGTCCGGAAGCTGGAGCCGAGCTGGCCGGTGCGAGCCGCCGTTATATACACAGCACCTGTCATGTGACCACAGAAGCTTCAGTTTCATTTTCTGGGAAAATGAAATAGCGGCTGCAATGAAAGTCCCTATGAAAGGAAACCCTTCTGGGCCACTGCCAGCCCTGCCTCTGCCCAGTGTCCTCCTGCAGCCCCCAGCCGGGAGGCGGGCACCACTGCCCTGGCCAGGCTCAGCCCATGCCCTCGCTCTGCAGTGCAAACCCCCCCACCCCCCGCTGAGCCCGGGGACTGGGGCCTGGGGGGAGGGGGGTGCAGGGGCTCAGGCAGGCAGAGAGACAGTGCCCCCAGGAAGGCACTCAGCCGCTCTGGGCAGGGGTGGGGTGTGCGGGGCACGGTACCTGGCTCTCAGGTGACCTGCGGATCAGCGCTACAAGGATGCCCGCAGCCACTGGTGGAATGGGGTTCCCAGTAACAGGCCCCGTCTTCCCGGGGCCCACTGGCCCTTACATACCCTCAGGGGTGGGGGGCAGACAGCCCAGCCCGCCCAGGGCCTGGTGCGGGGTTATGGGGGGGGGTGTCTGAACAGTGAGGGGTGCGAGAGTCCTGGGTCCTGCTCCTTCCTGGGGCCCCTCGCAGCCCACCCCAGCCCTCGCCTTCAGCGAAAGCTAGTTAAGGGGGGGCCAGGGACCCTCGGTGCCTACAGGCCCCGTTATCATGAAGGTCTCTGTGTTTTCTCTGCACGTCCCTGGACGCCAACCGCAGCACTGACCACTGACCGGAGCCAGCGGCCGGGCCTGCTGGAGGCCAGTGCAGAGCCGGGGCAGCCGCCTGGGGCGGGAGGGCGGCGGGAACTCAGACAAAGAAACTCCCCGGCCTGGAGTAGGAACCGGGCTCCCGCCTGACCTCCCCTCCCCTGCCAAGCCGCCTCCCCCGGCCTGCGCCGCAGGGACCGCCTGACCCGTGCAGGCCGCCGGGCGCAGTAAATCCTCCCTCCCTTGAGAAAGCGGGCCCGGCTCCCCGCTCCTTCTCTTCGGCGCCCCGACCCTTCAGGGGTCTCCGGCCTCAGGGCTCCCGGGCGCACCGGGCTCCGGGGCACCCCGCCTGCCCGCCCCGCTGCTGGCCGCCCGGGTGGCGCGGGGCCTCCTGCCAGCCGGGAGCGCGCGGGGGCGGCCGGGCTCCCTGTCCACGCGCGGGGCGGGACGCGGGGGGTGGCAGCCCGGGGCGGGGCAGCGCAGGGCCGGGCCAGGCGCGGGGTCCGGGCTGGACCCCAGGGCCGGCGGGGGGGGACCCCTGCTGCGGGCGCTCTGGGACCACCTCGGGGCCTCCAAGCTGGGCCCCCCGCTCCCCGCCCCCTCCCTGGCCGGCCGGTGGCGGCGGGGCTCGCAGGGCTGACACCCCCTCCCCGCCGTCCAGGCGCGGACCCCGCCCTTCCCCTGCCCGGCTCCGGGGCGGGGCGGGAAACCGAAACCAGCCGCAGGAAGAGGCGGCGCCGCAGCCCCGGCCCGCCCCGCGCCCGCCCGCGCCCCCCCCCGAGCCCCCCCCGCGGCCCGGGCCCCCCGCCGCAGCCGACGCGCGCGGCACCCACGGCTCTGCGCCCCCGCACGGACCCGGGCCGGCCTCGGGACCCCGCGCCCCCGTCCCTGCCCCGCGGGCCCCCACCCCGGCCGCGCCGCGCGCAGAGACCCGCGCGCGCACCTGCCGCTCCGGCGCCGCCGCCTCCGGCCTCCGGCCTCCAGCCCCCGGCCCCGCGGCCCTCCAGCCCCCGGCCCCGCGGCCCTCCAGCCCCCCGGCCCCGCGGCCCTCCAGCCCCCGGCCCGCGGCCCTCCAGTCCTCCCCCGTGCGCGGCCGCCGCCGGAACTCTCCCTGGGGCGCCCTCCGGCGGGCGGGCGCGGCCAGCTGCTCTCCGGGGTGGCCGGGAGGGTGGGGAGCCCCCAGGTCCCACCCGCCGCCCCCACCTGCCCAGACCGCGCGCCTCCCCGGCCGGGCTGCCCCCCCCGCACTTGGACAGTGTCCAGGGTGGGAGTGACCCCCAGGACACCGGGAGTCGCTCAGCCCGTCACGGCAGGACCCCGACTCCGCCAGGAAACGAAGCCTCACCCGGAGAGGAGGGCAGCTTGTCCGGGCACCCACGTCCCGGCACCCCCGTCCCCGCCCGCCCAGCAGGGCGTCCCCCCGGAGCGGAGCGGGACCCGGCGCGGGCTCACGGGGCCACAGCCGCGCAGACGCCCCCACGAGAGCCGCGTGGCGCAGACGAGTGCTCGCAGTCACAGGCACGCCTTGTTTATTGTCACGGGAGGGCACGGCGAGACGCGTGAGCGGGGTCACGGCAGCGCGAGGGAGGCCCATCAACGGGGGTGGCGCACACGCAGGGGCCGCCCGCCGCCGCACGAGGGCCGGTCACGGGTGGGGGGGGCGTCTCGTTTTCACAACAAGCACTGACGACGTCACAGAACAGCTGGACACACACACACCAACGACACGGAGCTCGACACACACACAGAAGAATCACTTCTCACAGACACGAGGTCACGCGGCCGCCGAGGCCTTCCCCGCCACTGAGGGCCCAACCCAAGTCCCAGGCCCGCGCCCCCCGCCCCACCGGCCGGAACCGGGGGCGCTGCAGCCAGACAGGCGCTGCGTGCAAGGCCCCGCCCGGGCGGGAATCTCCTGCTCCTTCCTTCCGCCCTGCTGGCCTTCTAGAAGGTTCTCTCCCAACCATTACACAGCCGGAGCGTGCCGGGAGCGGGAGGTGATTTTTCAGTCATCCCGGGAGCAGCCCGCGTCCCTGGGGCCCGCCAGGCAGAGCGTCCGTCCACTGGCGCGTCTGGAACCCGCCGCAGGCCTCCAAGCGCCCGGTCAGGCCCGCAGCAGGGCGACCTTGTGCTCCGGGAGGGGCTCCTCGCCGACGCTGTAGGGCTGGGCCCCCGGCTCTTGCTGCAGGAGCTTCTCTGCAGGAAAGACCAGCGTTTCAGACCCCAGGAGAGCGGCCCTCGGGCCACCCTGCTGTCGGGGACTCGCCTGCTCCCACCTGCTTCTTCCAGGCTGGAGAAGTACTGGACGCCCTTCAGGTCAGCGGAGAGCAGGATGCGGAGGACGGGCACCTGCGGGGCAAGGACGTTGATTGGGTCCCCCTGCACTCCGCCAGCAGCGGGGAGAAGGCCTGCCCGGGGTGCCGCAGGGCCAGCACTGCAGAGGCCGAGCCCACAGCTCCCGAGCGAAGACCGGAGTGGATGGAGTCGGGAGCCAGGCCCCCTCCTCGCTGGGTGACCTCAGCGGGCTACCGAGCTGCCCCGGGCCACCGCAGGGGATGCCAACCTGAAGGTTGTTTGGGGGTGCGTGAGCCCCACACTCACAGCCCTGGGCCTGCTGGTGCCCTGTGCCATGAGGACTTCGTAGACACGTCTCCCAAAGGTACGGGACACGCCCCACGTGACCAGGCCTGCACCGTGGCAGGGAGGACACTGGGCCACGATACAGCCTGGGCACCGGCCCCACAGCCCAGCCAGCACTCTGCTGGCCACGGGAGCCCCCACACACCTGGGGGGCCCATGCCCAGGGGGGCACCGCCTCGCACGCACAGGCCCTTCAGCACAAAGGTGGTGACCGGGAGCACTGTGAGAACAGCTCCTGGCGCTCCCGGCGCTGAGAACGTGACTCTAACAACTCTCACGGCGGCTTTTACCCGTCACCCCCATACAGACCCCCCTCCCCGAGACCAGCTGTCCCCGGCCTGGGAAGCCGCCGCCCGCACTGCACTTTCCATGAACACCAGCACTTACCTATCTCTGTGCTCCGGGCCGGGCCAGGGGCGGGCGGAGGGCAGCAGCTGGACTGGGCACCCCAGGGGCAGTCTCCCCCCGCAACAGGCGCGCCCAGCGATCAGGCTCCCTCTCTCAGGGGCACAGCACTGCCTTCGCCCAGGGGCACCCACCTGCAGGCCCACAAAGGCCAGGCTGGCGCCCCGTTTCTGGAGGTCACCCAGGAGCTCCCGGAGCCCCAGCACCACGGTGTAGTCGACGCTGCAGACATGGGCGCAGTCCAGGACCACGTGGCGTGGGGGGAACGCTGGGGAGACAGCATAAGTGGTCATGCCAGTACGGCCGTGAGGCCAGCGACGTGCGAGCAGACCCCCCCAGGGGACAGACAGCCCCCACCCTGCGTACACGTCCCCAAGGAGGAGCGGCTCAGCGCGCACGCAGGCGGTGGCCACCAGGAGGCGCCCAAGAGGGGTGCACAGGGTGGCAGGGAGCAGGGGTGACTGCAGCCCCCCGCCACCGGCCACACACCTTCCAGGGCCCGGCTCAGGATCGCCTCCCGGAGCGTCTCCACGGCGGGGAAGTACAGGCCGCTGGCTGGCTGCAGGACCAGCACTGGCCCCTCGGTCACCTGGGGACGGTGGGAAGCCCGTGAGTCCGGGGGTGAGTCCCATGGGCAGCTGTGCCTGGTGTGGGCATCCAGGGGGGCCCGGTGCTGGGAGGCAGGGGTGGCCGGGCACCAACCCCTCCCCACGTGCCCCTGGAGCATGTAGCTCTCCCAGGAGGGTCAGGGCCGTCGCCGAGGGAAAGGTCACTGGGCAGTGCCACGCCACCTCCTCCCAAGTGCCAGGGGACGCTGCAGAAGCCCCCCGTCCCCCGCGCGGTACCTGTATCCTGGGTCTGGCCGCGGCGTGCAGCAGCAGCAGCACGGACACCAGGGCCCCCGCCAGGATGCCGTACTGCACCTCCCAGAAGCACAGCAGGAAGGTCACGCACAGGGGCAGCAGGTCCAGCCCTGGGGAGGGAGAGGAGAGGCTGCACCAGCGGGGGCACCTCTCAGCCTGGCACCTGGCTGCCCCCGCCCACTGACCGGCAGACCACCAGGGTGAAGGGGCTGCGAACCTCAGCAGCCCCGAGGAACCCCTGTTCTGGAGACTCAGGCCTGGGGCTGTGGACAGCTCGGCCCCTCCGTCCGCCGAGCCAAGGACCCGTCACTCAGGCCAACCCCCACTCTCCAGAACAAAAGCAAACGTGCACCAGCCGTGTTCGAGGAGGAGCCGTGAGGGGTCCTGAGCCTGAGGCTGGTGGGGCGGGGGTCCCCGAAGACTGCGGGTCATCCTGAGTACCCCCTTCTCCCTGCTGCTGAGCTGTGGTTAGGACATGGGGGGCAGCTCCAGAGAACACCCCCGTACATCCGCTCCGCAGCAGCGGACCGTCCGGGCACCCTGGAGGCCTGAGGAAGCCCCTCCCCCTAGCTGGGCCGGCCACCCCGCCAGCCCATGGGGGTCAGGGTGGACACCTGGGTGCTGCAGAGCCCCCCGTCCTCCCGCTCTGCCCAGAACACACGTACTCTTGACGCGCCAGAGTGTCTGGAAGATCTTGGTGTCAAACAGGGGGGCCACGGCCATGATGATGACGGCGGCCAGCGCGGACTTGGGGATGTAGTAGAACAGCGAGGTCAGGTAGCTCAGTGACAGCAGCACCAGCGTGCCTACGGGAGGGGCGGTCACTCGGTGCCACTCCCTGGCAGCACCAGCGCACCTGCGGGCGGGGCGGTCCCTTGGGCCCACCCCGGGGCAGCACCAGTGCTTCTGCTGGGAGGGCGATCACGCACGGCCACCCCCGCGGGCAGCAGTCTCCCCAGGAGCCCCGCCTCAGCCCTGCAGCACGGGGCCCTCTCTCTGCGGCAGACCCGAGGGGAACAGCGTGTGGGGTTCTCACCGGTCACCAGGCCCCCTGCTGGGGTGCACACCCCCGACTGGGCGTTCACCGCCGTCCTGGAAAGCAACACAGACCCATCAGCGTGCAGCCCTAGGAGTGTCCATGGCGGTGGCTCCACTGGGGCTGGGTGCCCGGGGGCAGACCTGGCCCCGCCGACAAGGCTCCACGAGTGGGGGAGGCTCGGGGCCCCTACGGGGCCTTCTCACCAAAAGGGGCCTGGGTTTTCCAAATAAACCGAGGCCCATCAACACATCACCCGGTTTAGAGCTTGTCTTCCCGGTGTCCACTTGGTGTCCACCAGGATTCCAAAAACACACCTCCCGCGGCCTGCGCGTGGGCTGCGCAGTGCATCCGCCTCACAGCAGGGAGCAGAGCGGAGAAGCCCGCGGCCCCAGCAGCGCCACCCGCCCCGCACGCCGGCTAAGGCAACAGAAGCCTCTGCCAGAGAACCAGAGCCCGGGTCCCGGGCGCGCTCGGCCACCAGCAAGACAAGAAACCCCGACTTGGAGCCCGCAGGGACCGTGGTGCCTCCCAGGCACCTCCCAAGCCCCCACAGCCGGAGCCACACACTCTGGGTGCTGCTGGCACCTGGCCCCTTCGCAGGCCCCCCCCGGGTGGCGGGTGGAGGCTGGCAGATTGAGCCTGTGCCCCTGGTGCATGGTGCTTGCCCCCCCTCAACGGGGCTCACAGCCTGGCCAGCAAGCCAGGAGCAGGGGGGTTCCATGGAAGCTGCGCTGGTGCTCCGTCCACAGCACCCACGGCATTCCAGCACCTTCGCCCATGGCCTCAAGCGACGCCACGAGGGAGGCCCCAGCTGATCCCACCACACAGGGCCAGAGGCGGCTGGGTGCCCTGCCCGGGTGGGTGCTCATAGCTGCTGGGGAGTCCCACGGGCACGCAGTGCTGGGCAGACCCAGGCCTCTCGCACCTGCCCTCCCGCCTTCCAGAGGGCGCTCTGCAGCCTGGGTCCACCGGCTCCGCGAGCTGGGGACCCTCGGACATGCGGGGACTCTTCATCTTCCACGCCAGGCCGCACAGGTGCAGGAGAGGCCAGAAGGGCTGTGACAGCGCGAGTCCACCCCCGGGGGCCGCCCTGGGGTGGCCGGACTTCCGCGACCAGCGGCAGAGTAACCGGTGTCAGGGTGAGCAGAGGCCCAGCACGGCCAGCAAGGACCCGGGGGCTGGGAGGTGCCGAGCACAGCAAAGGCCGACTCACCGTCCGAAGCTGCCGGTGACCGGGTAGGCGGACACGAGGGAGCCCAGCAAGTTGGTGAGGCCTGCAGAGAGCAGGGGTGGACAGAGTGACCGGGAAGGAGGGGGCACGAAGCAGAGGGAACACGAGATGGTGAGGGACAGAACCCACAGGGCAGGGGTGGGCCATTACACGGGGTGTCCCGTGCCAGCCACTCCACATCGGGGGGTCGTAGGCAACTCAGCCGAGCCCTTGTGTGAGTGAAACATGCACCCCCCACAACAGGGAGGAGCCCACCGCCCAGAGCGGAGGGCAGCGAGACAGCCAGGTGTACTGGCCAGGGCCTGGGGTTGCGGCGACCTGCCCCGGCCTGGATCCTCCAGCCCCTACTCCCTGCAGTGGCCGGTGAGGCGAGGAGCAGCGGTCACACTGGAAGTCCTGGAGGGCCCCGCCTCCCCCTGCCGGGACCCCAGGGCTGAGACAAGGAGCCCATCTGCCACCAGCATGGCCTCAGACCATGGGTGCCACCCTGTAAACCCCAGAGGGTCACTGGCCTGAGACAGGGTGGGGTGAGAGCTGCTCAGCACCAGCCTGCCAGGGTCACTCGCCCAGCTCGCGCCAAGAGCACAGCCAGACTCAGGGCACAGCGGAGGCCGTGGCCACCCGGGCCTCGTGCTGGCCAGAGATGGGGACCCCTCAGCTGCTGTGTCCACTGAGCGCTGCCTGGCCCCTCCCGTGCCGCGAGCACAGCAGCCCCCGTGGTCAGCGCTCTGCGCCTGCTCCACTAGCCACTGCTGCCTGGACCAGAGTGCGGGTACGGGACACAGGGACATCTACTGTGCCCACGGGAGGCCACAGACGTGCTCTGCCTGGCACCAGTGGGCCCTAGACGCCCACGTCCACCTGTGACGAGGCCCCACCCCGGGGGGCTGCAGAGGCACCCGCGCCGCCAGTGACCCCCAGATGCCAGCCCTGCTGCCAGGGACGCAGCAGCGCAGTCCATGCGGGGCACGACACTCTACGCCCAGATGTGACGGCGCCGTGTGCCAGGACCCGCGTGCTGCAAACCAAACTCCCCTCTACAGAGCGTCAAACACCAGTAACGCAACCAAATGCAGCCACAGCGTGTTCTCAGCGCCAAGTCAGAGAAGGCTGACGGGGACAGATATGTGACCTGTCAGCTGGCAGAGCCCTGGCACACCTGCCCACCTGCGTTCTCCTGGGCCTACCTGGGTCTACCTGACTCTGCCGGAGCCTCACAATCGCACCCACCTTGCCTGGGGGAGGCCCAGGGCGGGGACGAGGCAGCAGGAGTCCCGCCAGGCCGAAGGCCGCACCTGGCCTCACACTGCAGCACCGGCCCCTCCCCCAGGTCAACGGCCAGGGGCCTGGGCCTGGAGCGGGGTGCAGCGCACGGTAGGACCCAGGGCCCACGCCTGCGCCCTACGCCTGATCAAACTGAGCCCTGGAGAGCGAGCGGGCCCCGGGCCGGCACCTGGAGCACCCGCCCAGGCCCGGGACCTCGCGCGTGCCAGCCCCGCGGCGCAGCCTCACCGATGGCCAGCAGCTCCTGGTTGGCGTCCACGCGGTAGTCGTTCTGGGACGCTGCGGAGAAGGGGTGGTGAGGAGGGAGGGCACAGGCCACGGCGCCCTGGCGTGAGACGCAGCGCCGGCCGCCTCTGTGAGCTACGTGTTTCAGCATGTGAGGCGGGGAGCGGCGGGGGAGCAGCGGGGGGCCGCGGCCACGGCTCCCCCGGCCCGCACCCGTGCTCTCCACGACGTTCCCGCAACAGCAACGGCGGCTTCTGCCGCCCAGGGAGCTGCAGACTGAGGCCTCGCCGACTGGCGGCCGTGGGGGCCCGCCCCGGAGACCAGCGGGCAAGGCTGGGGGTGAGGCGGCTCTGAGACGGGCGCAGCCGGGCGCTGGGGGGCAGCTGCGGCCGTGGACGGCGGGAGCGGGGCCCGGCCGTGCTCCAGCACCTGAGCTGTGCGCCCTCTGTGCGCGTCCCCGCACGCTCACTTTCAGGGTTTCGCCCCCAAACGTTTAAAAATGCACGAGGCAACACTGGACGGGCACGGCCGGGGGCTCCCGGCCTCACAAGCCAAGGGGACCGTGCAAGCCGCGGGACCCCGTGAGCCGCGAGCCCCAGGACCCAGGCTCGACCACAAACCGCGTCAGAGAGCCAGAAACTGGGCAGGAGGACGTGGCGGTCACGGCAGGCGCGTGACCTGGAGCAGGCCTGGCGGGAAGGGAGCCCGGCTGGGGGGCTGGGGGGCTCCTGGGGCACGAAGACGGCTCTGCAGGAGGAAGGGACCCGTCCCCCCTGGCCGGGCGGTCGGCGGCCTGCAGCCCTCTGCACACCTGCCGCTCACTGGCTTCAACCTTTGGGGCCACTGACCCCAGGCGCGGGGGGTGTCCCGGCCGCAGGGCGGGTGAGGCGGGCAGGTGGGCCTGGGCGGCCAGGGTCTTACCAAAGGACTTGGCCACCGCGATGCTCTCCAGGATGCCTATCAGGGGCACCACGGCCAGCCCCACGCCCATGTCCTGCAGGAGGAGAGAGGGTCGTGGGGCCCGTGGGCAGGAGCTGGCCCCCCAGACTGGCTCCTGTCCTCCGATGGAGCCCACACGGGCAGCCGCGGGCCGAGAGGCAGCGTCTCCTCCCCAGGGCAAACGACAAGAGGGGAACACAGTCCCGTCTGCAGCGTCCACCAAGGGAGGACACCCCGGGCGTGAGGCAGAAAGCAAACACGGGGCCCCCAAGGATCACCCAGCCTGGGGTCTCTCATGTCCATCTCTGCCCCCGCCCCCCCACCAGGACTCAGCCGGCCGCTGCGCCCTCTCCCATCTCTGAGCAGAGGCCCGGGGGCCCCCCGGCCTGGCGCCCCATCTCTGCCCACCTGTACCATCTCGGTGAAGGAGATCGTCCCGTTGGCGGTCGGCACTGAGAAGGGCGGGACCCGCACGGGCGGGAGCCCCTCGGCCGTCTCCCCGGTCAGCACGAAAGGCTGGTATCCGGTCACCTCGAAGGAGTACGCCACCAGGGCGGCGAAGGAGACCACCAGGGCGTTGCGAGCTGGAGCAGGACAGGGAGGCCCCGGTGAGGCCGGCGCCCGGGGCACAGGGCACCGCAGCTGAGGCAGAGGACCCCCCACCCCAAGTCCAGCCTGGGACCCTGCACGGACACGTGTGTGCACACGACAGGGAGCGCGGGGCGGTGGGCGCGGCGCAGCCGGGAGACCCTGCGGTTGGCATCACAGCTGGGAGACAGGCGGGACCCGACGGCCCCGCTTCAGAGCACAGCGGGGGCCAGAGTGGCTGGCGGCACCTAAGGGCTGGGGAACCACAGGTGACCCCGAGAACCGGGACGTCTGAGATGGAAGAAGCCCACAACCGCCGGGTGCAGGTGGCGCTGCCGAGAGAAGGGCGCAGGCGGCAGACCGCACTGAGAACCACCCAGGTGCCCCCCATAAACACACGGCCCTGAAGACGCGAGAGGCGGGGAAGCGGCGCTGATGGAGTCAAAAGCAAGCCAGAGCAGCGCTGCCCGCGCCAGACACGGCAGCGGGGGTGGGGGGGTGCGGAGGCCCCTCAAGGGCACGTTCCGTGTGCACGCGCGCAGGTACACAGGTACACGCTCCGGGCCCCGTGCCAGTAGCCAAACACAGCCTGACAGCCCCCCGGCACTGGAAGCTGTGTCCTCAACGGTCCTTGGCTCAAAGGGGGAACCACCCTCCACCGCCGGGTGAGCCCCAGTGCGAGGGGACGTCCCAGGGAGACAGAACGGGTGCAGGGGCAGGCGGTGGCGGACCCGCCACGGCGTCCCCAGGGAGGCAGCGGACGGGAGGCGGCGGCTCTGCTGGGCCCAACGAGGACGGGGCAGCCTCCAGAGCAAAGCGGGAGCCGGACACGGCGGGGGCCGCAGGACGGCGCGCGGAGAGCAGAGTGAGAGGCAGGAGCCGGGCCAGCGGGCCATGTGCTCCCAGCTGAGCAGAAGGCAGCGCTGGGTGCGGGGCTGCCCCGCCACGTCCTGTTCCGTCTGTCTGTCTGTCTGACCTCTTCCACTCTCACTTTCTTCGCAGGCAAAAAGGCCGAGATGAGCGAGACCATTACGGACCCTCAGCGACAGCAGCACAAGGCGCCTGGGCAGCTGCCCACTGTCAGGCCACCATGTCCGGACGTGGCGAACGATGCCGCTTCTACGGGCCCCGTCAGCGTGTTACGGGGTCCAGGGACACACAAACCCCTCAACAAGGGTCCTGCAATTTGCTTAACGCTCGCAAGGGAGCTACGGTCCGCCATCCCCCTGCGGCCAGGTCATTGGTCACCTCCCGGTGCTGCCATGTGCTCTGAGGCGTCAGGTGCCCACGCCAGTCTGCCAAGGTGGGACGGGCAGGGGCCCGAGGCCTGCGTTTCCCCCACCGGGGGCTGGCGGCCAGCCGGAGGCCACACTCAGCACCTCCAGGCCTTAGCAAGCAGCCCAAGACCCGTCTCGCGACTTTGCTGACTTAAAGCTCAGATGCTGCGACCCGCGGGCGAGTGGCGGGCAGCGGGGAAGCAGGCACTGCCCTGCACACCCAGCCCACCCCTCACCTCCGCCTCAGCCTGCAGCCTGGGGTCTGGGGAGTGAGGCCAGGAACTGGTGACCACCCACACAGAGGGAGGTGACCCCAGGGCTCCACCGATCCACCCAGGCCTCCACGGCTGGCTGGGTTTCACGCCCCCCGCTGCAGGGCAGGGCGGGGTCAGCTCCAGGGGTCGCTCTCCACACCTGCTTCCTCTCTGGGGCGGGGGCTGGCAGCTCAGCCTCAAGGCTCCTGGGGAGAATGGCCCGTCCCCAGGCCGATGGCCACAGCCCCTCCCACTTGCTGCAGCCCAGCCAGTTCACCCACGTCAGAAACATGCCTGCTCCCGTGGGCGGCCCGGCAGAACAGGACCCATTGGTTCCGGGGATCTGGTTTTTCTGGCCTGAGCCGCAATCTGGCTTTTGCGGGCTGAGGCAGCCTGGCCCCAGAGGGGCGGTGTGCCGTGGGGTGGCCAGCGCATGCCCGTCTCTGCCGAGGGGAGGCCCACGGTAGCCTCCCGCAGTGTCAACCAGGACGTGTCCAAACACCACCAAGAGTGGCCCTGGGGGTCGCCCCTGGCCGAGGCCTTGCTGCCACGTTCCCGGCGTTGCCCAGCAGGACCGCCCAGGGGGCTGACTGTCCCAGAGCCAGTCACGCCAGCAGTCGGGTGGCAGGAGGCCGCAGGGGGCGGGCCCAGAGCTCGGGCCTGCAGGGCAGCCATGGAAGAGGCCCCTCACCTGTGGTGGCCGTCCAGACCAGGCTGTGGCTGAGCCGCACCCCGGGGGGCATCTCGGGGTGGACGGGAGGGATGTGGTCCCGCATCAGCTTCAGCACGAGCAGCAGCGCCATGCAGACCAGCCCCAGCACTGTGTCGCCCACCCTGCAGACAGACGGCGCTCAGCGCAGCCCGGCGGCCACGCTCCCGCCTGCGTGGCTGCTCCACCCGCAGGCTCCCCTCGGGCTTTCCCCTAAGAAACCTTCCCCGGCTGCCTCACAACCGCGCCCGGCTTGGCAGACACAGGCCGCACAGGCCGCCACGGCAGGGCTGTCTGGAAGGCCGACCGTCAGTGTCCATTTCTGCTGCGCCCCAGGAGACTGCCCCCCACCGCTGCACCTCCCAGGCTGGGGAACCGCGAGCAGCCATCAGGAGGGAGGAGAGGACCCCGCCCCCAGCACAGCTCCCCCAGACCACCCCCGCCCCCAGCCAGAGAGGTGTCAGGGGGCTTCGCCTAGAGCCCCCGCAAGTGCTGGCTGCAGACACGTGGGGTGGAGGGGCGGGAGAGGGGCCTGGAGGGAGACACACAGCCGGTACCTGGTCTCCCCGACCTTGCGGAAAGTGTGGTACACCTGCAGGAAGAACTCCCTGGGGACGCCCTGCAGGCCCAGGAGGTTCTGCGCAAACAGAGGTTCCGATCAGACCCAGCCAGAAACGTAGGCCCTAGCCCTCCCCGGCCCCTCAGCACCGCCCCTCCTTTCACCCCACAACCCCTGCCCCAGGGCCCCTCCCGGCTCTTCCCCAGACCCCGAAGACACATCCACGGTAACTCCAGGGTGAAAGGCGTTTCACAACGTTTAGGGCTCCCGGAAACCATTGTCACTTGTGAGAAAAATCAGCCTGGGCGCTGCCGAGGCAGGGAGGGTCCTGCGTCCACCCCCACCTCTGGGCGGGCCCTGCGGCCGCGGGCGGCCAGCGCATCTGTCCATCAGAGGCCCCCCACCTCCCCCTCCAGGCCCCGCCAACACTGGCCGGAAGCTGCGTCCGTCACCCACGGTCCCGCCCACCAGCCCTGGCAAGGACAAATCACAGGGCGCAGACGGCTCGGGCGCCAGGGAAGGGGGTGAGGGCGCCGGCCACAGGGGGTCCTTGGGAGGGACGAGGGGCTCTGCTCTGTGCTCAGATCTTTATCCCGCTGGCAACACCGTGGGGCGCGTCAGGGGCAAGTCTAGGCCCAATTCCTGGCCCCAAAACCTGCCAGGGAAGCGGAGGGTGGAAAGGGTGAATTCTGGGGCTGTTTCTGCTGAGCGGGCAGGTCAGGAGGCTGCCCCAGCCCAGCCAGGGGCTCGCGGATGGCGAGGACCTCATCGGGGTGTTGAGGACTTGGGGAGCCCTTGGTGGCCGCGGGCCCAGCCTGGAGACGCCACCCTCTGCGTTGGGACGTGAAGCGCCGTCCCGCATGGCCACTGTGCTCAGAGCAAAGGCCAGACCGTGGCGGGGCAAGCCGTGCCGGCCATGCGCGCTGTCCCGCTGCCCCATCTTCCCTCGGCGATAAACCCCCCTCCGGGGCCGTCAGGAGAACCAAACACAGGGAGACCGTCCCCCTGCCCAGAGGGCAAGACGCCGCCCGGCCCCAGGTCTCCTCGCCCTTCTCCAAGGAGGTCTCGGCCAGCCCGGGGCAGGACCTGGCTGGGCGCCGGCCAGAAGGGCGGGGGAGGACCCCGGGCACCAGGCAGGGCGGGGGCAACCCTGCCCCAGGGCCCAGCTGCAGGAGTGCTGTCCACCCAAAGGAGGCCGAGCTGCCACGGCGGCAAGCTGGGGGACTGGCGCTAGCGCCCCTTGTCCTCACGGACAGTCGAAGCAGCGGGGCGGAAGAGCCCATCTGTGAAAATCCAGAGACCCGAAATCCTCCAGCTAAACCAGCGTGGACGTGAATCGCTCAGGGGTTTTGGGGGTCAGCTTGTGCTATGAATGCCTGTGGGTCGACGGGGAGGGGGCACGGTGGGGCCACCCTGGAGCAGGGCCACCCGCAAGGCGAACCAGCTGGCAGACAGGCTCCCACGAGCTCGGGGTGTCATCACCGGCCCCCAGCGGCCCGCTGCAGAGTCTGGCCACCACCTGCCATCTCCCCCAAGGCCCCCTATCCTAGCAAGGACCCCCGTGAGCACCACGCGCTTCGAGCTTCAGGAAGAACAAGGCAAGAGGTCACCTGGCTACACCCCAGCCTTGGTCCTGCCCCGGCAGGTGCCCACACTCAGCTGGGGCCAAGGGCGGAGCCTACCTTGACCTGCCCAAAGCCTATGGTGATGGCCGCAGCGGAGGTGAAGCCTTTAATGACCGGACAGGAGATGAAGTCCAGCATGAACCCTGTCGCCAAGAGGGAAAGCGAGCTGACCCCGCAGGACACAGTGGACAGGGCGCTGCGGGTGAACTGGGGCTAGGTGCTGCTGGGCAACGCACCCCGTCCGGGGTGGTTTCGGGGAACAGAAGGGGGGGCTAGAGCCTGAGCTGAAGGTGTCTCTGTCCCAGCACCCCCATCACACACATGCACAAAGGAACAGACCCTGCGAGGCGAACAAAGCAAAGTGGGGATGGGGCGCCCCTGGGGGCAGGTGCTTGGGGTCTCCCGGGAGCCGCAAACCCCGGCCCGCCCCAGCAGGGAGGCCCCGGGCTCACCCAGACGCAGGAAGCCCATGGCCAGCTGGATGCAGCCCGTCAGGAAGGCCAGCAGCACGGCGTACGCGGGCTCGCGGAACGTGTAGAAGGAGACCAGGAGGGACATGATGGCCGTGGGGCCCAGGGTCACGTCCCGGGACGTGCCCAGGAAGAAGTACACGAAGCAGCCCATGAAGGCCGAGTAGAGGCCGTACTGCGGGGGCAGGGGCGCCGTGAGGCACTGGCCGGGCTGCCGTCTCCCGCCCGGCTCCTGCGCGCACCTGTCCAGCCAGTGGCGCCCCTGGGGGGCCGCCCCCACCGCCCGCAGCGCCCCACGGAGGCCTGGGAGCCCGTGTGCGGGTCTGTGGCCAGGGCCCATGGGGACCCGGGCCAGCCTGGTGTCCTGGCGGGGGGCGTGACGGGGCGCTGCGGGGTCTGCCCAAGGCAGCACGTGCTGGGGACCGTCCTCGGGGGACCCCTGGGCTCCGGGGTCAAGAGCCGGGGCCGTCTGGAGGGGTCTCTACGGCTCGGGGCTGCGGCCAGGGCGTGACCGCACACCGGGAGGCCGACACCTCACCTGGGGCGGGAGTCCAGCCACCTCGGCGTAGGCCAGCGCCTGGGGGATGACGGTGAGGCCCACGGAGAGCCCGGCGATGAGGTCCATGCGCAGCTGCCGCGCCGAGTAGTCGGGCAGCCAGGCCAGGAGGGGCAGCCGCCTCTGCACAGCCGCGGGGGAGCAGCACCCCTCGGGGGGCGGGCGCCGGGGCGCCCCCAGGGCGCTCACGGAGGAGGGCATGCTGCGGGGGCAGACCAGAGGCGGGGTCAGGGCCCAGGCCCCCCCCCCCCCCCCCCCCCCCCCCCCCGCCGACAGCGACGGGGCGCAGGGCCGCCCCCCACGCAGAGAGGCCGGGGCTGGCTCCCCGGGGCGTCTGAGCCGTTGAATCTCCTGCCCCCAAGGCCGGTCTGAGAAAAAACCAAGCGCGCAGAGGGCTCCCCGCGCCAGCGCCGGCCCCCCCTCCCCCGCATCCCAACCCCCGCGCTCCCGCCCTCCTCTCCCCACAGCACCCCGCATTTCAGCAGGAGGCGCCCAAGCTCCTCAGGCTTGTCCCCGCGGGGGAATCACCCCCCTGTCCCCCCGAACGTGCTGGGAGCAGGCGGGGCAGGCGCTCCCGGGCGGGGGGCGCGGGGGGGGGCGCCCGCGGGGGCCTGCATTGCTCGGAGCGCACCCCACCCGGGCCGGCCGCGCCCCCCCCCGCGCGGACTGCGGGGGGCGGGGTGGGTCTCCCCAGCAGAGACCGCGCCCCACCCCGGCCCCACCTGTGGCTGCGGGTCCCCAACGGGTCCAGCTGCCTCTGGGAAACGTCAGAGGCGCCCCCACTAAACCGGGGCGCGCAGCAGCTTCTGCGCAGAGCAGGTCCCAGCCCCCCACCCGGCCCGACGGGGCCGCTCGCGCAGGACCCGCCCCCGCCGCGAGCCGCGGGGCCCCGGGGCCGGGGGGGACCCCACGCCGCGGGCGCCGGCGGCGGGCGGGGGGGGCGGGGGCCTCGGACCCGCGGCGCCCCGCGTCGGCCGCCCCCGCGCCCCGGCCCCGCGCCCCGGCCCCCCGCGCCGCGCCCCGCCCCCCGCTCACCCGCTCCGCAGCGCCGGGTCCGCAGCGCCGGGTCCGCAGCGCCGGGTCCGGGGCAGGGTGGGCGGCGGGGTCCGCAGCGGGGTCCGCAGCGCCGGGTCCGCAGCGCGGGGTCCGCAGCGGGGTCCGCAGCGGGGCGGGGCGCCGCGGGGGCGGGGCCGGGGTCACGTGACGGGCGGCCGCGGGTCACGTGGGCGGGCGGGCCGGCGGCCGTCGCCATGCGCCGCGCGGGGCCGGGCTGCGGGGCGCTCGGGCTGGCGCTGGCGCTGGGGCTGGCGCTGTGCGGGGCCCCGCGGGCGCGCCCCCGGAACGTGCTGCTGCTCCTCGGTGAGTGCGCCCCGCGCCCCGCGCCCCCCGGAGCGGCCGCCCCCCCGCCGCGGGCAGCCGGCTCCCCGCACCCCGCCGGCCCCCTCGGGCCCCGCGCTCCTGGTGAGCTGCTCCCCGGAGGGGGCGCAGCCTCGCCCGGGTGGGGTCTGCAGGGGCCGGGGCCGGCGTCCCGGGCCAGCCCTGGGCCTGCCTGCGCCCTGCGCAGCCTGCACCCGGTGTCCCCCCAGAACAGCCGGGGGTAACGCCGCGGGCGCCGCTGCAGGCGGGGCTGCTTTCCAGAGGTGGGGCCCCAGGCCCCAGCGAGATGTCAGAGCAGGGGCTGCACCCACGTCTCCAGCGATGTGGGGGTGCGGGCCCTCCCGCCCTCCCAGTGGCGACACCCTCCTGTGGCTGCCGTTCCCCTGTCCAGACCCCAGAGAGCCCTGTCCGAGCACCCCATCTCCTGAGGGACCCAGCCCCCCGCTCCTCACCCCGGCCTCCCCAGAAACCCCTAGTTGCGCCAGCGCCCAGCTGCTCACGGACTTCCTGCCGGGGCGGCGGCTGTCACCAGCGCCCTGATTCCTTCCGGTGAGGTCTGGCCGTCTGCCAGCTTCCCCCTTGCTGAGCTCCAGGCCGGGACCTGCGGCTGACTGCGCGCAAGCAGCCCTTGCTGGACGCCGGCACGGTGGAGAACCCGGGTGGACAACCTGCCCAGCCCGGGAACCTTCCGGCACAGCCCCGGCTCAGGCCCACTTTCCTCGGGCGCAGGCGCCGTCAGAGACCCGAGGGCCGGGCCTAGATGGCACGTTCGCCTCACCCTCTGGGCCTAGAGGCCCAGGGTCAGCGTCCGGTGCTGGGGGGACCCCCTTCCTGGCCCACAGAGGCTCCCTGAGCTCTCACCGGGGAGAGAAAGCGTGATTGTCTCTTTTGTGAGACACGACCCCCTCAGAACGGCCCCACCCGCCCTCGTGACCCCACACAGCCTTGATCAAGACCCGTCCCCAGGGCCTCCCCTGGTGGCGCAGCGGTTGAGCGCTGGGTTGCGAAGCTGCCCGCGGCCTCTGCGGCGCCAGTTCGATCCCCGGCTGCTCCCCAGCCACTGGAGGAGGGTCCCACATGGCGCGCAGACCTCTCCTGCCGCCCGCTGCTCCCCTCAGCAGTGTATTTCCTCAGTCTGCCTGTTGTGCTCCCCGCTCAGGCTCTGGTGAATCCTCTCACCCTCCTGAGCTTCTGACTGTACCCAGTGCTTGTATAAATAATTAAATAAATCTTTAAAAAAAAAAAAAAATAAGACTGGTCCCCAACGCAGCTCCAGGTAGGTCCTCTGGTACCAACTTGCGGGGGCCCCATTTGTGGGGTCCGCAGCCATGTGCCGGGATGCCTGGGTTTGGGGGGGCATAGCTTCCCTCCCCGACCTCACCCAGGAGACCTGGCACTCCTTCTGTCCCCCCAACCTGCTCGGCTGCCCTCAGCCCCCTCGGTTGGCTGCAGAGGTGGAGGATGCTAGCTCAGCAGGGGCCGCCACCCCCTTACGGCCCCTCCCCCATTGCACCTGGGGTCGGGCAGGTGCCGGCCCCATGGCCCTTCTGAGTGCCCCTGACATCTGGGCCTGACGCAGGAGCCGGCAGCCCAGTCTGGCCTCCCGCTGCACCCCCACTCTGCCATGTGGCCTGGGCACTGCCCACACCTCTACCGCCTCACTTGCCTCCCTAAAGGGAAGGGTTGCCCAGCGGGTCATGCCGGTGGCACGTACACCCACGCACGTGCACACACCCACCCCCACGCACACACCTAGCTACGCACACCCACCCACGTTCGGGCCTCACGGCACCCAGCTCATCTCCCCCAGCCGCTGCCTTGGGCGGACACTGGGGTCGCCACTGCCCAGTAGCACTGTGGGCCCGCACTCCGCCACCACCTGCCAGCGCCTGCTGGGCCTCGAGCCTTCCCAGGGGTAGAGCCGCCGGGCCTCATGCCCCGGAGCTGACACGCCTGCCTGAGCACGGAGCCCCCTGGACACCCCACCCACTCCAACAGCGCAGCCTCATGGGCGTCATGCCCCCCGGGCTCACGCCGCCACTGGCACTGCCACCAGGCATCAGACCTGCCCAGCCCAGCCCACGTGCCCTCTGTGTCTTGCCTCCCCAGCGGACGACGGGGGCTTCGAGAGCGGTGTCTACAACAACAGCGCCATCGCCACCCCTCACCTGGATGCCTTGGCGCGCCGCAGCCTGACCTTCCGCCACGCCTTCACCTCTGTCAGCAGCTGCTCGCCCAGCCGGGCCAGCCTCCTCACCGGCCTGCCCCAGGTGAGGCCCAGGCGGGTGGAGGAGGCCGGAGGGCACGCCCCTGCGGGCCTTGGGGAGGCGCTGCCCTCTTCCCGGCCCACTGATGCGCGGGTGTGGCCAGGGCGCTGGCGCCCCTCCTCGAGGTGCTGACCCTGGCCCGTGCGACGCCTGCCCACTGGCCCTGTGGGGTCACAGTGCCTCCCTCGCTGCACTGGCCGGGCCCGAACTTTGTCCGCAAAGCGGGAGGGTGGCGTCTGGCACAGTCTCCCAGCAGGATGCCCCCCCACCCCCCAAGCCGGGGTGGCTGCTCTGCGCTGAGACGCGCGTAGCTAACACTGACCATCTGAACTGCCCAGTCGCCGTGTTCCTGCCTCTGTCTCCAGGGTCCTGTCCCCCGAACTGAAGCTCGCTCCCCATTAAGCCCTCACGCCAGTCCCTCCCTGCCCGGCCCATCCTGCCGTCCACCCCCACGGATCTGAGGCCCCAGGCCCCCTGGGGTGGGCCCCGCGGTGTCCCAGCTTTTGGGGCCATCACGAGGTTGCGGAGTGGGACGTCCTTTGGGGCTGAGTAATTCTCCGTGGGGTGCAGACACCCCCCCTTAAGGACTCTGGTTGTCCACGTCCCAGACCCGGGCAGCACGTCCAGCGAGCGAGCGCGCCCTCTGGCGGCCCCGGCGAGGACGGCACCGAGGACTAGCCTCCCGGGCTGCCGTCCTGCCTTGTGCCGCAGCTCGTGCTGACACTGGCCTCCAGCTCTGGCCACCGGGTGGAGGCGCTGGAGCCCGGGTGCTCCGCGGCGGCGGTGGGCGAGAGGCGTGCACTGGCGGGGGCGGGGGCCCCTGGGGGAGGCACCCAGACATCCAGGGCCGGTGGCGGCTGCTGTGCTCCCCGCTGGGCTGCAGACCCCGGGGCCCCCGTCCTTAGCCCCGTGAGCAGGCGCGGCGGTGTCTCTTTCCCTGTAAAAGCTGGTCGGCGAGATGGGCCCCGCTGTATTTTCACTCCGGCGAGTCTCCGTGGCAGGGACTGGGAGGGCCTCCCAGTGGAGGGAAGGAAGCCGAGCCCCCTTTGGGGTGTGCCCCTTGTCTGCTGCATGGGCCAGGCGGGCGAGTGGGGGGGGGTGGCAGGAGAGCCCCACGGGTGCTGCCTGCCCAACGAGGCGGCTGCTGAGCGGCGGGACCCCGAGCGTGCGCACCCGCAGCGTGGTCTCCCGCAGCACCAGAATGGGATGTACGGGCTGCACCAGGGCGAGCACCACTTCAACTCCTTTGACCGGGTGCAGAGCCTGCCGCTGCTGCTGCGCCAGGCCGGCGTGCGCACAGGTTGGGGGGCGCCCCAGAGGGGGAGGCGCGGGGTGGGGGACGCCGAGGTGGGGGGCCACTTCCCGAGGGCAAGGCTGGTCCTGAGCCACCCCCACCCACCCTCCTGCCCTCCCGGGTACTCATCCCCACGACCGGGCCTCCCGGTGGCTCCATGAGAAGCAGGGCGGCCCGGCAGAGGCAGCTGGGGCCTGGGGCCGAGGAGGGAGACCAGGGGCCTCCTGCCTGCAGGCATCATCGGGAAGAAGCATGTGGGGCCCGAGGCCGTGTACCCCTTCGACTTCGCCTACACGGAGGAGAACGGCTCGGTCCTGCAGGTCGGGCGGAACATCACCAGGATCAAGCTGCTGGTCCGGAAGTTTCTGCAGACCCAGGACGCCAGGTACCCACGGCCGCCCCCGCTCCCGCGTGCCGGACTGGACGGTGGAGCCTGACACGCAGCAGCCCTGGGGCGGGGGCTCCTGGGCTGGCGGGGGCAGGTTCCAGCAACGACTTGGGTTACGGGGGAAGAGCACCTGGGGCGCTGAGGCTGTGGGCATCGCGGAGAGATATCCAGCTGCAGGGGAGCAGGCAGAGCCAAGCGGGCTCCCTCCTGAGCAGAGGCTCCCCGGGGGGGCTCTGGAGCCCGTGGCCTCACACCCGCTCCCCGCACTCAGGCCCTTTTTCCTCTACGTGGCCTTCCACGACCCCCATCGCTGTGGGCACTCGCAGCCCCAGTACGGGCCCTTCTGCGAGAAGTTCGGCAACGGGCAGAGTGGCATGGGGCACATCCCAGACTGGACGCCCCAGACCTACGACCCGCAGGACGTCCTGGTAGGGACCCCGCCCTGCGGCCCATGAGCCGCCCGCCCTTCCGCCACCCCAGAAATCCAGTGGTCCGCGCGCCCCATGGCTGCCCCAGGCCCCAGGTGTGGGCAGGGAAAGAAGCGTAGAGACGCCCCCGGAAGCTCCGGTGTCCCGTCCTGGCCTCCTGGGGGGCAGCCGCCGGGGCGGGGGGGGCAGGGGGTCAGATCACCCGCCGCCCGCCCTGTCCGCGTGTATTCTAACAGGACCTTCTGCCCACCACCTGCCCCAGGTGCCTTACTTCGTCCCTGATACCCCGGCTGCCCGGGCCGACCTCGCTGCCCAGTACACCACCATCGGCCGCATGGACCAAGGTGGGCTTGGGGCGGGTGGGGGGCTGGGCCCCGGCTGGGCCCCTGCGCTGGGCCAGGGTCTGACATCCTGCTGCGGGTGCCGCGTTCCCTCTGGGGCCTGGGAGAATCTTTCCTGCCCTTCCCGCTTCTGGGGTCCCCGTGGCCGTGCCTTGGTGTGTTCTCCTCTTAGGAGGGGGTGTCCATGGATTTAGGCCCACCTGGGGGCCCAGGTGCCCCAGCCTTGGGACCCGCTTTCCGAGTAAGGCCATGTCGCAGGTCCTGCATGGACGTGTCTTTTGTGGGAGCCCCATTTGCCCCACACAGGAGGTGGGGGCCTCTATCGCTTTCTCTTGGTGCTGCCAGCCCACGGTGACAGGAAGGGGTGCAGAGTGGCCACACCCCTGCCCGGGGCTCCATGGAGCAGACACGAGACTACGGGAACCCCAGAGATAGGGAGACAGGGAGCAGGGCTGGCCCTGGGGACGGCGCGGCCTGAGGCCTGGGCGGGGAAGGCGGCTGTTGTGCGTGTATCTCCCCTCGCCCCCCCTGAGCTTTGCCCCCCCCCCGCCCCCAGGCATCGGACTCGTGCTGCAGGAGCTGCGAGGGGCGGGTGTCCTGAACGACACCCTGGTCATCTTCACGTCCGACAATGGGGTGCCCTTCCCCAGCGGCAGGACCAACCTATACTGGCCGGGCACCGCGGAGCCCTTGCTGGTGTCGTCCCCAGAGCACCGGAAGCGCTGGGGCCAGGTCAGCGAGGCCTACGTGAGCCTCCTGGGTAAGGCCCTGCCTCGCGTGTGGGGCGGGGGGCAGCTCCAGGGGCTGCTGCACACCCGCTCCTTGCGGTGTCCCCACCTCTCAGGAGGGAGGGACACCCCATGCTCCAGAGGTGAAAATGGGGTCAGAGAGCGAGTGGCCCTGTGCAGGTGTCCCCCCAGGGCGAGCAGCACAGGTCTGGGGGCCGGACCTGCATTCCTGGCCAGTTCCCGGGGGTCTGGGGACCCTGCTTTGGGGGGTCGGGGCAGCGTGCACTGGGGCCCCTGCGGCTCGGGACCAGCACCTCCTATTGGTCCCAAAGAACGATGGGGCACGCAGTGGCCATGGCACAGGACATGAGCCTGAGCCCCCACGAGGGCCCCCACGGTTCCGGAGACTCTTGAAGGGCCAGGGGCCGCCACTGGGGCTCATGCGGTCAGGGCTGTGCTGGCTCAGCAGCGGCCGGGGCAGCCGGCGGCTCTCCAAGCAGCTGGGCTCCTGGGCTGGGCCTGTGGGGTGGGGGGGCTCCTGGGGGGCACCCCGCCCCTGAGACGCCACTTCTCTCCAGATCTCACGCCCACCATCCTGGACTGGTTCTCCATCCCCTACCCCAGCTACACCATCTTTGGCACGAAGCCCGTGCGCCTGACCGGCCGGTCGCTGCTGCCAGCGCTGGAGGCGGAGCCGCCCTGGAGCACCGTCTTCGGCAGCCAGAGCCTGCACGAGGTCACCATGGCCTACCCCATGCGCTCCGTGCAGCGGCGGGGCCTGCGGCTCGTGCACAACCTGCTCTTCCAGGCGCCCTTCCCCATCGACCAGGACCTGTACGTCTCGCCCACCTTCCAGGACCTGCTGAACCGCACTGCGGCCGGCCGGCCCACCGGCTGGTACAAGACCCTCGGCCGCTACTACTACCGGGCGCGCTGGGAGCTGTACGACCACGCCTGCGACCCCCACGAGACCCAGAACCTGGCGGCCGACCCGCGCTACGCCCAGGCGCTGGCGCTGCTGCGGGACCAGCTGGCCAAGTGGCAGTGGGACACACAGGACCCCTGGGTGTGCGCGCCCGGCGGGGTGCTAGAGGACAGGCCCACCCCGCAGTGCCGGCCGCTGCACAACGGGCTGTGAGCCGCCCGCCCCTGCCCGGGCCAGCCCGTGTCCGAGCCGGCTCCTGGCACAGGATCCAGGGTCCCCGGCCGCAGCAGCGTCCCCCGCCCGCTACAGCCACCTGCCTGGGCTCGGGGACACGCAGGTGGAAGAGCTGGAACTCTTCGTACTTTGCACCCACACACCCCAGGTCTCGGGGCCTGCACACCTGAGGACTGTGGCTGCTCCCTCGGCTGCATCCAGTCAGGTCCTTGCCCCAGGTCGGGTTCCCCTGACCCATGAGTCAGCAGCCCCCACTGAGGACCCCCGCCGTGGTCTCCATGGGGGAGCGCACCTCCATTGCGACTTTCCAAGGGGGACGGCAGCCACCCCCAGGCGTGCGGGGTGGGGGGGGAAGGGAGCGCAGGCCAGGGTGCCGCGAGAGCCTTTTATCTCAGTAAAACACAAGGCCGTTCTCTGGCCTCCTAGTGAAGTCGCTCACCCGAATTGTTGAGCTGCTGGATCTGGGCCAGGTGTCAGCTGACCCTGTGCTGTGCGGGGGTGGGGGCGTGGGGGGGCGGCCGGGCTGGCTGGGCGGACCCTGGGGTGGTGAGGCTGTCCCAGGGGCCATCTGGGCTCAAGCGCAGCCCGGCCGTGGCACCCAGGCACAGGCCACCAGGGAGACCATGCGGAGGTGCAGGCGCCAGTCCGCAGTCAGGAGGCACCACTGCCATCGGCCGAGGTCGGCCACTTGGGCCTGTGCTCTGGGCAGGAGTGACCATGACCTCGGGGGGCACTTGCATCTCAGGAATGCCAATTGTGGCCTGCACATGGTGGGGTTCACAGCCAGGCCCCAGCGAGGCGGGGGAGTCAGTGCCCTCAGGCCCGGGCTCAGAGGACAGGCGTACGCTCACCGGCGCCAAGGTCCCTGCAGCCCGGGGAGGGACTCGAAGTCAGCGGGGGCTCTGCTCTGCCCACACAACCTTCTTCTGCTCATCCGCGACGGCCAGGCGGACACAGCTGAGCAGGGTGTCCTGGTCGCCCCAGCCGTCGGGCGCCAGGCTGCAGTACAGACAGGGCGCCTTGTCCAGCTTGCCCTCCTCCTGCCTGCCGGCCTCCAGGAGCTGCTCCTCCGAGGAGCCGAGCCGCTGCAGGGCCTTCCTACGGGGTGAAGAGGCGCAGGCTGGGGAGAGGCCTCGGCTCGGCTTCGAGGGCCCTGCCTAATGGGCAGGCGACAGCACCAAGTGAAGGAGGCCCGGGTGAAGGTGGCCCCTCTAACAGCGTCAAGGGCCTGTGCCCCAGATGACACCGCCCCAGTGGGGTCTCCCTTAGAGTCTAAGGAAGGCAGCAGGACGTCCAGGCTGGTCCCCTGCCTTGAGGTCAGTGCTGGCGTCCGTGTCCTCAGCTGACCGCACAGGCTGGCGGGTCCCCCCAACCTGTGGCCTGAGTCGAGATGGTCCCGGCCCTCCCCCTTGAGCCCAGAGGCGTGGGTTGCCCCGCGGCCCTCCCAACTGCTGGCGCCGGGACGCGTGCTACGGCCCCCCAGATCGCGGGCCCCTTCCAGCCGCCCAGCCCGAGGGAGCGCCCACCTGAGTCTCCTGGCCGCCTTCTCGTTGACGGCGACGTGGACGATGATGGGGAAGATCTCCATCCCGTGCAGGGCGCGCACGCTGTCCAGCCCTGCGTCCAGGAGGGCGTGGGTGTCCTGGGCGGGAGGGAGGCGAGTCGGGGCGCGCCGGGAGGAAGCCGGGGGCGGGAAGCCGGGGTCGGGGGTGGCTCAGGGACGCCCTGCCTGCCAGGGCTCACGCGCTTGGGGAGCTTCACCTGGGAAATCTAGACGCCGCCGGCCCTGGAGACCGAGGGGCGTGTGAGGCCCGAGGAGCCAGAGGCCCCGTCAGTCCTTCCCGCCTGCTTCGGCCCCTCATCGGGGAGAAGGAGCCCCCGAGCCCCTGCAGCCCCGCGCCTCTTACCTTTTCCATGAGGGCCTCAACAGCCCGGCGGGTCAGCCAGCGGCGGCCCCCCGCAGCCCCCTGCTCCTGCACGACGTCCCCCCGCTGGCTCAAGGCGGCGTACTCCTCCTGGCTCAGGTGCTCTGCGGGGGGCGGCAGGCGGGCGTCACAGCCGCGTGGGGCCTGAGGGACCCTGTGCTGACCCCCACCCTGGGGCCCCCCAGCTCTGGAGGAAGCTCCCCACACACCCCCATGGCCTCTACAAACCCGGCTTGCCCTGCACAGCTGGCCTGGGGCATCCTCGGGGTGATGCCAGGGAGAGGCAGGGGAGCAGGCGTGGGTGGACAGACATGAGGACACACAAGCTCTGCCGTCGCCTGACGAGCCCCGCCCTGGCCCGCGCCGAGGCTCCGGCGTTCCTCTCTGGCCTCCCAGAACCTGCCTCACGTCTGTGGTGAGGGGAAGGGCCTGAGAGGCTCTTGGACCCCAAATCTCCATCTCCCCACCAGAACCTGCCGCCCAGCAGGGTCTCGCTGGCCGCGCTGCACCCCAAAGTCCCACCTGCCTGGACCCCCTATCCACCCTGCGTGTCCCCGAGCCCGGGAGGCAGGCCTGGACCCGAGCTCGGGCCTCAGTAGAGGAGCGTGGAGGCGCGGGGAAGGGATGGCGGGGCGGGGTGGCTGCCGTCACAGCGAGGGACCCGCCCCAGAACCAGGAGGGCAAGGAGGGGGCCTGCTCCACCCGTCTGCCTGCAGGGAGCCGCCGCGCACCTGCCGGGCACTTGCTGAAGCCGTGGAGGAGGCCCAGCTTCTCGCTCAGGACCCGCCCCACCAGCCTGGGCACGAAGAGCACAGGCCGCGGCCGGCTGGGCCTGTGGGGGTGCACCAGGGTGTAGGGCGCCAGGGTGAAGCAGCTCTCTGCCCAGAAGCGCGTGCTGGAGTCTGCGGGAGGGAGCGGGGTGTGGGCGGGGACAGGGCGCCCGCAGGAGCCGCCTCTGCCCACAGGGGTCCACCATCCCCACCCCACCCCCTATCCGCAGGGCCCTCTTCACCCCCCAGCAGGGCCGTGTTTGCCCCCGCTGTGCCCCGGCACCTGCCGTCATCTGGGGCACAGCCAACTAACCCCCTTCCTTCCCACAACCTGCGCCCCCGTCTGTCCTCCCTCCCTCTGCTCTCCCCACTGCGACACCCCCTTTGGGCCCCCGACTCGGTGCCCACCGAGGGGCCCGCTGCCCCAGCGAGGCAGGTGCTGGTGGTTCTCAAGCTCCCCCCCCCCGCCCCCGGGACTGCCTGTGCTGGCCCGGCCACGGCCTGGACCGCCTCCCGGCCACCGCAGGCCGGCCAGGACGTGGGCCATGTCCCGGGAGGGCAGGCCAGCGGCCATCCTCAGACAGGCGTTGGCCTCGCTGACCAGCCGCAGCCCCCCAAAGGCCCACCTGCCTGGCGCCCGCAGCCCCTCCCAGGACTCACCTTCCACCCTGCTGGGGTCCGGCCGGGCACGCTCGAGGGGCGAGCACAGAGGGCCGGTCTGGGCTTTGTCCGCGCTGACAATACGGACCAGCTTCTGGGGCCCCCCGGAGGACGGCTGGGGAGGGGGAGGAAGGGTCACCCAAGACGCACCCACTCCTGGGCCTTCGGGCTGGGCCCCCCGGGGGACAGGAGCGGGCCCCAGGCAGAGCCCGACCAGGCAGGAGCCTGCAGGGCCGGGATGCGCAAGGCAGCGGGGAGCCGGGACCCCGTGGCCGAGGCCGTCCCGGGGCAGGGAGTGCTGCCTGCAGAGCACAAAGGCGCCCACCCCAGGGCAGGGGCGTGAAGACGACAGCAGGCGCGCGCCCCAGGATTTGCACACACGGCCTGCGGGCTGGGCGGACGCCAGGGCTTGGTGAGGTCCACGGGAGACACGCCTGGTCACCCCCTCGGAGCGGGGCCCTCCCCAGGTGAGGCCGGGCCCTCAGGCGGGAGGGGCGGCCAGGCGAGGGGCGGGCGGCCGCGAGCAGGCTGCGCACCTTGCGGGCGCTGGGGGTCTGCTGGGCCAGGTCCTGGAGGAGGGCGACGAGCAGCCGCTGGGCCCTGCGCGGAGAGGACAGCTGGCGCGCCTGCCCGGCGTCCCTCTCCCCGGGCCTCCCCCAACACCCCAGAGGCTGCCCCCGCGCGCCTGGGGGACCCAGGTGCTGGGGCGACCCCCCGTGGGCCATCCACTTGCACACAGGGTGCCCGGGCACCTCCTCGCCCCCCCCTCCACCCACCCAGGCGGGGCCTCTCCGAGCAGGGGGCGGTGGGGGCGCGCGCAGCTCACTGTGAGTAGGTGGGGATGGTGCCCTGCTCGGCGCCCGCGGTGCTGTAGGGGCCCAGGCGGCGGGCATGCCAGCAGCTGCCGCCCTGAAAGACGGTGTCTGTGACGTGCATCACGTCCCCGCAGCGCACCTGCAGCGCGCCCTCCGCCCGCCCCTCCACGGCCAGGTTTGCCCGGATGTAGAACGAGTCCCCCGAGGTCACCACTTTGGCCTCCAGGTCCTGGACCAGCTTCCTGTAGCCTGGGGGAGGGGACATGGTGGAGAGCCGGCCCCGCGTGGGGGGCCCCGGAACGCCAAAGCCTTGGGCAGCCATGACCCCGCCAGACACCGAGGGGCCCTGGGGGCCTCTGCAGACTTGGGGCCCAGCCTGGAGGGGGCCCCGGGGTGGGGCTGGCCTCCATGGCCAGGGCCCAGGGCCCGGGAGACACGGGGCAGCTGAGCGAGCCAGGGGCGGCCTGGGGCGGGCGGGGCCGTGCAGACCTTCCATGTTCATCTTCACGGACAAGCAGCAGAAGCCGCTCACCCTGCGGAGAAGCGCCAGGGCCTGCTCCAGGGTCGTGTCCTCCAGCACCGCCTTGAACAGGGGCTCTGTGGCCTCGCAGTCCACCTGAGGGCAAGTCGCCGGTCAGCCCCTATGCCACCACGCCACCCACCTGGACTGCAGCCCCGGCCAGCCCTGCAGGCCACACACACCCGCCCTGACAGGGTCCACCAAAGAAGTGTCCGCTCTTGAAAACAGGCCTTCGCTCTGGAACATTCTAGATGGGACTCCAGACATCTGGGCGGATGACAGCGCTGCGCTGGGGGCCGTCCCTCTCGGGCACGGTGCTCGGCAGAGCCCTGAGCTCTGCCCACTGAGGGCCCGGCCCGGCCCCAGCCCCTCCCCACCCACACAGGTGCACCCCGTCCTGTTCCTTCCATCCGGGCTGGACACCAAGGGGGCATGTGTTTGTACCGTGGGGGAAAAGCCAAGTTTTAATGCTGAGTTGGCCCCGTTCAGAGTCAGGGTTGGCCCCGAGACGTTGAGGGCTGGGCTACGGGCTGGTGACTGAGACTCAGAGGCTAGTTGGGCCAGCGGGACGGGTGGTCACCTCAGGTGCCTTCATTCCAGACCTACAAGGCCTCTCCTTGGCCGCCGGGACCAGGGGCCAGGGGGTTCTCAGGCTCCTGCCTCGGGGCACAGCCCCTCCTCCCTTCTGCAGCAGGGCGTGGTCCAGTTCCAGGGTCAGCCCGGGCTCATGCAGGGTACCGGAATATCAGGGGTAGGGGAGGGTCCCCGACACTCGAGACGAGGGGCGTGCTGCACGCCCGCCCAAGGAGGGGGCGTCGGCTCATCTGCGAGCGCTCCCCAGGCCGCGGAGCCCCCCCCACTCACCATCACGATCTGGGTGCCCGGCCGCAAGGCCATCTGATCCGCCGCCGAGCCCGGGGTGACCCGGTGAATGAAGATGCCCGTGAGGTTCCCCCCAATGACATGTATCTGCTCCAGCAGCGCGCACCCCTGGAAGGCCAGCACCGTGACGGGGCTCGAGACCTTGCGGGCTGGCCTGCGCCGCACCGGGGCGCTGCTGCGGGCGGGAGGTGACACACTCGTGTGGCGCCCAGGAGGGGCCCCAGCACATTGGGGTCGTCCCCCGTGAGCCCCCACCAGAAAGGCCGAACCCTGCCCTGCCACAGTGGTAGGACACCCGCCTCACCTGCCCTGCCGGCCCAGCCCTGCCCTGGCGCCCGGGCTCCGATGGCCCTGCCCCCGCCGGCCTCACCCCCGCACAGCACAGGGGGTGCCCCTGGCTCACCTGGCTGAGACCGCCGGGCCCCCGGACAATGGCTGCAGGCTGCTGTCCACAGACTCAGGAAGGTCTAGGCGGAAACCGAGAGCTCGGACCCCGGGCAGGGCCGGCCCTCCCGTCCCCCAGCTCCTGACCAGCTCAGCTCCAGCCCCAGCCTCAGGCCCCCGCCCACTGCTTAGCCCCTGCCGAGGCGCCGAGACAGGCGTGGCGAGAGGCCCGCACCGTGTCCTCCGGCCTTTGAATGAGCCGCCGACACTTTACAGGGCAGGGATCCAGAACCCGGGCTGGAATTTCTGCAGGGACCCACCTGTCCGCAGGGCCCACCCTTCTGCCCGGCCTGCCCTCCCAGCGCAGCAGGCACCAGCACGGGCCATGGTGGCCTCCTGCCGGCAGGCCGGCTGTGCCCAGGGCAGGTAGGACCAGATGCACCCAGCCCCCCATGTGCTAACACGCGGCTTGTGAAGGGGGAAGTGGGGGGCCCATGCTCAGTCCCCCTGAAGGGGGAAGTCGGGTGGCAGCTCACGGGCTGAGCCCAGCGAGTCACGGCCTGACCGCTGAGCCCGGGACGCCGAGGTGCGTGGCTCGCTTCCACCAGAAGGGCACGGATCCGGGGAGTGGGCGGTGCCCCGGCAGAAGGAAGATGTGGGGGCTCCTGCGTCCCTGTCCCGAGCTTGCGGTCAGCACACACAGCAGCTCCCCGGGGACTCTGGCGCCCTGACTCGCCCCAGCGCGGGCCGCGCGCCCCCTGGTGGCTGTGGGGTGAATTCCAGCCAGGGCGCCCATCCCGGGAGAGACCCACCTTCTCCCTGCACACCCCACCCTCCCCTCCCTCAGCTCTGGGGCCCAGTCCAGGGGGTCGGGCAGCTGCAGGGGAGCGGGGTGGACTCACCCGCCCTGTCCACGATCTCGAAATCCAGGTCTACATCGCCTGCCGTTGCCCCCAGGGAGGCGCCCAGGTCCACCTCCAGGGCCTCCGAGGAGCCGCTGCCAAGCAGAAGGAGAAGCCAGCTCAGCCCCAGAGCCCCAGCACCGCCAGCCGAGGCCCAGACCGGTGTCCCGGGAGCTGCCAGCGGGACCCTACCTGGAGGCCCAGGGCCCCTCCCAGAGCTCGGCCGTGGCCCGCCTGCACAGCGACTGCTGGCTGGGCGGCAGGGGGCTGCTGGAGCGGAAGCTGTCCCCCAGCTCGCGGCTGGACGTGGCGCTCAGGTCGCACCAGAGCTGAGCCTGGAGGAGGACGGGGCTCAGCGTGGCTGCCTCGGGGGCCCCGACACCGCCCCACCCTGCACTGTGTAAGGAGAGGGCGGGAATCAGCAGCAACTGCGCTGTCAGGGCAGAGGCGGTGGGAGGGGCCACGGGGAACGTGGGAGGCCCCGTCGCTGAGCCCCACTCTGCGCAGGCCCCGTTGGCTGCTCCCCGTGTTTCCCGAGGCTCAGTTTTCACGCTAAACCTGTGTGGCGGGCCGTATGTCCCATTCCCCAGACAAAGCAACTGAAGCCCAGAGAGGCCAGGGCCAGAGAGGCCAGGGCCAGTGAGGCGGGCACCCATGGGTGCTCCCGCGTGACTGGAGGATGCCTGCTGCTCTGTGGCTCTGTAGGCAGACCCCCCGCCAGGACTTCTCTGTTCTGATAGTGGGGGGGCAGCCGGGCTCTCCCGGGATGTGGGGGGCGTACCTCCAAGGCGCCGGGGCAGCTGCTGTCCTCGGGCGGGCAGAGAGCAAACATGCGCACCAGCCGCTGCTTCCCCTTCGGGCAGGGCTCCCGGGGCCCTGCCTCCGGCTCGGGCTGCCCAGGAGACGGCGGGTCCACTCAGGAGAGGCTCTCGGGGCCCGGCCGAGCCACCCCACCCCTTCCGGAGGCTTCCTCCATCAGCCTCCAGGGGAAGCAATCGCATTCCCTGCTCCCGGCCCAGGCCCCGCACGCAGGAGCTGACCGCCGAGGCCGTGCAGAGCCGGGCCGTGGTGCGGACACCTCAGGGGCATGCTGTCCACTGTGCAGGCGGCTGCGGACGGCTTCGCTGCTGTCTGTCCTCACACGATACTCACCTTGCAGGTCCCGAGCTCCTCTCGGCCCCCCTCCCATGACCGGCCTCCTACGAGGCGCCGCAGCAGCGGCCTGAGCATGCCCCGCTCTGCATCCTCAGGGTTCCGCATGGGAGCCGCGTGGGAGGCGGCGCGGGTCGGAGCAGGGAAACCCCACACCCCAGTGGCCGTGAGTGGCCGGCGTGCCCCCACCACGCACAGCTGGTCCGGGGCCCTGCGCCCCGCCTCCGTCTCCCACCAGGCCGCAGCTCACCGCGCGCGCTGCCGCGATCCGCAGGCCGTGGAGCTGCTGGCGGAGCTCGCAGAGCTCGTGGGTCAGCCCGAACACCTTCCTGCGGAGCGCGTCCTTCTCCGTGAGGTGCTGCGAAATCTCCATCTGGGCTCCGTCTCGCGCCGAGTAGGCCTGTGGGCGCAGAGGCCCCTGTCTCTGGTGCGCCTCGATCCCGGCCCCGCCCGGGGGCTCCCGACTCGTGCTTGCTCCGAGACACGTGGCGTGTCGCTGGTTTACAGTTCACTAATCGCGGGGGCCTTACTGCAGGCCAGTATGGGGGTACTTAAAACACAGCTGCTCTTTTTCAGGCATCCTGTGCCAGGAGTAAAAGGAGGGAGGATGCTACCCGCAAGCACGTTGGGGTGGGGGAGGTCAGACTCCTGGTGTGCACCCAGGAGACCCTGATTCTGGAGCCAGCTGCCTCTGAGGGCGGCGTGAGCTGCGCGCACCCAGACCCGGCGGCATCGTCTGAGCGCCCACCGCGGGCCGGGCCGCTCCCGCTCACCTGGTCCCGCTCCTTCTGCAGCTCCGCCACCTGGCCCTGCAGGGCGCTCATCTTCTCCCTGAAGATCTCACAGTCCACCCGCGCCCTCTGCAGCTGCAGCAGGGTCTGCTCCTTCTCCTCCCAGTACTGGACAGAGGGGACGAGTGGCCTGGTCAGCCCAGGCAGGTCGGGCTGCGGTCAGGGTGGGGTGGGGTGGGGGGGCCTCAGAGAGAGAGAGAGAGGGTTGGTTCTAGGGGTGAATTCAGGTGAATTTGAGGCCAGACTGACCATTTCCTGGGCGAGGCAAGACCTGTCTTACTTTTCCCGGAGACCTGCTTTCACAGACACAGCAGAGCCTGGCCCTTGTCTGGCTGATGCGAGCTGAGCGCGTGCAGGCCGAGGGCTGCCGACGGAGCACGGCAGAGCCGGGGCCCGCCCAGAGGTGAGGCGCCGTCAGCGGCGCCAGGTACAGAACTCCAGTCACACGGAGAAAAGCCTCGTCGGGCTTCCCCACGCGGGAACGGCCCCGTGGCTGGCGGCGACCTTCAGCCAAGTCCACGATTCTTTGCCCCGACCACCCTTGAACCAATAAAATGTCACTGCTTCGTTCTCCACCCCACTCCCCCAAGTCAGGACAGCCCCCTCTTCACGGGGTGGGGAGTACACCAGCGCCTGCCTCCTGCGTCGCGCCAGGGCACCGGCACGTCTCTTCTCTTCTCGAAACCTGGTGCCGTGCTCGGCAGCGTCTCGGCGCGCGGGGCAGTGGCCGCTGCTGGGCAGCAGATGCGCCGGCTGGTTTCGGGAGCGTGGGCGGCCGGGCGGCTGCAGCCCCCGTGCTGGCTGCTCTCCCAAGCAGGCGCGGCTGCTGCCGGGACACTTGTGTTCCTTATTCCGTGACCCGAGTACGCTGCCTCATCCTGCTCCGTGGCTTCTTGTTTTTTTTTGTAGCAACCAAACCAGCCCCAGCTCTCCCCTTGGCCCCCGCACCTGAAACCCCTGCGCTCTCGTCCCTCACCTGCGCCCGGGCCCCTCGGCCTCACGCTCAGGTTGTACCGCCGCAGACAAGTGTCCAGGCCTGCTGTGGACGGGACCCCGTCTCGCCTGAGCTGTGCCCTGACTGGCTGGGATGGGGGCAGGGGAGGCCGGCACATTGGCGGGCCCAGCTGGCCTCAACACAGGCAGGCGCCGCCCGCGGTCCCCAGCGCAGCCGCGCGGCCTCGACGGTCACCTGCTTCCGCTGCCTCTCGGCGTGCGCGGCCCGCTCCCGCAGCGAGTGGATGCGGTCCACCAGCTCCTGCTTGCTCTCCAGAGCCTCGTCCAGGTTCTGCTCCAGAATGTCCTTCTCTGCCTGGTGCAGAGAGAGAGTCAGCACGAGGGCCCAGTCGCCCCAAAGGCCTGCCCTGGCGAGGCTCCCCAGCACCAGCACCCCAGCAAGCGCAGGTGTGGGCCGGGGGCGCCGCCCTGATGTATGTCACGGGACGCACATGCTTGGGTTGTCCTTAGCGAGGCCAGGAGGCAGAGTCAAGGACACAGGGGGCCTCTCAGGACAGCAGCCCCCCAGGAAGAGCTCCAGGCTGCTCCTTTAACAAAGCTCTGCACGGAGGGAAAACCCGGGCGGCTCGCCCCTCTCACGCGCAGCGAACAAAGCAGAGCCCGGCCTGCGTGAGCCCCGTGGGCGCCTGTAGAGTGACGTCTCCGCAGAGACATCGGCTGACTGAAAGGCATCGCGGGGAGAAACAACACGTTTGTGCAGTTCCAGGGTTGGGGTCACTCAGTCTCTGTTTCCCATAGTCCCTCTGTCCCCGCGTGAGCCTGGGCTGGACGGGACAACACTCCGCGGGCAGGAGAGCCCCCAGGGCCGACCCCATCAGTCATGAGTGGGGCAGCCCGGCCAGCTGAGCCGCGTCCCAGTGTGTGTCGGGGCTGTGACCCCAGCTGTTGTCGGGGACTGGGGAGCAGCGGGGCGGAGAGAGTCGGGAGGAAGCAGGCCTGTCCCCCACGTGTGCGTGTCCCCACCGCTCAGGGCAGAGGCGGCCCTGCGGGACGGGCCTACCAGGCTGAACGTCAGGGACCGCAGCCGCTGGTTCTCCGTCTTCAGGCGGGCCAGCTCCGCGCCGCCCGGCTCCAGGCTGCCGGCTGTCAGCAGGGACCGCTCCCGGAACTCCCGCTCACAGGAGGACGACAGCTGCTCCCTCTGCAGCTCCTGCTTCACCAGGTACAGCTGTGGGCGGCAGGCGGGCGAGGCCTCAGGAGCGTCCACGCCCCAGGCGTCCCCCCCAGAGGCGCGGGGGGAGGTGGGACCCCGAAGCCGCGGGGGTCTTCCGAAGCCCAGGCCACCCCACCAGTGTCCCACCTGAGGGCAGCCCGGCCCCCTGGGGCAGAGAGAGCGCTCAGCTTGGTTTCATTGGGGAGGCAGAGAGACGCCCCCCTGGACAGTGGTCCCCAGGGCAGGACAGGGGCCCTGGAGGCCAAATCTTTGACTGTTCCTGCAAACCTCAGGGGCGCCAGCAGCCAGCCACGCAAGGCCAGAGAGTGAGTGCCCGCCGGCGTGCTCCCTGGCTCCTACCCCTCACGTTCTGCTCACTGCACTGGATCAAGGGGGTTGGGGTTGGGGAAACCAGTAAGTAAAAAGGAAGACCCAGATCGGGTCTGAGGGCAGGGCCTTGGACAGCGCACGCTGGACATGGTGTGTGGACACTGCCTCTGCCCGGGGCGCCTTCCAGACACGACCAGGCCAGGCCCTGCTGGCCCGTCCTGCTGGCTAGTGGGCCCAGAGGAGCTTGGACCTCAGTGAGCGGCCTGGCCTCTCCCCTCAGGGCATGGTGTCTGGGGAGAGGGCCTTTCCCAGCTTGCACCGGGGCTGAGGTCCAGCAGAGAAGGAGGGACACTTCTGCTTGACGTCCCCTCCTGACACTGGCGCCTGCAGCCCTGAGCCTGCCGCTGGGCCAGGTGCCTCGTCTTCCACACGTTCAAAAGCGAAAGTTAGATCACGGAGATCTGGTAGGGGGACCGAGCTGGAAGTAACTGGGGACAAATGAACCCGATTCTATTGCAAGCACGCCCCAGAGCCACCGGGGAGGAGGCAGAGGGGCAGGAGGTGAAGCTGAGGTGGGGGCTGCGGGAGCTGGGGAGGCAGAGGTAGCCGTAGCCCTCGGCCTCAGGCGGGTGGGCGGTGTAGACACAGGCAAGGTGGCCCTCACAGGCCAGTCCATGGGCAAGCACAGGGCAGGCCCTTGGGCTATGGAGGCTGGCGGAGCTGGCAGAGGCTGGCGGAGGCAGGGGCCGGCTTCCCACGGGGGCAGATTCCCAGCCGGGTGGGCTGGCGGTGTGGGGGGGCGCCCCCGTTCCCCCCCCCGCCCCACCACCCACCTCCTCCTGCAGGCCGCGGCAGCGCGAGGTGGCCAGCTCCTTCTCCTGCAGCGCGTTGCTGTAGCGCAGCGACAGGCTGAGCATCTCGTCCTTGAGCTTGAGCGCCTCGTGGAAGTGGGCGCTGACCTCGCGCTTCATGCGGCCGTGGTCAGCCTCCAGCTGGCTCAGCCCCTCGGCGCGGGCCTCGGCCAGGCCCAGGCGCTCCTGTAGCCGCCGGCACTGCTGCAGCAGCGCCTCCTTCTGCCCCTTCTCCTGGCTCAGCTCCTCCTGCAGGCTGCCGATGGCCCCCGCCAGGCAGGCGGTCAGCTTGGACGTCTCCATGAGGCCTGCAGGCCGGGCGGGAGGCAGGGCAGCGCTCCTTAGCCTCCTGCGGACTCGAGTCAACCCCTGGCTCTCAGCAGGGGCCGTCTGCCAGGTCCTGACCAGTGGCCCCAACTGGACTCGCTATTCTGGCTGAACACACAGCGGGACTGACGGTTTGGCTGCAAGGACTGGCTGCTTGCAGCTCCCCGGGGGACCCTCTGTCAGACCCAGCCCCCGTCAGCCGAGACCTGCTCAGTCCAGCTCATGTAATGCCACCCCCAAGGCCGAGCAAGGCGAGTGCCCGCCTGAACCCACTCCCGGATGGACACGCTCCTGGCCCATCTCCCTCCCTCCCTCCCCACCTCCCTCCCAGACCCTGGGGAAAGAGGCTCACGCTTTTCTGGGGTAGGGCCGGCCCCCCTTTGCCTGCACCCTGAGGGTTAGGGACACACCTTTCCTTAGAGCCCAAGGCGGGTCCTTCCCCGCCCCCCCAGCCCCTGCCACGCCATGGTGGCGGGCTCTCCTGACCCCTGGGGTGCTGGGCCTAGGGGCAGGCGCTGTGCCTGCCGGGAGGGAAGCAGGGAGGCTGCCTGGCACTGCCAGTGGGGGAGGCAGGACCCCAAGACCATGGGGGTCCTCCAAAGCCCAGGCCACCCCCCGAACGAGGATCGCGCAGTCACCGCTGAAGCTGCTGAGGTCCAGGTCGGGCTGCAGCCCGGTGACCAGCGTGTACACGTCCGGGTTGTGGAACTTCAGGCTCTCCAGGAAGGCGACCGCCCCGTTCTTGCCTCGGGCCCGCAGCAGGTCCAGCAGGTGCCCTTGAGAGAGACCGCGCAGCTGCAGCACTGGGGGTGGGCGGTCCCCGGGGGGGCCTGGCATGTCGGGGCGGGGGCAGCTCTGCAGAACTGGGGTGCTGCTCTTTAGCTCCTCTCATGCCAGCCCTGGACTTCACTTATCTCACATGCTGAGCAATCTATTTAACGCGCACACGCATACGGTCTCCGGTGTGGTGGTCAGTCTCAGCTGCCCGGCAAGGGCTGGGGATAAAGGAGTGAGGAAGGTGGCCTTGGCTCTCGAGACCTTCCAGTGTCTTGGTGGGCAAAACACAGGGGGCCAAGCAGCTGCCCCGGCAGGAGACCCCCCCCGGCCCCACCCTGCTGGGCCCGGGGCGGGTGGGCCCACTGCTGCCACGGGCGGGGCCTCCAATGACAGTCACAGCGCCCCTTCTCTGGTGACCTCATGCTGTGCCCTCTCAGGCCCTCTTTGAGACGAGCCGCTAAGCCAACCGCTTCGGGCGCCAGACGTGAGCTTAGCTGTTTCAGGACAGACCAACCCAGCTGGTCCGTCTGATTCGATTCCAAAGCCGTCCCGGTGGGTGGGTTGCAGCCCCCAAGCACGAGCACCGGGCCCAGCGGTGTTTGGCCCCGTGTTTGGAAACTGTCTTTGCAGGTGTCACTAAATGAGGGACCTTGAGATCAGCTCATCCTGTGCATCTGGGGGGGGCAGGGAGTAAATCCAGTGACAAATATCCTGGCAGGGGGCAGAGGTGGAGGGAACCCCGGGCCCAGGGGCTGGAGGAGGCAGGAAGGAGCCCCCCGAGAGCCTTGGGGAGCACAGCCTGGATGCTCGGACAGCCGCTTCGGGCCCGGACCGAGAGCACGTTTCTGCTACTTTAGCCTCCCAGCTGTGGTCACTGGTCAGGCCACCCGGGGTGACGAGGTGCCCCTCGCCGAGCCCAGGCCCCTGCTGGGACAGTCCTCCCTCGGGCCCGCCCTCCCCGGGGCCCCGCGGCCCGGCGGGCGCCTCACCCACACGCATGGCAGAGTTGGTGAGCCGGGGGCTGTGCAGCACCTCTTCCTCGTCCAGCTGGCCCAGCACCTTGGCCTGGCGCAGGTAGGGGGTGAGGCGGCTGGGGCAGACGCTGCGCACGATGCGGTGGCGGTGGCCGTCCATCATGTCCCACAGCTCCTCCTCGCCCAGCGCCGTCAGGGAGGACTCCGTGCGGCACAGCTCCCCCATGGCGGCGGCCTGACGAGAGGGGGCCGGGGGCGTCAGCCGCGGCCTTTCCGCTCATGCCCTGGCCCCGTGTCACTGCGGAGGAGCTGACCCATCTGGACAGAACCGTCCCTCCCCTGCCGGCCCGGGCCCGGGGGTGCAAGGGGTGGGGGTCGTCCATCCACACTGTTGGAGGCCAGTCGAGTCCTTCACCCCCAAGAGGCAGGACTTGCCTTTCAAACGGAGGGAGCGCCGGGGGCCTGGAACAGACTGAGCAGGTGAGGGTGGCGCTAGGACGAGATGGGTCTAGAGAGGCCTGCTCCACGGTGGTGCAACCCCAGAGGGCCCACGCTGGCTTGTGAGCAAACAGCCTGACCCGTCTGCACTTGGAGCATAGGTGTGGGGAGCACAGGCGTGGGGAGCAAAGCCCACCTGTGATGGCAGCACTGCAGGGAGGGTCTACAGGGCTCCTCAGGGCTACGGTGACAGAAGGGTAAAGAAACACCACCTGAGAGGCAGCGCGAGGGTTTGGAGGGTGACCGGGCAGCCCAGGTGGCGTCCACGCTCTCCAGTGAGGGGCCAGGTGGCTGTCAGCTGGCGCCCAGAAAACACTCTGCTTTCGCTTTGCCACACCTGGCGAGGATGCCCCTTTCGGAGGCGCTGTGGGCCCTACTTTCTGGTCAGTGGCTGGAGTGGGCAGACATTCCCTCTCTGTTCCTGGCAGCAGGGATGCCAAGCTCCTGCCTAGGTGAGCGTGCCTGCCCAGGTAGGAGCGCCTGCCCAGGTGAGCATGGCTGCCTAGAGCCAGAATCCCGACTGCGGGGCAGGAGGGGAAGGCTCAGGGCGCGGGACGCAGAGGCCAGGCCACACCGCACGGACTCTTACTACAGGAAGCTTCGCAGGCGATGGGGGAGCCGGAGGGACAGCGGAGGCCCACACAGGCTCTCCTTAGCGCCCGCCATTGAGAACAGCTTGTGGCTTCTGTCACAGCCAGCGTCCCCAGAGCCGCCGCCTTAAGCCAGGCCTCAGTGCAGCGTGGGGTCGTGCCCTGGGGCCCAGTCTCGTTTCCTTTACAAACTTTACATATTTGTTAAACTTTTTAAAATTCTCAGCCCCACACCTATCTGACCTCATTCCATTTTTAACTGGGGAGGCAGATTTGAGTTTCTCTCCTACCTCCTGGCACGCCGATTGGCAATAAAGCTTGTTTCTTTTCCTGAACCGGACGTCGTGTTTGGCGTCTGCCCGGTGGGTGGTGAGCCCGTTGCTCAGTCACCACCCCAGATTCGAGACTCAGATGGTGACTACGTCGGGAATGGGGTCTTGGCTGATTAGGGTGGCCCCAGATGGAATCCTGGGGTCCGTGGGGGAGAGGACACAGCACACGCGGGGAAGGAGGACGTGATGGCGGGACGGTGACCAGAGGGACCAGCTACAAGCCCGGCGTGCCACGGGCAGTGGTGCCTGGGGAAGTGCGAGGCCTCGCCCCAGACCTGCAGAGGACCGCACTGCCGTGGGGCTCGCGGGCTGTAGCGGCCGAGCTGCCAGCAGGTGTCCGGGTCTCTGGGGACTGAGCCAGGTGGCCCGAGCAGCCCTGGGCTCCGGTGAAAGGAAAGGCCCCGGGAAGGAGGGCCTCAGGGGCCACCTGCCCGTCTCCTACCCATGGAACGCGGCCTGAGGCCCGGCCCTGCGGGGCTGCCTCTGAGGTTGTCCCACCTCAGCCTCCCTCCTCCCTCTAGCCCTGAACCAGGGCTGAGCTCACGAGCCCATGGAGCTGACTCTAAGATGTCCTCCAACTGCGGCCATTTCACGCGTCTCCAAAGCGTCCTGCAAATGATGGCGCCAAGACCACGCAGACTCAACCTGTCTTAGCACCTGTGCCTCAAGATTCCTCTGCAAGCAGGTGCATCCTTAGCGCCCCACTTGGCCTTGCAGCCTCCCCCCCTGCCCAGCAGGGAGGCCAGCACGCGCCTGTGTGCGCACCTGCCCCCGCGCACGCGCCTCCGTGCGCACCTGCCCTGCGCACGCACCTGCTGCAGGGTGCCAACGTCAGCAGTAGTTATGGACACAACGCCTCCGCAACAGTGTCCGGCGGGCCATCTCCACCCTCAGCGGGCCCGGTCACAGGCCCCCCACTGGACGTCCTGTTCTGTCTCGAGTCGCCTGGGCTCAGGGAGGTCAGCACAACGGGGTTTCTACTTTTTCTCCATCACCCTAGAGCTGCAACGAGCGGAGCGGGCACCTCTGGGCACAGCGGGAGCCCAGCTCACCCCTCAAGCGCCCTTCATCTCATTCTCTCCGTGGGGGTGATAAGCAGGACTGGGTGGAGTCCAGGGCCTCTTGAAGAGGTCTGTGTGCTGGAATGTTTGCAAACCAGAGCAAACCAGCCCTTGGGGTCTAAGGAAAGCGGGCAGTGGTGCCCGGAGGCCCTGTCTCCAAGGGCAGCCCCTCACCCACCGGGGAGCTGCGTTCAGTGCGTGCTCGTGGAGACAGGGTTCACTGCAGGAACCCCCACGGGCTGGGTCTGTGCCCCGCCCCCCACGATCCGTTGGCCCACACACTGGGCACAAGGCCCTGGCTGAGGCCTGCAGGAGCGTCCCTGGAGCGTGACCTTCTGAACGAGGCGACACGGGGCCGCACAAAACGGAAACAGTGTGGCAGGTTAAAGGACGACTCGGAGTTCCGAGACAGACGGGAGCGCCCTGAGCCACGGGTGCCTTGGCCGGCCCTGCCCTGTGGCACCCGGGGCTCCAGCCCAGTGTCTAGCACCTGAACTTCCAGCTCCACCAAGAGATTCTTTGGCAACAACGTTGCCCTCCATGTGGTTCTCCTGATGCTTCTCAGCACCCTGGCTGGGGGCTTGTCCCGTCTGGGAGCCCTGCTGGGGAGGGCCCGAGGGGACCCGCCGGCTCCCTGGCTGCTGGCTGGTGGCCCAGAGCCGGCTGGGGGCTCAGCCTCTGGCCTCCGCTGTGGAGGACTCTAACTGGGCCGAGGGCAGCACCTATGTCAGGGCGAGCTGTGGTTTGGTTTGCCTGCCCCTGCCGGGCCTTCTGGGAAAGGCAGGCGTAAGGAGTAGAGTCAGTCTGCCCCGTGCCCGGCCCTGTGCCAGGCCCGAGCGAGGGGCTTGTCCAGGACCAGGCCATGTGGGCCTAGCGCCCCACCCCTCCCGGCGGGAGCCGCAGAGGGGAGGCCTGGCACCCCGCTCCACTGCAGGCCCGCTGAGCCCCACCCCCGACTCAGGTATCCAGCTCCAGGGGCTGGGTCAAGTTCAACGTAGAAACCAGCCTTGATGGAAGGAATAATTCTTGTCGTCCAGAAGCATTTATGCTGCATCTGAGGATTCCATCCTTATTTTTTTAGATCATTTAAGTCTAAATAAGATTAAAATTTTACTTAACGTAGAACTTGATCCTTTTTATAAAGTGGCATCAGCATCTCTCTTCAACCTAGTCACCTACCCCCACCTGCCTCCGTCATCCAGCGTCTGTGCACACACAGGAGGGGGGGGAAAGGAAGTTTCTAGAACGCGGCTCTAATGCTGACACCTGTATCTGTGGTGTCATTTTACAAAGTCTGTTGCTTTCTTCTCCTTTGGGTATTAAATAAGCTTTTTAGAATGCATAAGCATGGCTCAAAAAAACCCATAAAGTCAGAAAATGATACAATTTGCTCCATTGATGGATGGAGGAGGAGGACATGGGGCTGACAGTCCCCACGGCCCCTCGGGGTCCCCACGCCCCTCGGGGTCACGGGCAGAGGCGGCTCCTCTGCTGGTCTCCCTGGATCTGCCTGAAGGACAGCTGGGCCCATGAGAGGGTGGGAGCAGGCCCAAGGTGATGGGTGCTGCTTAAGGGAGGAAATTTCCAGGAAAGTGGGGTGGGGGAGGACCTGTTCTTCAGAGACCCCCTCCCATCAAAGTGGACCCAAAAAGCAGGGGACAGCTAAAGCTGAGAGCTGCCTTGCCAGGCCAGCCATGGCCACTGGCTTGCTCCTGGCCCCCCAAGTCACCCTGGGGTTGGGTCTTGGGGTGCAGCCTGATGGCCTCGCTCCGGTCTTGCTCCCTGTGTGGTCGCTCACAACAGGTCCCTGCACGGTGATTAAAACATGTGGGAGAGTCTTGGCAGCTCAGCCCCATATTCAACAGGGGCCAGGCCTGGCAGCCGGCCCAGACCCAGGACTGGCAGCTGCCACCGGCGGCAGCTTTGGGGGGCCAGGTCCCCGAGCCCCAGCATCGCGGTCCTCCCAGCGACCCGCCCGGCCCGGCCTCCCCTCAGCACGGAGGGCAGAGGCTGGCCCTGCGCCCTCAGCGAGTCCGGCCCCAAGTACATTTAAAATGTCCCGCCCCGCAGGCACGGGTCGGACTCACGCGGAGCCCGGCCTCGCCCGCCCGCAGCAGACGCAGAGGCGCGGGGCACCGCGGAGGCTCCCCGACTCCGCCAGGCCTGGGTGGGGCTCGCGGCTGGGCCGTCCGGAAACTTGCCCCAGCAAGGCAGACGCCGCTCTGCTCCTGTCCACACACCCCACCCTCCACTCGCACCGCAGGGCCGGCCCCCCGGCCCCCAGGGCCCCGGCCCGCTCCCGGAGCCCGGCCTCCGCGCTGACCTGCTGTCCGGGCAGCTGCGCCGGCCGCCTCCTCCGTGAGAGTGAGGCCGCACTGGGGCGGGACGGCCGCGGACCAGCAGGTCGGACGGGCCAGGCGTGTGGGCCCTGCCCACGGCAGCGCCTCGCGGGCCTCCACGTGTCCCGGGGCTCCGGGGCGGCCCCGAGCCTGTGACGTGAGCAGAGAGCAAGCACGGGCCTCCGCGGCAGCGCCGGGGCCTGGGAGCCGCCGGGCGGCCGGTCCACCGCCAGCAGGTGGCCACGGCGCAGGTCACAGTCCCCGTGGGCGGGCCCGACCCCCATCTGCGAGGCCAGTGCAGCTCCCCGGAGACACCCCAGGAAAGGCCCAGGCCGGCGGCCGAGCTCTGGAGCCTTTGCTTCCGGCCGCTCCCTGTGGGCCGTGTGGAGACGATCCCGCGAGCCATCCCAGGCCACTTGACGACTCCCGAATGTTTCCGCTCGGGCGGGAAGCTGAGTTCCTCCACCGCAGGCGCATTCAGAGTCTGACCCCCGCTTGCTGTGCCCCGCCGCCCGCTGCCGGGGCCTCCGCAAACGCCTTCCAGCCTGCCCCAGGCCCGCCGGCAGCAGCAGGCAGGGACAGCGCGCCAGACGCGAGGCCGGCCACGCGTCCCCGGTGGTCTACGGGTCCTCGAGCCCCCTCACCCCGAGGCGCTGCTGACTGAGCACGGCCGGCGCCACCTCTGCCCACCTGCGCCAGGGACACAGCTCTCCTCGCCGGTTCCGGGCATGCGCCCACCCAGGGCCTTGGCACCTGCAGCTCACGCCCCCGGGACTCTTCTGTCCCCTGCAGCACTTTGCTCGAGGGGCACCTTCCCGAGAGGCCGTTCCAGGTGGGTCTGTTCAAAATCACAGACTCCCACCCCGGACTCCCTCGCCCTCCCGTTTCATGTTCCTCTGCTGGGCTCACGGCCCCTGGCATAGAGCGCGTTCTAAGGACTTGCTGCTTGCCTGCCTGCCTCCCCACCCCCCGGTGCCAAGAATTCTTGTCTTTCTCGTTCTTCGCTATGTCCCCATCCCAGCAAGGAGGCACCGGGCTCGCCGGTGGGTGCATGAATCATGCGGGTTGGGCATCTGCTTCCCACAGAGGCAGGCGCTGGCCGCGGGAGTCCACAGCTCCGTGGCCTGTCTGAGGGACTGTCCTCTGAAGCCCGGGGGTGAGGCCTGCCCTTCTCACTTTGCCTGGGACACAGAGAGTTCCTAGCTAGTCACGAAACCTTAAGGAAATGCTGCCATGCTAAGTCAAAGAGGGTGCCCGCAGGCTGTGCTGAAGGCGGGGGGCCCCCTGAGCCTCTGCTCTGAGCAATAGACAGAGGAGCCGGGGGAGTCCATCCCCAGGGCCTGACCACTTCCTGAGGGCAAACCTGTCGCTTGGCCACCACAGTGTCCTCGTCCTTGGGACAACCCCACAGACACTTGCTCGGCGACACCCAGGACCAGCTGCACACCCCTCAGGGCTGGGCTTTCTGGGGAGCTGGCCGGGGTACAAGAGCATCTCCTGGAGGAACCCTGGGCCAGGGGTGGGGGTCATTGAGGGGGAAGCTGGTAGCAGGCCAGCACCACCTGTGGCCACTCCCAAGGCCATGAGCTGGACCCAGGCGGCCATGGAGCCCCTCTGTGCCCCACCATTCACCCGTGAAATTTAGGGAGGGGGCAGGTGGGTGCTTGGCTCTGAAGTGGAGCATTGGCATGGGGATGGCACAGGAGCCAGGTAAGAGGAAGGCCTGTGAGAATAGTCAGCCTCTGCTGGGAAACTCGAGAACAGCTCAGGAAGGGCCGTTGCCCAGGACCCTGCTCAGGACCAGGGTCTTCACTTCAGTTCATGCCTGGGAGGATTCCAGAACTTCTAGCACATTCTAAACAGGCTCTGGACCACCCAGCTGGAGAACTGAGTGAGCGTTTCCGGGCGGGGCTGGGCGGGGCTCCTCCGCAGCCTGGGGTGGACCCCACACCCACCTCTGGCTTGAGGAGCGGGGAGTGGGCAGGGGTGGCAGAAAGTGGCTATTTCCATGGGAGCCGGTCAGACTGGTCAGTCCCTGCTGCCTTTCGCAGCCTCGTGTGTAACTGCTGTGGACCACGCCACTTGATGTCAGGCATCCGCACTCAACCCAGCGAGGTCAGATCTGCTCCTTAAAGATGCGTCTTGATCAAGGTGAAGGTCACACAACTGATGTCCAGCCCTGCCGCCACGCAGTCCGTACACCTGGCACATGCGCTGCCCGGTTCCCGCACACCCGTCCCTGCAGAAAGCAGCCCAGGCACCCCACCCCAGCAGCCCAGGGCTCCCCTGGCCCCCACGAGCCTGCTCTGTTCCATGGACCTTGCAGGAGGCCGCAGGGCAAGTCCGTTGTCCTCAGCGTGACAGACATGCCATGTTGCTCAGCCATTCACAGTTTTTGGGTCTGTTGGTTTTGCTGTCTGTCCTCCAAGATGCTGCTGCCCCGAGGCCACCCCATGCTCACACCAGGAGCCCAGAAGTTGACCTCTGCACTCTCCCACCCTAGCAGCCTGTCCATCCTGTCCAACGGCCGGTCCTACGTCCCTCCTGTCACCACCTGCACCGTGAGCTTTGGCAGCCACACCATCCCAGCGACCTCTCTGCAGCCAGGTGCCATTTCTAAACGCATTATCAGAAGGCATTCCTCTCCCGCCGGAGGCCACATGGAAGTGGCTCCCATAGCGACCTACACTTAAACTCCATTTCTTACTCGTTGAGGCCTTTCATGACCTGACCTTGCTCATCTCTTCTCCCATTCCTGGCCCTGCTTTCATTCTAGGTGCCACAACCACCCTGGCTTTCTGTCCCTTGACCTCGTCAGTGCCCTTCTCATCAGGGGTCTCTGCACCCACTGTCCCTTCTACTGGGAACACTTCTCCCTGGTTGTGACCTGGCCATTGACCTGACTCAGGCGGCATCTTCCTCCAGCCACCTGGTAAGTCAGCAATCCAGTCTCCTCCACTTTACTCACTTTATTTTCAAGGCCTGTGGTTACCGGGCTTTGTGGTGTGCTGGGCTAGCGAGCTCTGCGAGGGCGGTCTGTCCTGCTCATGGCCCGTCCAGTGCCTGGGCACTTCTGGAGCTGAAGGCCAGATGCCAGCAGTGAGGGCTCCAGGGCCCCGGCCAAGGGTTCAGGCACCTGTTCCGGCGTCCCGCCCTGCTGGGTGGGGTAGAGAGGACCACATCCAGAAAGAAATGGCCTCCCCTTTAATACCAGGTGATGCACAGAGGCCTCCAACTGGAAGACCCTCTGCGGGGACAGCCCCATGCGTCCAGGACACCAGCTCTGACCGTGATGACTCACGGGACACAGCCACATCATGCCCCGGCCCCTCCCGCACCACGACCAGGCGGGCCACCCTACCGTCGTCTCTACCCCAAGTCCAAGCCGGGACAGAGAGGCCGGCTCCTGGGCTGCCTGTTAATTTTGGGTTTATCACCCTGTCTCTGGCACCCCTCTTCCCAGGCTGTGCTGGGGGGGCACCCCACCTGATGAGACTAGTCTCAAGCGGGGGCTAAGACCTAGTCGGCTTGGTCCCGGAGAGCGTGGGCCACCCCGCAACCCACCCGCAGCGCTGCCCACCTTCCCCCGCCCGGGGTGGAACTAAAAGAACAGGCCTCCCCGCCACGAGGCCAGGCGGTGAGGGGGCAGCGAGGGGGCACTCCAGGAAAGCGGCATCGCGCGCCACGGTGCCAAGGCCCAGGGCCGGGTAGCGGGCATCTGCAGCGGGAACATCTGAACACACGCACAGGAGGCAGGAGGCAAAGGCGCCGGCCTCTGCCCGCAGGGGGCACCGGAGGGGAGGCCCCATGCCCCCCTGCCAGGCTGTCCACGCGGGCAGTGCCCACCTCAGCGCGCAGCAGCGGCATCCCACGGGATTGGAGCCTCTGCCCGCCCCGGTCTTTTTCAATAGCTCAATCCTTTTTAATAGTTCCGAATTGGCATTTTTAAAAAAGATTTATTTATTTTTACACGGGAGCGGGGGTCCCGCCCGGGGGTGCGGGGTGGGCGGGTCCCCGAGACAGGGCGGGAGGGGACAGGCCGCCTGGCCGCAGCCCCCGCGCAGGGGCCCGGGAGCCCGCCGCGCCCTGGGGGTAGCCCGCGCCGGGCCGGCCCCCGCGGCAGGGGCTGCGGACGCCCCCCAGCGCGGGGGGGGGGCGGGGGGCCGGGGAGCCGCCCCGCAAACGCGCGGCCGCGGCCCTCCCCTGCCCCTGGGCCCGCGCCCGCCAGCGGCAGCGACGCCCGTGTGAACTCACGGAGCAGGCGGGGCGCGTTGCAGCGGGACGGGGGCCGACGGGCCTGGGCCCCGGCTCGGCTTCCCCGCCGCGGCGAGACCCCGGGCGCCCGGCCCGGCCCGGCCCGGCCCGCAGCTCCCGAGGGCCTGGCTCCGGCCCGCGCCGCCGCCGCGGCGCCCCATTTATACGGGTGGGCGGGCCCCGCCCCTCGCGAGACCCCGCGGGAGTTCCGGTGCGCGAGCCGGAGCCCCTCCCCGGGGCCTCTCGCGGAGCCTCCCGACGCAAGCACGCACGCACGCACGCACGCACGCACGCACGCAGGCGCGGCGACGTCAGTTCCCGTGGCGGCGCCGGCCTGCTTCCGCCTTCTGCCGCGGCGCGCGCTCTGCTCGCAGCCGAGTCGGGAACATGGCGGCCACGGCCACGATGGCGGCCTCGGGGCCGGCGCGGAAGCGGCTGCTCAAGGAGGAAGACATGACCAAGGTGGAGTTCGAGACCAGCGAGGAGGTGGACGTGACCCCCACCTTCGACACCATGGGCCTGCGGGAGGACCTGCTGCGCGGCATCTACGCCTACGGTCCGCGGCCGGGGCTCCGGCGGGGCGGCGGGCGGGCCTGGGCGCGGGCCTCGCGGGCCGGGCCTGGCGCGGGGGGGCGGGTCTGGCGGGCGCCGCCCCCCGCAGCCGCCCCCCGCGCCTGGCCGTCCCGGCAGCGTTTTGCGCCCAGCGGCGGCGGGCGGCGCGCCGCCCCGGCCCGGGGGCTCGCGGGGCCCCACGGCGCGCCCCGAGGCGTCAGCCCCCGCGGGGGGAGCGCGGGCAGCCTGGGCTGCCGGCGGGGTCGGGCTGGCGCCTGTGGCGGGGAAGGGGGTGGAGAGCAGAGCGGCCGCGGGGTCCCGGGAAGGGCCTCCCGGGCGCTGCGCCTCGCTGGAGGAGCCGGTGGGAGGCTGCTGGGCAGGGGGAGCCGCAGGCGCCGGCCCGCGCTTGGGGGCCGAGAAGTCGGTTTGGCTGTGAGAGCAGCGGAGCGTGGGGAGGTGTCGGCAGGGAGGGGCCGCGCCGGGCTCGCCGTGATGGAGGTTTTCCTGGGTGTCTGGGGTCCCGGGGCCCGTGAGGCGGGAGGAAGCAGGGGCTGCCTTGGGAGGGCTGGCCGGGGCGGGGAGACAGTGGGCGAGGCTGCCTTGGCTTAGGAGGGAGGCCTGGGGGAGCTGCTGTGGGCTGGAGAGCCCTGTGGCCTCCAGGTGGAGGTGTCGGGGAGGCAGGTGGGAGCCCTGGAAGAGATGGGGTGGGGGTGCAGATACGTGTCTGGGGCCTGGCGGCCTTTATCCTCAGGTTCCCGCAGAGGTGGGGGAGTGAGAGGCACCTGCCTCAGGCTGGCAGCCCCGCCTGCCCTCTTGGCCCCAGGGTGCGCTTCCTGCAATGCACAGCGTGGTTTCCCATCCACACGCTTGATGGTGGGGGTTTCACACCCCTGTTAAGATTGCTTTTGTGTAACATGGGACTAGTTTTAAAGACTGCAACAGGCTGAAGTATTTGTACTTGGAAACTACCTCTGCTCCTTCTGTGCGTTGGCTGGGGGCTGCCTCCGGGTGGGAGGGAGGGCAGCACTGGAGTCCCGCAGGGCAGCCCAAGCCTTGTGTCAGTAGGCTGGGCAGCGGCGGCAGTGCTTCTGGACCTGTTTGTGACGCGGGCCCACAGGGTGGAAGGGCACAGCGTAACGGGGGGCCGCCACCCCATTCCGTGCTCCAGATCTTGTACACGCAGATTTTTCAGAACACCCGGGGCCTCTATCCCGCCCTCGAAGTCCTTCACAGAGATTTTCTCTGTGTAAACGAGGGCCGGGAGCCGGCATTCCCTTCTGCCCAGCTCACTCGCCGTCACCCGAGAGCCAGCAGGGCGCCGGGTCTTCGCAGAGGGGTGGCCCCGCCACTCGCAAGCCCCTGCCGTGGTGTCTGCCGGTGTCCTGCGGGTTAGCGCTCATTTTTTCTGTTTTGATCTACAGGTTTTGAGAAGCCGTCGGCCATCCAGCAGCGGGCCATCAAGCAGATCATCAAGGGGAGAGATGTCATCGCACAGTGAGTCACTGCTTGGGGGGGGGTGCGGGCGCCGGGGGCGCTGCCTAGGCTCTCCTGACATGTCGCTTGGGCAGGCTGATGGCACCGTTTTTATTTTTGCGTCCACGTCTTGAGCACTTTCGCCTCTTGGTCAGCACTACCTGGCAATCAGCTGTGGAGTTGCGCAGAATGCTCCTGACGGCCCCATGTTGAAAAGACTCAAACGTGCAAAAGTATAAACACGTGTATACGCGTGTGTACGCACACGTGCGTGCTTGTGCACGTGTATGTAAATGCGCGTCCACTTGGAGGGTGGTTGAGTTCAGCGTCTCAGAAGGGGAGTCCCTTCTACCTGGGAGAGCTGTGGGGATACCTGGCTACACGCCATCAGCCCCCGAAGCTCAAGGCACATCTGCTGTCGTCACCTGTGCCCTCCACGTCCCCACAGTTAGGATGTCCGGGTGGGGCTGCCTCTGGAGCCCTGGCGTGATGGGGTGGGCTGTGCCCTGAACCCCGCATCTGTGGTTGTCACTAGGTCTCAGTCTGGCACCGGGAAAACAGCCACCTTCAGCATCTCCGTGCTGCAGTGTCTGGACATTCAGGTGAGCGGCTTGGGGGCCGGGCCTCCCCCCCTGGGCCCACCTTCTGCGCCGTGCGGTGCTGTGAAGTGCATTTCTCACGTCCCTCTGGTCGTCCTGACGCAGCGCTCTTCTGAGACTCTTATGTGTGCTGTCGGGTGCTGGTCTCCACACAGCTGAGTTAGCAGTGCCCCACCACGGGGGCTTTTGTTTCGGAGATTTTTTTTGTAACTAGTGGAAAATCTTGTCTGCAAGAATCCTGATCTGTGCACACACACACATTGCAGCGCCGCCCCCGCCCCCCCCCCCCCCCCCCGGATTTGGTGTTGAAGCCCTACTCATTGTTGCTTAAGTCTCTTGAAAGTAGCGTGCTGCTGGTGCGACGAGAAACCAGCCAAGCCAGCTTCACTCTGGGGGGTGGGGGGGGGGCTCCAGTTCGTCCACAGCGCTGTGAGACGAGGTGGTTAACGTAGGTCCGGCCTGCAGTAGCACGGCTGGCTGTGATGTGCTGGGGGGTTTGTTTCTGACCAATTATCTCTCTAGGTTCGGGAAACCCAGGCTTTGATCTTGGCCCCCACGCGGGAGCTGGCCGTGCAGATCCAGAAGGTGAGACGCTGGGGGCCGTGTCGGGTGTGCACGTCGTGTGTTGACGTTGGGCCGTGACTGGCTGGCCAGGTCCACCTGCCCCTGCTCCCTGTGCTCGGTGTCCAGCGTCGTGCCTGAGGCCGCCGTGCTGCAGGAGTTCCACTTTCAGTGTAGCCTGTGGCCCCCGAGAGTTTCTTAGTCTTAAAATTGTAATTTTTCCCTAGAAAATACAGTATTTTTAAGGAGACCGTTACGGGTATTTTATATTTAAATATCAGAAGTTTTGGAGGAACACGTGTTAAGGGGTCACTAGCGCCCCTGAGAGACTAGGTTGTGAAATTTCGTTCTCACTGATCCGGGGTGGCCTCTGCTCTGGAGGGCTGCGGTGCGTCTCACTTGACGTGGGCCCTGGCCTTGACGCTGCTTTCCCACGCAGGGCCTGCTGGCTCTGGGCGACTACATGAACGTGCAGTGTCACGCCTGCATCGGGGGCACCAACGTGGGCGAGGACATCCGGAAGCTGGACTACGGCCAGCACGTCGTGGCCGGCACGCCCGGCCGTGTCTTTGGTGAGCTTGCGCTGAGGACCCGGGGGGCGGCCAGCTGCGGGCAGCCAGGCCTGCCCTCGGTGTGCGTGGGGGGCCACGGGGCGCGTCACGCTGACTGCGGGGATCTCTGTAGACATGATCCGTCGCAGGAGCTTGAGGACGCGCGCCATCAAGATGCTGGTTTTGGACGAGGCCGACGAGATGCTGAACAAAGGTGTGAGTCGGCGAGGACTTTCTTCTCCATCTTAAAAATTGCCTAAGTGCCACGCCAGTGCAGGTGTTCTGAGGGGAGCCGGTTGCGAGGCGGCTCCCGTTCTCACCACGACTCTTCTGGGGGCCTGGGGCTGGTCGCCAGAGCTGCAGCAGCAGCCTGCCCCCGCTCAGGCCTGGGGACAAAGCGCTTCTGGCACAGCTGGCCTGTCCAAGACGCGGGCACGGGGCCGCGGTGCGCCGAAATTCCAAAAAAGAATTTGGGTGATGTAGGAGCGCTCCCCGCTGAAGGCAGAGTAGCCGAGGTCCTGCGTGGCCAGGGTGGCGTGAGCGTCACCAGGGTAGGGGCGTGTTCCAGGGGCGCGGGGGCCAAGGACCAGAGCGGCTGCCCCTGGGCTGGGTGTCCGTTGCAGCAGCTGCTGGCGCTCAGGACCCGGCCTGGGGCGGGGAGTCTGGTCCCGTGCACTCCCGGTCCGGCCTCTGAGGGTGGGGCGTGGACAGGCGACGCCGGCCCCGTGTGTGGGGCTCACGGTCTCCCCGTGTCCTCTCCGCACCCCAGGTTTCAAAGAGCAGATTTACGACGTGTACAGGTATCTGCCGCCGGCCACGC